TCACTTCATATGACAACATTCCAGAGGCACAGTGGAAAGAGAAATAGTCGGGCTGCACTGCTCTAAAATTAACACACGTTTAATATGCAAGTCGTGCATAAATTCGTTCTTGTTGCTCCCTATTCCCTTCTCGTTCCTTCCAACTGGCTTTTGCTTTTTAATTTGCCATCAGACGTCATGACAACAACAACAAGACGACCACATGTCAGCGCCCAAAGAAAAAATCCTGGTCATTGTCTTTTGTCCTTTTTTTTCGCCGAGCTCTTCTTAATTTTTCCACATCTCCATTGTTGAAGGGAAAATACGTGCCCGACGTCTCATTATCATCGTCACTATTATTATCATTATCAGACAGAACGGCATTATTGTTGATTCGCTTTAATTGCCAATTGAAGCCATGCAAGGAGCCGGTCCTTTTCCACCACAATTTTGTAGTGACTCACTCTTTGGGGGTCTTTATATAATTTTAATGTAATTGAATCATATATTAGAGAAAAAATAAATTTATTCTTAGTTCTCAAATAACAGCCATTACTTTTCGGCGGAAATAACACGTCCATAACTATCCCACGGAGACATCCATTCACAGCGATTTATGTATTTTTGGCCAATTATGCCTTTTGGACGGAAACTAGAGGCAGAGCCAAATATTTTGGCACTCGGGCATTAAGGACAAATGTTGCCAAGTAAATTGGCATAAAACAAATCGGCGTCGTCATTGTTATCGTTCCACCGCTTCTGCTGCCGTGCCAGCGAGTTTAATTAGATTGTACTTGCAACGCGCCAACACAAACACAAACACCAACTGCCAAATGGCAGTCGAAAATTGTTAAATAATTTAAAAAGAAATTAGCGGCCATTTTGTACGAATGGGTGTGTATGAGTGCAGACAAAGGAGCATAAAAATAAAAATTGTAACCAATTTCATGCATAACAGTTAAATAAAATTTAATTTAGCAGAAAAGTGGTGTAAGGGCCAAAAACAAGCAACTGCACAAACTGCCAAGAGAAATAAAAATCACGACCAGAAGAGTGTGTGAGGGGAAATGGTGGCGCCGGAAAATAGACAACGTAAAATGCGTTGGCCATAATGAAGACTTTTCATATTTGTGAAGCAGCAGCAACAAATGAATGCCGTCAACATTTATTATTAATTTTAATATTTCAAAGAGCGCAGCCAGGCAAAGAGAAAAACTGAAAAAAAGACAACCGCTACTTGGCAGGCCCTCTTCTTATTTTTATTTTTACTTTTTCATTTTTATTTTTATTGTCGACCAATGACTGCAGGGCATGGAAGAAGAACCAGAACCAGGATACCAAGAAGTAGAAGAGACAGCTTGAAAGTTTTGGCAAAGAACCGAGACTCTAATTTGATGGCTTTTGTTTTTGTTCCAAACTGAAAATTCATAATAGTAAATTCAACGCCCCGACTTTAAGGATAAATTATATTTATTAGTAATGTACTCACCACTCCTATCATTCTTTTCAACGCCTTCGGTAATGATATTGAAGTCTAAACAATAGCCAAAGGCCGTAAAATTGAATCAATTTATTTCATTTTGTAAAAAGCAAACATTAAAATTTATACACTTAAAATGTGCACTTAAAATTGCATTTAGGAAGGAAAAGTTCTTACCCAAGGCACTGCCTACAGTGTTGATGCAACATTTGGGTATTTGACTAAATTAAAATTGGTTAATTTATTAAAAACAAACACACTACCAAAACATAGAAGAAAATGGAAGAAATTAAATTAAATTAAACTTCTTTTTATAATAGAAATTTTAAATTCAATCTAAACTATCTGTCATCTACGAAATTGCATGTGTTTCAAAGAAATAAAAAGCTTTAATCAAAAGAAGTCAAAGCCAAAAATCACAAGACAAAACGAACTTAATTTAAACGACAACCAAAAATAAATGGGTGCAAAAAAAGGAGCTATCTGGGAGAAAGGCGAGCAAGCTGAAGGGGACAAAGAAGCAAAAACAATGGAAACCACAAAACGGCGCTTTTGTTTGCCAGTGTCGCATGCAGTCACTCTATAGATGTATGTGTGTGTGAGTGTGATGTCCTGGTGAGTGCAAGTGTGTGTATGTGTCGCCTGCCAATCAACTCAACAATCGCAATCAATTTACCCCGCAGCATAGCCCCCGTTTGGCCGCCCCTTTCACTCCACATTTCGAGCGCATTGTCATGGTGCAAGTGCAACTGTCATTCCAAGCGCAATCTCTGCATATGCAGTGGGAATGAGATGGAAAGACCAAGAAAGAGACGAAAGATAGAGTGGACAAAGGACAGAAAGATGTGTAATGTATCAGAAAAGCCAAAAAGTTACAAAAAATGACCACGGCCCGCAGTGTATTTTTTAATTACGATACTGCGACATTATGGTACTCAGACACACATATGTACATAGCATGCATAAATAAAAGCCAGAATTTATTCAATATAATGCAATAAAACGAAAGTAATTTTCCTATATTTAAAGCCATATTTTAAAAAAGATTTTCTAAAATGCGCACATTAAATTATAATTTTTTTTTTTTTAATTATATATTTAAAAGCCTCAAAATTATATGTAATAAAAATACCCTATAATAGTACATTAATAATACCCATGTTAATAATAGACTAGCCTATTTTTGGAAAAATCCCATTTTAAAAAAGAATTATTTGTACTTTGAGTTCTTTACAAAAATAATAACAACCTAAATAGGCTTTAAAATCGTTGGTATTTATGTGTATTATACGCGAATCAAAATCATCATCATACATATTACGTATACGCAACGAGCACACGCACAGACCCACAAGAAAAATATCATAAATTTGCCAAGCATTGTTATGCTAAATTTATTTGCCCTCGTAGCCATCTGTTGGTGGCGCTCCTTTTGTTGCTGTTGTTGCTAACTTCATCAGAAGTGCGATTGAAACGCAACTTCCGCTTCCGCAAAATGGCTGTCAATGCATGGAGTGGAAACGGTGGAAAAAAAATATGGAGGCGGAAGCAACATGAGGGGCACCGACTTACACTTTGCCTGCAAACAAATCAACTTGAACTTCCGTTTCATTTCGCTTTTTCTTGCCATTTTATATTCTTTTGCAAGTTCCCGGCGATGGAAAGGGAAGGACTTTGTGAAGGACCCACTCAACTCTCAATTTTTATTTTCTCTTTACTGTGCATTTCGGCGACTTTAGCGTAAATTTACTTTTCACTTTCAGCGCGCCATCAAAAAGTTTTTGTGCATAGCTAACTTTTTGGCTCACTATACGTATATTTTCCATATTTTTCCCTGCTTTACTGGCTCTTTCCCTCGGTACGTCTCTATTGCTTCCATGTGGCTTTTCAATGTCATTGCACACACATACACACTGCGATGGATATCTTAGTCAGTTTTGAAAAAGTAATATACATTTCTTTACAGATAATTTTTATATATTTTCTTTCTTTTTTTCAGTGTAGTAACACACTCGAAATATTTTTGGCTTATGTTGCTGAAGCGAAACTTTGTATTTCTGACATTTCATTTCCTTCATTTCAACCGTTTTGCACCTCGAAGCGGTTTCCTTTCAATTTTTTCTTCGCAGGGGCGTGGACAGATAGGATGCTACAGTTCCTTTTCAAAGCTCTACCGCGCTCTTCCCCTTTGGCAGTTTGTGCCACCTTAGTTGCGGTTGCTTAATTTAATGCCTGAGTGCTTATTTAAATTTTGGTCCCTCATCGTCTGCATTTCCAATTTTGTTTTGTCATTTACTTTTGGCTTATATTATTTTTTCGTTTCTTGGCGAAATCAATCAGCGTCCGGCACGTGTGTGCATCGATAACATTGCCAATAATAGAAAAGCGAAATGTATTTTTGGCAATACCCCAACTTTTCACAAGTTAGCAATTGTTTGTTTGATGTGATGAGGAAAAATTTGAAAACCATTATGTATAGCATACTTTTATGCAGTGAGCGTTTAGAGAGGAAGTAAAGATGAAACAATGCACTATAGGAAATTTGACCACTTTTTCTGGCCAAAAACCATTTTTTGAAAGTTAAAGGATTTAAATAATTTTAACTGCATATCATTCACAATAAATTAATTTTTAATGTTGCATACCAGAAATTTTCATAGATGGCGCCACTGCGAAGAAAACAGCTGTTAAAAACAGCTGTTGATGTTAACATTTACATGAGCTTAGAATTTACGATTTTTTGGTGCGATTTTAAAAACACGAATACTTAAAATTTTATGGACAAAATCAAAAGTTTTGAAATGAATACTTTTTTAAGTGGTTTGTATTGTGTGTTTGTGTATGTGAAGTGTCCAAAAAACTTGTGTTGTCCTTTTAATAAAGTGAAAATGTAAGCACTCTAGCATAAGAAATTTTTAGAAATAAATCACATTTTTAAAAAGAGATTTAAACCAAGTCTGGCGGAGTCGGACAATGTAATTTAGTCCATGTTGTAGATTGTTATATTTTCTTCAAATGAGTGAAATATGAATATGCATAAAAATGCACTTTCGAAGAAATTCATAATTTAAGGAGGCAACCTCAACACCTTGAATGTGAATCTGTTAGCTGTGAGACTAGTGCAAAACCGAACAGTTAGAATGTTATTTTTAAATAGGGGGCGGTGCCACGCCCACAATTTTTTCATTTCTGAGTTCTTTTGACCATATAAACTCAAATCAAAAATCAAAATTTAAATATCTTGCTTAGTTTTTGAGTTAGAATGTGTTTCTTAAAAAGTGGGCGGTGCCACGCCCACATTTTTTTAAAATCTTGAATCTATTGACCATGTGAACTCAAATCAAAAATCAGAACTTAAATATCTTGTTTCGTTCTTGAGATATTATTTTTGGCCAGAAAAAGTGGTCATATTTCCTATAGTGCAATGGAATCGAACCACCTTTTCCTCTTAAAACTTTGTAACTTAAATTAAAAAAACAATAATTATATTTTAAAATATGGTAACAAAACTTTTTTATTTCGCTTTTAATCATTTATCAATCTAATTTTGCTTAATTTTCTTTTCTTTTTTGACTTTAACAACAAAACACATTTTCATCAGTCTTAGAATTGCAAAAGGCAGCATTATTAGGGTTATAAAAATCCCTAAAATAATCAAAAACACATCAACATTGTGGTACTGCCACCAGTTTAACCCCTGGGCAGCACTCTTGAGATAGGCAGCTCCTTGATGACGGGTCACATGCTCCACCCAATAAATGGCATTTTCCAGAGGCGTTTGCTGCTGATCGCGGTATCTAAAGGACATGCCACGAACTACATCTGTGTAATTTGCATCACTAACGATCCTTTCAATGGCCGCACGGAAATCATTCGCCTTTAAATTCTTAAAGTCCAACATGATACCGTATCCAGCTTGCTCAGCATGAGCCATATTAAAGAACTGATCGCTGAAAATCGGCAAACCAATCACTGGCTTGCCATGATAAATGGATTCTGTGGTGCTCAGCATACCTCCGTGGGTCACAAAAGCCAACACCTTCGGATGCGCCAGTATATCGGTTTGTGGAAACCAGTCAGAAATAAACAAATTTTCTGGTTTGTTGGGCAGATTGTCCAACTCAAATTTCCAAAGAACATGCTGTTTTAGCCCTCGGAAAGCCGTTAGGATCTCCTCGACTTTGGATGGTGGCAGGTCCTTACTCTTAAGATTAGAGCCCATTGAGAAGTAGATGGCTCCGTGTTCTGAATCATTCAGGAATCTCTCTATTTTTTCTGGAAGAGGACTTAACTTTCCGTCAATGTGCATGCCTCCTACTTCGATCATGTTGGGCGAATAGGGTCGTGGAAAACTTAAAGATACATGTTGGTTAATGAGAACCAGTGAAGCATTTCGTCTCATTTCATAGAAGCTGTGCTTATTATTTGGAAAAAACTCTTTATAAAGCTTTTCTTGTCCTGGTAGGTAGTAGTAGTCCAATAAGAGCCTTTCAAAGGCCAAAAAAGCAACATTAACAAAACGTTCATAGAGCGACATGTGATCGTTGAATGGCAACATTATATGTGGCACGAAAGAAGCTGGAGCTGGAGAGCCAACCTGAGAAAAGAACAGAAATTGTAGAGAAATATGACAAAACAATTGTATTGTTTATTTCACTTACCATATCTGTGATAAAAGTTAGTCCTCCTCCAGTACTTAATCCTATGAGAGGAGCGTTAAAATGTTCCGCCAATCCGTATTGGGCATCGTTGTAGAATGTTTCACAGATGATGGCATCATAAGTGCGATTGCTCTTCATGAGGTCTTGGAAGTTAGGGTCCACGAAAAGACCTCTTGTGAGTCGGAAACCCATTTGATAATGATCTATGAGTTTCTGTGTCAAAGGTTTATTGATCGAATCCCACAAGGCAGCAATGTCACCTGTAAAATTACACCACCTTTTAAGGATATAATTTTTTTGAAAATTTATGAATTTTTACTTACCCTTCATTGCAGCTATTATATTCGGTACATTTATATCGTGATAACCAGGAATAGCCTTCTTTTGTGGAAATACCGAAACCACTGTGATTTCATGACCGGCGTTAACTAAGCCCTTGGCTAAGGCTTGTCCGACATTGAAATGGGATCGACCAGGAGAGTTTAAGACCATTAAGAAGTGGTATCCATTCGAATATCCCAAGCTAATGACAAGCCCCAAGAGCAATGTTAATATACGCATTCTGACGAAATGGGGCATGAAGAGCCTCTGACAGAATCGAACTGAGCGCGTTACTGCTTAGCACTGAAAATGTTTGCCGCGGTCAACATAAATTTATACTGATATCGGGTAATATATATGTTTACGTGCATGTGTATATATGTATAAATTAAATTCTTGTGAAATTCCAATTTACGTGAGAGTCACCATGCAGAGAACCAAAGCCAAATGGTAGGTAAACAAAATATTGGGTGGGTTTAATTAAAAACACACTTAAGAGACTAACAAGATACACTGCCTTTTAAATACAATTTTTATGTAGGAAAGAATGGGTTTTCCTATTTACTTGGACAAGTTGGATTGTTTTGAGAAATAATAATCTTGTTTTTGTTAATTTAAACATAGTCTTTATTCCACAAACATGTTGATGAAACCGCTTTTTTGATTAATTTAAAACTAATAGTGTATATTTGTTATATAGAAAAATATAATATTATTCCAACTGATAAATAAAAATTCGAAAAAGCCGGGTCTTAAGAGATTTAAAACAAACAAAGCTTGTTTGAACCACTTTTAAGAGTATTAGACAAGAGAAGTCGGTACGCTAGAAAAACTTTATGTAGCTAAGAGACATTTTTAAGAGATTTTATTTTTAAGAGAGTTCAAATTTTATAAAAACTATAAAGAACTTTGTTTACTAAAAAGTTTCGCTTATTTGATTAATTTCATACACTTAAAAAACAAGTTTTCAAGTTCATGTTTATACATTTTTTATAATATTTTTCGAAATTCCACAGTTTTGAGATTCTTTAGCCACTTCAAATAGAAGCATCACTGATCTAATTAAACATCTGTTCCTTATCTTTAATATAGTACACTAGCTAGACTATTCAGTATTAAAAAGGCATCCCACTTAGTTCTCATCAGTCTGATGTGAACAATCAAAAGAAGTGTCAGAATGTCTCTTAAATTATTATTTTTTTCACTGGCATTTTATATAATCACTGGCCAGGCTCGTGGCTATTCCTACCTAATGGTCCTTCATACAGGATCAAAATCACACCACACAGTGGGCGAAGCTTTGGCCAAAGGGCTGACTAGTGCTGGTCATGAAGTGACAATAATATCGCCCTTTCCGCAGAAAAAACCTCACAAGCACCTGATCGATGTGAACACGCCAAAAATTTTGAGTGTAATGGGTGGCAAGTATTTTTTTGTTTATTTAATTATCGGTCACGTATAGTCTGCTGATAAGCCGAGCGCTAAAAAATAGAGAAAAGTTTTATTTTTTATATATTCCACATTTGCAGCTCATAAAGCGAGGATTTTGGACAACGCCAAACTTTCATTGGTTAGAAGGTATCCCATTATGCATGCCATGGGACTCGATCTGACAGAGGCTCTCCTTAAAGACCCAGCTGTTCAAGAACTCCTCGGTAAGAATTTGTCCTTCGACGGAGTCATTTGCGAGACTTTCATGAACGATGCCCATTACGGCTTTGCCGAGCACTTTGGAGCACCGCTAATAACCCTGAGCACCCTGGGTGCCACTGGTTGGACTTCGGATTTGGTGGGCACACCCTCACCTCCCTCGTATGTGCCACATAACTTGCTTCGTTTCGATGATCATATGGATTTCTGGCAACGAGCCCAGAATCTCGGCTTCCAAGCTTATGAATACTTTTACCAGAATTGGATCCATCTGCCCAAACAAGAGGTGTTGTACCGAAATTATTTTCCGAATAACAAACAAGACTTTTATGAAATGCGTAAGAGCACCTCCCTAGTGCTGCTAAATAATCACGTTTCGTTGAGCAATCCTCGTCCATATTCCCCAAATATGATTGAAGTCGGTGGCATGCATATAAATCGAAATGCTCCCAAGCCGCTGCCCAATGATATTTTGGAGTTTATTGAAGGAGCCGAGTATGGAGTAATCTACTTCTCCTTGGGCTCCAACCTTAACAGCAAGGATTTGCCTCAGGAAAAGCAAAAGGCTATTTTGGAGACCCTAAGAGTTCTAAAGTATCGAGTTCTTTGGAAATACGAAAATGATAGCCTAGCCGACAAGCCTGACAATGTTTACATATCCAACTGGTTTCCGCAGGACGATATTCTGGCACATCATAAGGTTGTGGCCTTCATCACCCACGGAGGACTATTAAGCACCATGGAGTCCATTTACCACGGCAAGCCAGTGGTGGGGATTCCCTTTTTTGGTGACCAATTCATGAATATGGCGAGGGCAGAAAAATTGGGCTATGGGATCACAGTCAACTATGCCCAGCTAAACGCTCCATCATTTCGGTCTGCCATCGAGCGTGTTATCATGGACGTGACGTACTTGGAACGAGTGAAAACTCTATCCAACCAATTTCGTGATCAGAAAGAGACTCCCTTAGAGAGGGCAGTGTACTGGGTGGAGCACGTGACTCGACAAAAAGGAGCACGATATCTTAGAAGTGCCTCCCAGGATCTCAGCTTTGTGGAATATCATAATTTGGATGTATTGGCCGTGTTTCTTCCTGTCATTAGCTTATTAATTGTGTTAATGTATCTTTTGGTACAATTTATAATCATCAAGTTGCTAAAAAAGGTGTTAAAAATTGGTGGGGACAAAGTCAAGGCATTGTAGGCTTATGGATGAAGATTATTAATTAAATAATTATTAACAAAAATTGAGAATTTTAAGGTTTATTCAATAGAAAACAAATAGACAAAGCCTGTAAAGATTCTAAGCTAATGTCCTATACCAGTAGTAGTATATAATTTTATTTAGGTTTAGGTCATTGAACGTTGTTTTTATTAAAATATATCTGCTACAAAAGTGCAGTGCTAATTTGCTAACAAAAATATTATAGGCATAAAGAAAAGTAAAGCTTAATGTACATAATTGTTTTGATTAACCCATATGAACCCTCTTAATATAAAAACTTAAATTTATTAAGCACATGCAAAAAAATTACAGTAGCAATCATATTTTTCTCGCATATAGTTTGTAAGGAAATCGAAAATTATGAAATTTACTAAATGTACGTAAGAACCGCAACTGATAAGGAGTTCCAAACAAAAAGAGGAATGATCGTGCAGAGCTTACAAATTTTGCGATGTACGATGATGGAGCATGGATAGAGCGGCAGCTACGTGAAGGAGTGATTTGGCAAAATAATAAGAGAGTGGCGATCCAAAGCTTTTCGCTCTGAAAGTATCCATTATAGGCTCTCTGACTCTCTGAGTATTGTGCCAGGTTAAGATCGGAACACCCAGAAAAATATCATAGGCTTCCTCTAATAAATACATGGAATTCTATAGAATTTTTTGAGTTTGTCGACAGACGGCGTTCGAACAGCAGCTCCACGGAAAAAGTTTGCCAACAAACATAATCGTATTCCATAATTGGATACGGCTAATTATTCCAATTTATATCGAAATCAAAGTTTATAAAACGCAAAAAAATGCAGCTAACAGGTGGCCGAACAGGTTTTCTGGCCCTCTTTGTTCTCGGCCTGCTGAGCTGCGTGTCCGCCTACAATTATCTGGTGGTGCTCCATACTGCCGCACGCTCCCACTACCACGTGGGATCGGCACTGGCCAAAGGGTTGGCCGGTGCCGGCCACCAGGTCACCCTGGTATCGCCCTTTGAACTGAAGAAACCGATCAAAAACATTAAAGATGTGACGGTGAAGGCTATTTTAAACGTCATGCAGGGTAAGTTTTAATTGACAATTGAGTGTGTTAAGAATATGAGGTGCAAATTGAACTTGTTGAAAAAATAAAATTAGAAGACAACAATTTTCACGTGAATAAAAAATAAACAAATAATATAGTATTCATGTCAGTGCAATATAATTGCATTATCATGACTAAGAGTGAACATTATCAAACTACATCGAAAATAAATTCCTAGATTTATAGAAATTATACCTTTTATACTAAAGCAAACACAGTGATTTCTTTTCATCGCAACTGACATAATGCATTTCTTTATACTTTTATTACACTAAAAAAAATATATTTAAAAGAGCTAGCCAATATGTATTATTTAACTATTACGCAATAATAACCTTAGTCAATAAAAAAATACGACTGGTTTTACTATAATCTCGTTTGTTATCAAGTAAATTATAAAAAGAAAAAAATTGTTAGTAGAAAGTTCAATCAAGGGGCTTATACGATAAAAGGAACTCGTAATTTCTGACGATTAATATACTTTTTCCATTACTTTATTTTAAATTCTAGGCCGTATTTCCAATCTTTTGGAATCCTCAAAAGCACCCATAATTAAACAGATTCTTGAATTCCACAACATGGGCTTGGAAATTACGGAAGTTCTATTGGGTGATCCCGCTGTGGTCGAGCTTATGAAATCTAATCAGACCTACGATGCCGTCATATCAGAGGTGTTCCTCAACGAAGCGCACTTTGGATTGGCGGAGCACTTCAACGCTCCACTAATAGGGCTGGGAACATTTGGGGCCATCAGCTGGAACACGGATCTGGTGAGATTTTCTTGAATGATATTCATTTGAACAGTTTATAATTCTCAACAATCAACTTAGGTTGGCTCTCCTTCACCACCATCGTATATTCCTCATGCCCTGCTGAAATTCAGTGACCATATGTCTCTCGTCGAACGAATCGGAAACCTTGCCTTTGTCACCTACGAGTATTTGTTTTTGAACTATTTCTACCTGCCCCACCAGGAGGCTCTCTACCAGAAGTTCTTCCCCAACAACAAGCAGAATTTCTACGATATGAGAAAGAACACAGCTTTGGTGCTTCTGAACCAGCATGTATCCCTTAGTTTTCCACGTCCCTATTCCCCCAACATGATCGAAGTAGGCGGCATGCACATCAACCGGAAAAGGCAACCCCTTCCCAAGGACATTGAAGAGTTCATCGAGGGAGCGGAGCACGGAGTCATATACTTCTCGATGGGATCCAACCTTAAGAGCAAAACACTGCCTCTGGAGAAGCGCCAGGCTCTCATCGATACTTTCGCGCAACTGAAACAGCGCGTGCTTTGGAAGTTTGAGGATCCCAACCTGCCCGGTAAACCCGATAATGTGTTTATCTCAGACTGGTTCCCGCAGGACGACATTCTTGCTCATGAGAAAGTCCTTGCCTTCATTACCCACGGAGGTCTCCTCAGTACGACCGAGTCCATCTACCACCGCAAGCCTTTCGTGGGAATTCCGATTTTCGGAGATCAGTTCCTGAACATGGCTCGGGCTGAGCAAAACGGCTATGGAGTCACGGTCAACTACCAGGATTTGACAGCCTCAAACCTTTTATCGGCCATTCAACGCCTTCTTAACGACCCACTGGCCACCAAAAAGGTGCAGGACATGTCCGACAGGTATCGAGATCAGCTAGAAACTCCTCTTGAACGAGCTGTTTTCTGGGTGGAGCATGTGAGTCGCCATAAGGGCGCCAAGTACCTAAGGAGCGCCTCACAGGATCTGAACTTTGTCCAGTACCACAATCTGGATGCCATGCTGATCCTGTACGGCGGCATTATTTTCGTCCTGTATTGCCTGTTCAAGCTGATTGGCTTTCTCTTCCGACTGCTGCAGGAATTGTTTATCAAAAAGGAAACTCCAAAGTCGAAAACAAAAGTTAAGAAAAACTAGATGACTTTCCGGCTATTGATAGAAAAAGTCTTTTATAACAATTATAGAGATGCCTACATATATAATAAGTATTTGTGTATATTTATTGTTGGTGCTGTTCAATTTATTCAGGTTTTTTTGTTAGCTAGTAGATTTTATAAAAGATGAGATATTAATAAATCAAATTCATTTTAAACAGAAAATATTTTTAGTAACTTAGCTTAAGTTGGTACTACCAAAAAATATGATTTAACGAAACCAAATATATGTACAAACTTTCCACTAATCCCAAAGTTTAATTGTGGCTAAGGAAGGCGATAAAAACAAAATTTCTATGCCGCTGTTAGGAAGATAAGAAATGCAGCTTGGCCAAAATCTTCAAAATTTAATTTTAATCTAAGCAGAATTTGATAAGTTTGTTGCTGGGCGTAAAAGTGACTGGTTCTAAAAAAAATTATCAACCTAAAACGCATAAAAAAATCTTCTAAATGGTTTAATTTCTTTGTTCGGTTTGTATTTCATGCTCAAGCAGTGTATGATTAGTTAGTGTCTGAAAGTGAAAGTGACTGGTTCTAAAGGAAATAATCAACCTGAAATGCGCCGAAAAAGTCTCCAATATGGTTTTATTTCTTTGTTCTGCTTTCATTTTCTTGCACAAGCTTCTGGTTACAATTACCTGGTAGTGTCCCCCTCTGCTGCCAGCTCCCATTACCATGTGGGATTTTCGTTGGTTAAAGGTCTAGCCAATGCAGGGCACAATATAACCCTAATTTCGGCATTCGAGCAAAAGAATCCTGTTGAAAACATTAGGGACGTTACGGCACTTGGCATACATAAGGCAATGGAAGGTACAACAAGTACCTGATTTTTAAATTTATTTGAGTGTTTTAATATTATAACTTTTTTTTTAGAACATGTGAGGAATCTTGTGAAAAATTCTAATAGGACGTGGTCTCATCCCTTGGATTTATACAACATGGGCCTCAAAATTACAGAAGCTTTGCTGAATGATAGCTCGGTGTTGGAACTAGTGCAATCAAATCAGACCTTTGATGCTGTGATTGCTGAGGTATTTCTGAACGAAGCTCAGTTGGGACTGGCCGAGCACTTCAAGGCTCCGCTCATAGCTTTGAGTGCGGTTGGGGCCATGCCAGCTCACGCAGACCTGGTGAGTTTGTCGCAGAATGTTTAAAATAAACTAAAAAATAATAAACAATTATTTGAAGGTTGGAACTCCTTTTACGTCCTCGTATATACCGCATGCCCTACTTCATTTTACCGACCACATGAACCTATGGGAGCGATTGGTCAACTTTGTCTTTGTGACTTTTTCTTATAGCCTCCATAACTTTTTCGTATTGCCCCAACAGAAAACCCTTTACCGTAAATATTTTCCTAAAAATGAACTGGACTTCTACGAGATGCGCAGGAATACAGATCTAGTTCTCGTCAACGAGCATGCATCCCTTCTTTATCCCAGACCATTTGCCCCGAACATGATCCCAGTGGGTGGAATGCACATCAATCGCCAACCACCACAACCACTGCCCGAGAATATTCGTCAGTTTATTGAAGAAGCCGAGCATGGAGTGATTTATTGCTCACTGGGCTCCAATGTTAAAAGTAAAACTCTGCCATTGGAAAAGCGTCAAGCCTTTTTGGAAACTTTTAGCAAACTAAAGCAGCGAATTTTGTGGAAGTTTGAAGATTCTGATCTGCCTGGAAGACCGGATAACGTTTTTATATCTGACTGGTTCCCGCAGGACGACATTCTGGCTAATGATAAGGTTATTGCCTTCATCACCCATGGAGGTCGGCTGAGCATTATGGAGTCCATTTACCATGGCAAGCCGGTAGTGGGAATTCCATTGTTTGGTGACCAATTCATGATTATAGCGAAAGTGGAGAAAAGTGGCATGGGAATCACACTTAAGTACGAGGATCTAAAAGGTGACAACCTTCTGGCTGCCACTAAGCGTCTCCTCCAGGATCCAAAGTTCGCTCGGAATGTCCGCGATATGTCCGAGAAGTTTCAGGATCAGCCGGAAACTCCTCTGGAGCGTGCTGTCTGGTGGGTGGAACACGTCACCCGGCACAAGGGAGCCAAATACCTTAAGAGTGCCGCACAGGAACTCAACTTTTTCCAGTACCACAGCCTGGATATTTTGCTAATTCTCTTCAGTGGACTTTTTGTCATTATTTATTTGCCAATCAAAATATTTTTATGGCTTTTAAAGCGCTTTTATCAACTATTTTTAAAGAAAACATTTAAAAAAGCACCAAAAATTAAACAAAATTAATATAATTGTAAATAAATGCGAAAAAAATTCAAAAAGCGGTTATTTTTTATTTAAAAGTCTACCGTTTTATATCAAGTATATGAATTGGCTAGTTTTATAACCATTTGATATTTCTGAACAAGCTCATGGAAATTCCATTGGATTTTTTGGCGGGGTGTGCGGTTGGTTTCAGCCTGCGGCTAGAAACTTGTAAACTAAAATGAAAAATATTGTGAACTTCTATCGAAAAAATATTTTTCTCTTTCTCATCCTACTTTGTTTTGTTTCTTTGTTGATTTTACTACTTTTTGCGGACCTTTTGTGAGGAATGTTCTTCCTCCATGGAAGGCCATGTTCTTCCAAATGTTTGTTACTATTTTTATTTTCAAAAAAATAACTTCAAAATAAATGAAAGAGAAGAGTTGTTTCATTACGTTCTTATACAAAGTACAGGTTAAAAAGCGCATTTTATATTTGATGAAAACCTAGTACAATATTCACCAATATAGTTGATATAATTATATTCAAATTTCAATGATAAAGAAACTCCCAAATGCCCTTTAACAGGGTATTCGTCCTTTGTTGGATCCTATTTTCTCCTCTCTTCGTGTTGCAAGTTGCACATAGTTAACGCTTCAGTTGTAAAAATGCCCATCAGCGCGTTCAAATTTTTAACAGCACCACCACCGAAGTTGCCACTCTTCCGCCCACTGCCACTCCCACAAACGCCTTCGGCTGAATGCTTTTATTTTCCTTGCCGTGCATCCTCCGCTTAGTTTCCATCCGCCATTCCTCATCCCAGTCCTTGAGCCGGCAAAAGGCGTGTAAAACTTTTAGCACAACTTATTGAAACTGTTTTGGGCCATGGCCACGCTGCTGGAAAATCAGCGGAAATGTTGGCGGCTTTAATGCCAACCAGGCTTAAATGTGCATTCAAGTTCGTAGTGAGGGGGCCGAGTGTTTTTCGTAAGAAATATAACGAAAGATATATTATATTCATTTGTATATGTATAGAAACTTAGGGTTATTTAAGATTCAAGCAATCTAAAATAGAGATCCACCAGATGGGAAAATTTGCTTAGATTAATTGATTCAACTGAAAACGAAATATGTTTGAAGCGACGAGATTAGAATCCAAATAAATTATTATTATAAGTTTCTTCTTAATTATACGAGTACCACCCGAAACCTCATATTAATTTTCATTTAAAAAAAAAATATTTCCAGTGTCTAGTCAAGCTTTTTTTTAGGCCGAATTTTATAAATTCCGACTCCTTTGTCTCAAGACAACTATTCCGCTGAACAGTATCGTAATCTATATATATTTAATCATCAAGCTTGAACTCGTTATTATGCCAGATCAGTTTACTGTCATTGCGGGAAAAAACCCAAGAACAAAAATTCAGCAGACCAATCGGTATAAAAGTCCCCACAAAATGTTATACAATTCAGTTTAGTGAAGGCGTAGAGATGATCAAGTGGATTTTAGCTACATGGCTGGTGCTGCAGGCCAGTTCATCGGTCTTCTCCATAGAAGTAGACACCGACCTGGGACGCGTAAGAGGTGCTAATCTGACTTCCAGATTGGGATTGCCCTTTCATGCCTTTCGAGGCATTCGGTATGCAAAGCCGCCTCTGGAAGAGCTGCGCTTTCTGAACCCCCAACCTGTTGAGGCCTGGAGTCCACTTTCGACGCCACCGAAGATGGGCCCATGTGTCCGCAACCGTGGGACAATATGACCGATGTGTCCGAGGACTGCCTGCGGCTCAATGTTTACACCAAGGACTTAAAAGCGCGTCGCCCAGTCATTGTTTTCTTGCATCCCGGAGGATTCTATGTGTTTTCAGGGCAAAGCAATTATTTGGCCGGACCAGAGCATTTTATGGATCGGGATTGCGTTTTGGTTTCAATCAACTATCGCCTAGGTAGCTTGGGCTTTCTGGCTACTGGAACTAAGGACGCTCCTGGCAATGCAGGACTCAAAGATCAAGTTCAAGCTCTTCGTTGGATACAAAAACACATCCATAGATTCGGCGGCGATCCAAATAAAGTGACCCTCTTAGGATACAGTGCCGGTAGTCTTAGTATTGGATTGCATATGCTTTCGCCAATGTCGCGAGGTCTTTTCCATCGAGGAATCTGCATGAGTGCCTCACCTTATGGTCCTCCTAAATACCACACCAATGACCTTCAGCTGGCAAAACGCCAGGCCAGACTTTTGAATTGTCCCCAGGAACCGATAAAGGAAATGGTAGAGTGTATGCGACAGAAATCCGCTTTGGATTATGTGAGCACCTACAACGGAATGTTCGATTTTGGCTGGAGTCCTGTGCTAAACTGGAGAATCGTAGTCGAAGAGGACTTTGGCCAGGAAAGGTATATTATCGAGGATCCATTTAAAACTGCGCGACGTGGCGACTTCTATAAGGTGCCACTAATCACAGGGGTCACAGAGTTTGAATTTCTATCTGGAGCGTTCTGTAAGTTTTAGGACAATTTTTACTTTAGCTTCAAGCTTTATGAAGTTTAAATTCAATTTCCATAGTTGATCTACGCAATGAGAGCATTATAAGCAACTATAACAAGGACTGGGAACACTATGCTTCAATCTCTCTGCTTCTGGAACGGGGCACGAACCATTCGCGATATGCGACTCGCGTTTTTAGGGAGAAATACCTACCGGAGAGCCTCGATAAACTGGAGTATCCCAAGTCCCTGAACGGCTTCGGCAAGCTTGTGAGCGACGCTCTAATTAATGTGGCAACCGATCGCTTTTTGCGGCTTTTGTCCCCTCATACTCCCATTTATGCCTACTACTTCCGCTACAAGGGCAGGTATAGTTTTCTCAAAAACCCAGACAACCAACAAGCAATGGGTAAGCAACTAACATTAAGACATCTATAAACGTGGGTAAAATTGCTTAATATTTTTAGGTCCTGTTCACCATGATGAGCTCTTGTATTTATTCCACGTGGGACTAATAAGTCCTCTGTCCAAGCCAGATGATCCTGAGAGTTTCATGATTGAGCGAATGACGCGAATGTGGCTCGAATTTGCTGAAAAAGGGTGAGTTGTATATTATCTATTAAGGCACGCAAGATATAAACCAACTTATGCTTTTTTTGTTTAGGAATCCTCACAACTCAAGCGATGAATACCTAAAGGACTTACACTGGCCTCTGTACAATTCCAAGGAAAAGGCGTACTTGGAAATCGACAACAAAGTTTCACCTAAGACTGGTGGCTTCCATCAGGAGCGATTTAGCATTTGGGATGAATTGTTTCCCCTTTCGAACTATTATTGAAACCTAACTTTTTTAAGTGAAATCAAAAATACAGATTATTTCAGCAACACTCTTTAATATCTGTCCAATTAGTCGGATTATTCTACTTCTTTAGCTGAAAATTCAAAGAAGAAGAGGAAAAAAATCATTTTAAAGACATCGTATCACTGCTCGCATTTCTCAAAAATTAACAAACAAATGGACAAAATGCTTGAATGCATAACTAGCAACCAGTGAACCAGTGAAAAGTCAACAATTTCTGCCAATTTAGGAATACACCTCGACTGGATTTGACTTGACTGAAAATAGAAGATTTTTCCAAACAAGTTGCCCGAAAGATGCAGTCAAGAGAAGTGCAAATTGCTTTACTCTCGATGTGTATTGATGGCAATTAAATTGTGATTACTAGGGAGAATTTTGGCATAGGCAAATACATAAATATTTTCTGCGATAATCATCAGCTCATTAAAAACGAGACGAACCACAAAACAGGACATCATTAAATTGCCTCTTCTTCATAATGACTGGGCATTTAAAGGGATCGGAAACGAGCCGATGCACGGGGGTCAGCAGATCCAACCCTAAATCGCATGAAATTATCTGCATTTGCATACCGACACAAAATACACCGAACTAATGGCACCGCCAGCCACACCACATTTATATAGCTCATGAATTTTTGATTACGCATTTGGCAATGCGGCCAAAAACGGCCAAAAGCAGCATAAGCCGTCGAGCCCCAATGAACCAAACCAAACCAATCCAACGGAAGTGACTCCATGCAATTTAATATTACGCATACGCAGCGTATGCAACTGATTGGCAGCGGTTAATAAATACGCACAAGCAGCGAATGCCACGCAAATATTTGTATGCGTATTCCATAATTCACTGGACGCCAATTGTGGAGCTTTGTCCGCGACCAGGATGGCATCGTTATATCATATATACAACTTATGTGTGGGGTAAATGTGCGCATCATAATATCCCATTATTTTGGTTGAACCTTCTGTGGTAAAAACAAACTGAAAGCCGTGGGGTGCCGCAAGCACAAAGTTTAAAGGTTAAATAAATGAACAGCGTTGAACCAAACACAAATTTCTAGGTATCTCTATTTTAAGCTTTGCTTAGCAGCTCTGTATTTACTTTTAATTTTTTTATCTTTCTTTTGCTTAGAGCTATCGCTTTTTTAATTTTTTCTTAATATTATTAGTACTTTTGGTAACTTTACGCGGACTAATACACATTTTCACACACAGAACTATGCAAATGACCACTATGCATAGAACTAATAAAATTCCACCAAACAATGTGCCCAATACATCCAGACTGTGATAAGTAAAGAAATCCAGTTTTCTGCCAGGGACTCGCATATGAGGCGCTCCTTTGTGGCGCAGGACGTAGTGAGTCCACCATATAGCCGTGTCCAGTGGGGACATGGGCTGGTCCTTATACCGGGCCGAGGTGGTCCTGACCTTATCATCGAAAGATTTCTCCGTAAGCAATCGAAGAATATTAGACTTAAGCTCCTCGGCTGTCACTTTCTTTAAATCCAAAGCCAAACCTAGACCTTGACGCATAACATACTCCATATTGCGGAATTGATCGTGGTAGAAGGGTAATCCCAATAAAGGCTTGCCGTAATGGATGCTCTCAATGGTGCTGAGCAAGCCTCCATGGGTGATAAAAAGCCTCACCTTTGTATGCGCCAAGATATCTTGTTGGGGGAACCATTTGCTAATAAAGACATTAGATGGCTTATCCGGGAGATTCTCTTCATTAAACTTCCAAAGTACCCGTTGCGGCAAACTTGAGAAAGCCTGAAGAATTACATTCCTTCGTTCCTCCGAAAACTCTGTGCTGTTAATATTGGTGCCCAGGGAAAAGTAAATTACGCCATCCTCCCCAGCTCCTTGGATGAATTCTTCCAAGTCCTTGGGCAGCGCTTGGGGTTCCTTCTGGACATGCATTCCTGCCACTTCAATTATATTTGGTACATAAGGTCTCGGTGGAGCCAAGGTAAAGTGCTGATTAACGAATATCAACGAAAAATCTGTAGACACATCCGATAAAGAACGTTTATCAGCGATATTTGGAAAATATTTTCGATAGAGGGCTTCATGTTTTGCCGCGTAACGCCACTTCCAATTGACCCAGGCGATAGACTGCTCCACAAAGTTGAACAGGCGCCCTCCGAATGTCTGGGTGTCTGGCAAACTAAATTTGTAAGATGGCGATTGCAGATAGGATAAGGGTGAAGGATTTCCCACCAATTCATCGATCTTCCAATCGGTTCCAAAGGGTGCTACTCCAATTATGGGAGCTTCAAAGTAGGCTGCCAAGCCATAAAAAGAATCCGACCGCCAAAGATCCACAACTATTAAGTCAAACTGGGCTTTTCCTGGTTTTAGAATTTCCCGCCGAACGGCATCGTTATTGAATACTTTTTTTGTAAGATTTACGCTATACTCATTGCAGATTTCAACAGCTTGCCAAGTGTTCATGGGAGTGGTTAATAATTTTATAATTTCTGAGAAAAAAATTTTAATTAAAATTTGTACACATTTTTTGTACTAAGACACTTACCCTCAATTCCTTCAAATACTTCTAGAATTGGAATATCTCGAAAATTTTTTACAGGCTCCTTTGATGGATACGCATTAATTGAGGTCACGTCATGGCCCAAAGAAGCCAAACTTTTCAGGTAAGGCAGGACATATATATAATGGGAAGTGCTTGGAAGAGGGAATAAAGCGAGGATACGTGCCGCTTCCAAAAATCCAGGTAGGATGCACAATACCACCCAAAACCATCTTAAAGCTAACATTTTTCCAACGGGCACGCGCTTCGACCGAGCTCAGACTACAGACTGAAGCCCTCACGTTAAAGACGATATATAAATTAATATGATAATAAAATCCGATAAGATTACAGCACACTATGCTGAACTATGGAAAACCATAAATCATAATATTTCCACATTGATTAGGTTAACTAACAGACTAGGAAGGGAAAGTACCTAACATGATTATGGTGTAAATCAGTAAACTTATATCTCCGTTGTCACATACACTTTTAGGAGCGTGTGATAACAAATGTTTATTCAAATTAGTGATACGGATGAATAAAGATAAGTATGAAATTTTTTCCAATTCCAGCTCCAAATTATTCAGCTTTATTTGAAGACACGTCAGGTTTGTTAGGTGTCGGTAGTGTCTGCAAACGATAGCTAGAGAAGACACGGCGGTACACATCGGGGCGAATTGAATGGACCCGAGAAAGAAGAAAGAAGATTTGGGGCTCATCATCCAACTGGAGCCACCTGAAGGCAAAAATTTCTTCACGGAAGGAAATTGTTTTTTTTTACGAGTTGGATTAAGAATTTGAAAAGTACCTGAAACCCTGTGTTTCTATCTTCAAAAACACGAAATTTGGGTCATTTCCGATCGTTCAGTTATATGGCAGCTATAAGATATAGTCGGCCGATCCTTATGAAATTTGGCATGTCGTAATGTTTTGCCAAAGATAGCTCTCGTGTCAAATTTGAACTCTCTAACTCTAAAAACACCAAAGTTATACCATTTCCGATCAATCAGTTATATGGCAGCTATAGGATATAGTCGGCCGATCCGGGCCGTTCCGAATTATATACTGCGTGCAAAGGAAAGAAGGATGTGTGCAAAGTTTCAAGACGATAGCTTCGAAACTGAGAGACTAGTTCGCATAGAAACGGACAGACAGACAGACGGACAGACAGACGGACAGACGGACATGCTCATATCAACTCAGGAGGTGATCCTGATCAAGAATATATATACTTTAAAGGGTCGGAGATGTCTCCTTCACTGCGTTGCACACTTTTGGACAAAATTATAATACCCACTGCAAGGGTATAAAAACACAAAATTACATTTCACAATAAAATTTAATAAAGCCTAATGAGATTTCTGTTTTTTCTTGGAGCTTCCAAAACCAGCGAGCTTGATACCCTTGAAAAACAAGGCCAACACGACTACTAGAAGCAGAAGAGCTCCTCCCATAAGAGTACCGATCACGTCCAAGCTGTGATAGGCAAAGAAGCCCAGATCCTGGCCAGCCACCCTCATGTGATAGGCTCCCTTGTGCCGCAAGACGTACTCCGTCCACCAAATAGCTGTTTCCAGAGGGGTCATCGGTTGGTCCCGATACCGATCGGACATCTGTTTGGCCGTGTCCGCAAACTGGCTTTCGTTTACCAATCTTTCGATGGTTTCCTTGAACTCCTGCTGCGTCATTGTCTTGTGGTCTAGTCCCAGTCCAAATCCAGCCTGTGTTGCTCTTTTCACATTCAGGAATTGATCGTAGAAAAATGGGAGTCCCAGGACCGGCTTGCCGTGGTGGATGCTCTCGATGGTGCTTAGCAACCCACCATGTGTGATGAAGAGCTTAACGTTGGGATGGGCCAGAATGTCCGGTTGGGGAAACCATTTGCTAATGAACACGTTCGACGGCTTACCCGGCAGCTGGTCCTCCTCGAATTTCCAAAGGACTCGCTGTGGAAGACTGGCAAAAGTTTTTAAGATTATTTCTCTTCTCTCTGCGGGCAAGTCCTTGCTCTTAACATTAGACCCCAAGGAGAAGTAGATAACCCCTGCCTTGCCGGCGCCCTGAATAAAATCTTCCAAGTCCTTGGGCAAGGGAGCCGGCTTGTGGGATATATGCAGGCCGCCCACCTGGATCATGTTCGGAACGTATGGTCGAGGAAAACTCAGAGAGAAGTGCTGATTGAGCAGCACCAGTGAAAAGTTCCTATTTAAGTCCGACAATGGAACCCTCTTGGAAGCCTCGGGAAAGTATTTCGCGTACATCGCCTCCTGCTCCGGCATGTGCACATATTTGTAGTTTAACCATGCTACTGTAGTATCCACAAAATTGGTAACACGCTCCTTGAAACTCATTCGGTCTGTAAAGCCCGCAGTCACGAGGGGAGTGTATGACATTGGAGATACATTGCCCACCAGCTCATCGATATTCCAGTCAGTGCCGAAGGTCGAGAGACCTATGATTGGGGCATTGAAGTGGGATGCGAATCCATAATAGGCATCTGATCTAATAGCCTCTACGATTATCAAGTCGAAGTGATCCTTTCCAGGTGGCAGGAGCGACTCATTCACCTCTTTGTTTGTCAAAACAGCTCTCGTTACGCTGACAAAAAATTTGTTAATAAAATTATTCTCCTGCCACAAGTTCATTGGCTGATTCAAGTCTTTAATTAGCTCTATAAAATTAAAAATGAATAATTTTAGATCTAAAAAATGTGTTACTTGACTTGCCATTGTAGTTTTCAAACACCTCGAGTATTGGAACATCGCGGAAGTTTTTCAAAGGCTTCTTCTGAGGAAAAGCATTAATCGAGGTCACCTCGTGTCCCCGAGCGGCAAGTTCTTTTAGATATGGGAGCACATTTATGTACTGCGACGGTCCTGGGAATGGGAACACGGCCAGAATCCTTGCTGCCTCCAGGCACACAGGAAATAGCAACACTAAAATTGCACTTAATTTCAAAGGTAGCATCTCGCCAGCCGTCTCTGAACATAAGCTATCAACTGAGTGGAAAAAACTGTCCTATGAATTTCACCTTCTATTAGATAACGCCACCGACAAGACACGCAATAAAAATTCTCGACAGATGCGATTACAATAATTTAGTAGGCAATCCACATTTACTTGACGCTCCCAATCACTTCCTTATATACTTAACCCCTTAAAAAGTATTATTATTATTATAGTTTGTGGAGTTTGTTTTACTTTTTTATTAAAATATTTTGAGTAGAAAGTTAAAAATTGGCAGTAAAATCAGTAAAAAATACACTAATTACATTTTTTTTTAATTTGAGAACATTTGTTTTAAATTTTCCTAAGTGTAAATACATTAAGCAATCTTTATTAACTAACTGAATGCCAAGAGTTTATGCGTTCAAAAAATGGTTGTTAAGCTTATCTGATCAGTTAGGCGAAGTTATCTTATAAAACAGGGACCGTAAACATTATGAGTTTTATTTTAAAAATCATAACAATAATCATTATTTACGGTCCCTGAAATAAAACAATCTTTGTTCTAATTTTGAAAAAGACAATGCATGTTTGCACATTTCCCGTTCTTTTAAAATTACGGGAAAAAAGAAAATTCAATGATTTTGTTAAAAATAACATTTATTTAATATAATTTTTATTTTAATAGGTGGGTTGTTATACACAATTTTCCGAAATCAAAACATATAATCTCAACTAGTTTCGTTTATACTATGCTAGGGTTAAAAAACATAAAAAACGATCAGTGCGGCATGAACTATAGTCAGCTTAATAACCTTAATTGGTTACTGTGTCTTCAATTTGTTCGCCCGATCTCGACGTTTGGCGATTACGTAACAAAGGCCCCTGAATAGAAGCTTCAGAGCAATTGCAAAGCTCAGTAGCAAGGCAAGCGCGGCTGCGATGAGTAGGCCCCAGGTATCCAATCCGTGGAACTGCACAAAACTCAGATCCCGGGAGGCACACCTCATATGGGTGGCGCCATCATTTCGTAGTACATATTCCGTCCACCAGATGGCGCGTTCCAGGGCGGTCTCCTTTTGGTCGCGGAATAACCTAGACTTGGTCTGAGCCGCTTTGGCATAGCTGGGATTCTCCAGAAGCTCCTGTATCAACGGAATCAGAACTGTGGCATTCGAAGTCCACAAATCGGCACTTAGACCATAGCCCGCCTGCTTGGCCCTCTGGATATTTAAGTGCTGATCGTAAAAAACTGGCAGTCCCAAAACTGGTTTTCCGAAATATATGCTCTCGATGGTGCTCAATAATCCGCCGTGGGTAACGAAAAGCTTTACGTTCGGATGGGCCAGAATATCAGGTTGAGGAAACCACTTGCTAATGAAAACGTTAGCCGGTTTATCGGACAGCTGATCGTCCTCGAATTTCCATAGGATACTTTGAGGCAAGCTGGCAAAGGTTTCCATCAGAGCTTGGCGAACAGACGGCGGCAGATCCTTGCTATTAATGTTCGAGCCCATCGAAAAGTATATTACTCCCTTAGTGGCTTGGCTGACGAAATCCGACAATTCCTGGGGCAGAGGTTGCACTTTACGTTGCTGCTGCAGATGAAGACCTCCCACTTCGATCATATTCGGCAGATAGGGACGCGGATAGCTAAGTGAAAAGTGCTGGCCCATCAGAACCAGAGAGAAGCTATCCATAATCTCCTCTAGAGACTGCTTCGACTCTGGAAAGTATTTTCTAAGTAGGTCTCTTTGAGTTGGCAAGTGAACAACCCGCTTATGCACCCAAAGGAGCAAGGCATCCCAAAGATTCCAGAAGCGTTCATCGAAACTCATTCGTTCGGTTCGCGATGACAAGAGCATAGGGTTGTAGGAAAGGGGCGAGATATTGCCCATTAGTTCGTCAATATGTCGATCCGTTCCATAGGATGAAATTCCCATAGTCAGGGCTCCAAAGTGCTGGGCTAATCCAAAGAGAGCCTCGTTTTGGACCGTTTCGAACACGACAAGGTCAAAGTTCTCGTCGCTGTCCAGCAGCTCCTTCACAGCCGGATCATCCAGTATGCAAGTGGTTAGAAGATTGATGAATTCCGTAGTCATAGTCAGCATTTTCCATTGGCTAGTGGGTGTATTGTACATGATACTGTTAAAAGCTGAAAGTATAATTATTTAATTAATTGTTTCTATTTTAAAATACTTGAAATTACTGCATAGCTTGTGAAATAATTAAGTTCAATGGAACTATCTAATCGTAAACTCTATAATAATATTCAATCATATTGTTACCTGCCATCAATTCGTGTATCTTTTTTGCACCAATTACTCGAAAATTGGGTTCAATTTTGTCGCTACCGAAGGTGTTGATTACGGTGACATTGTGTCCACGTCGGGATAGCTCCTTGAGGTACTGTTCGGCGAAAATATACTGAGATCGACCGGGAAAGGGAAACACGGCCAGAATGCGGGAACTTTGAACCTTTTCATCGGCATTTGCACTCAAAACAAGCACCAGGCCAACCAACAACAGGCCGATACCAGCTCCATAACACGGAATTCGCATTTCAACCGATTCGCTGACAAACAGCAACTAATCGGCTACAAAAAGTTGGCCATAATTATCTGTGAGTGCCCATTTATTTACTCGCATACCCAGAGACTTTACGCTCACACTTTTTAATCAAAATTCACTGGAGCGAGACAGAAGCATTGTTTTTATGTACAACGATTTTTTGTTATTTTCTACACATTTAAACTAAAAAATTTAAACTTATGCGCATATATTTTTTTTGCGTCACCGGCTTGCCTTAGACAACTTTGTTGATTGTTTACATACAACTCTCAGTTGTTATGCAACTATCTGTTTCTCTTGAATTTGTGTTATTCTCTTGAATAAAATCTAATCTGTGTTAAAACTCATTTGGTTTCTCTTTTCTTTTCTCTTAAATATCCTCCCATTCGATATTTTTTTATTCCAGCTATTAATTGTTGTATTTTAAACTTTGAACACACAAAAGGTACATCATATATCGTTTATTTTAGCATAGACTTCAGATAGACTTCAGAAATGTTCAAATTTTTAAAAGTATTTATTTATTATACAATTATTGTTATACATATATATCTAAGCATTAATTAAATACTTTTAACGAAAAACAAAATAATTTGAAGCGTATTAAAAATAAACTTAAGTACCGTTTTAACAATCTCAAATATCGAATAATTAAGATAAGATAAGGTATTACTGGGCTTATCATTAATGTCTCTACTGTAATCTAAGTATGACTAAAATAAGCAACAATTAAATGGAAGTACCAAATATTTTTCACTTCGAAGCTATTAATAAATATAATATTGATTTGTAAAATAGCTTATTTTTAAATAATACATCCGAATATACAATCATCCGAACTGTGGCAAAAAGCGCTTGGCAAATTTCACAAAATATTTGAGGTAACATCTCCCCTTGGAAAGGGCAAAGAAAACCGAAAAAACTGTAACAAATAATCGAAGTCCCAAAAATAGAAATTTGTCCAGGGAATAATATTCTGTAAATTTAATGTTCGAATTGGGTACCCGCATGTGTTTGGCTCCTTTGTAGCGCAGGATATACTCTGTCCAGTAGATGGCATTTTTCAAAGGATGTGTAGGCCGATCGCGAAACCTTTGGGATATGGCCAAGGCATTGTCCAAGAAGGCTGGATTGTTTATTAAGCTATCTATTGATCTCTTAAGCTCGTCACCACTAAAACTATTTATATTCATTACCAGGGCCATGCCGTCGTCCACCAAAACTTCAAAGTTCCGGAATTGATCAAAAAATAATGGAAGCCCCAAAAGTGGCTTTCCATAGTAGACGGCTTCCATTACGCTCAACATTCCTCCGTGACAAATAAAAATCTTTACATTCGGGTGGGCTAAAATGGCTAGCTGGGGCAGAAACTTCGCCATATAAACGTTTTGAGTTAAGTTTTCGAAAGGCTTCCCTTCGAATTTCCAAATAATACGCTGTGGTATAGACAGGAAGATCTCCAGAAACGTTTTCAATATTTCTGCTGGCAAATCCTTGCCCTTTAGTTCCACTCCCATTGAAAAATAAATCACTCCGTGTTCGGCCTCATCGATAAAAGCTTGTAGATCTCTTGGGAGCTTAGGAACTTCTTTTGGAATATGAAGGCCACCCACTTCGACTAATCCAGGAGCGTTCGGTCTGGCTCGGAACATGCTGAAGTGTTGGTTGAGTAGCATTAGGCAAAAACTATGCCGGATTTCCAAGAATGACTGATCCAGATGGCCAAAAAAATAATCGTGTACCATTTGAAGTTTTGGGATAAAAATCATTTCAAATAGCAGCCACTCCTCTGTAATGATGTACCAATTATAAAGGCGGGCCCAGATGCTGCCTGAGGTTTGAGTTTCCGCTGGCACTATTGGCTCTTCCACCACCGATACCCCATAGTCCTTTAGACGGTTGATATTCCAGTCTGCTCCACAGGTTGATATACCAATCAGCAATGCGTTAAAATGTTCAGCGAGGCCAAAGAGCAAGTCCGTATAGCCCGCTTCCAAAATGAGCAAATCGAATGTGACATTAGACTTCATCAGGGCCTGAACTTCCGGATTGAGAAGAACATTGAGTCCAGCTCTAATCATAATATTGGCTATGGAGTGCATTTCTGCCCATTTTCCTCCAGGAGAACCAACAAATAATTCAAAAATTACATCTTCAAAGTCTAAAATTTCATATAAATGTAAGTCACGAGAATTATTTCTCCATAAAAAGGTGGAGGAACCTCATACCTGAAATTACATTGTGATTATCCATTATCCGAATGGAAGTCACATTTACAATGGACATGCACTCCTCATAAGCCCGCACCACTGTAAGTTCGTGTCCGTGATCGACAAGTCCCTGGACATAGGGCGACATTAACGCGCACTGAGAATGTGAATCAAATGGGGCGATAAACAGGATCCGAGCAGCTTCTAGCCAACAGATCGCATTTATGACCGTGGGCCAGAAGAGCAACCATCGTCCCGGGGGAAACATTTCCATCCAGCGCCCAAATTACAACTGACTGCCAGAAAGAGCTGACGATTCGCATTTTGCTGATTAGATTGTCCCAATGAGAGTGTTGTACCCAACTGTTTATTCAGCCAATAAAAAATATATAAGCAGTATCAGTTCGGGCAGCGGCATGTGCGGTTGATTTGGATCTAGCAATGTCGAGGAGCCTTTCGGGTTTGCTGTTACCGACCCTTGTTCTCGTTTGCCTGCTAGAGCCTCGAATTGTAAAATCGGAGAACATACTGGGCATATTCTCATACACTTTCGGTTCATCATATCTTTTGATTGAGCCATATTTGAGGCACCTTGTCCAGCGGGGCCATCAGTTGACCATCATTTCCGCCGTCACCCACTTGCCGCACATTGAGGGTGCTCACCACATTCGCGTGGCCAGACTCGATCAGCAAATGCAAGGTAAGCATAAGAATATAGTTCCACTAATCGCAAATAATTATAAATTGTTGGTCATAGATCTCCTTGACTACGATTATGAATTCGAGCTAAGCAAGTGGATGGAGGCCCAGTTCGTCTCCGACTACTTTTTCAACTGTTCCAAGTTCATACTAGAGGATCCTGGTGTCCAGGAGTTGCTGCTCAACAAGAGTGCCGAATACTCGATGGTGATTTTGGAGGCTGCCCACACCGACGCCCTCTATGGATTTGCCCAGCACTTTAATGCTCCGCTGGTGGGCTTAGCCGCCTTTGGCTCGGCTTGGAATATTGACTTTTTGGCCGGCAACTCCGCCCCGAGTGTCTACGAGCCAATGTCAGCCTTGGGCTACTCGCCGGGGCTTAGTTTGCTGGAGAAGTGGTACAACCTGATTTTTATCACAGAAGAGCGCTTGGTAGAGCGTTTTGTCTACCTGCCGCGCCAAATCGATCTCTATAAAAAGTACTTTTCTGAGGGAGCTGGCAGTCTGCACGAAATCCGACGGAGGTTTTCCTTGATCTTGATCAATCAGCACTTTAGTCTGGGCCGGGTACGCAGTAATGTGCCCAACTTGGTGGAAGTGGCTGGAATGCACTTGGACGCACCGCCGGAGCCCTTAGACGATGAGCTGAGGGCTTTCATTGAGGGCGCGGAGCATGGAGTCATTTATTTTTCGATGGGTCTGCAGATGCTGGACAAGTGGCTGCCACCTGGACTGCCCGAGCTAATGATTAATTCCTTCAAGAGGCTCAAGCAACGTGTGATTTGGAAGCGGTTGGATAAGACGATCGCAAACAATACCAGGAATGTGTATGTCAGTGGTCTATTGCCCCAACGCGAAATACTCAACCACCCGAATGTGAAACTCTTCATCACCCACGGCGGGGTGCTAAGTATCATCGAGGCCGCTCATTATGCAGTGCCCATACTCTGCCTGCCCCTATTCTTCGATCAGTTCCAAAACACCAAGCGAATGGAGAAAATGGGAGTGGCCCGAAGCCTAGACATAACAGATATCTCCCAAGAAGTAGTTTTGCAGGCCATAGGGGATATGTTGAACACCAGCTCATACAAGCAGAGAGCTCTGGATTTGTCCGGGAGATTTCACGACCAGCCGATGTCCCCCATTGACACCGCCGTTTGGTGGACGGAGTACGTCCTGAGACACAAAGGAGCCGATCACATGCGAATCGCCGAGCAGGAAATGTCTCTCATGCAATACTACAATGTGGACATAATCTCTGTTCTATTCGGGCGCATTGGCTTCACTGCCCTCATCGTGATTGTCCTGGCTTGGAAACTGGTCTCCTTTGCCACCAGAAACCTGGAGTACAGGTTTAATCTGCCAATGGTAAGGTAATCTGCAATAAATATGCTCTCTACCCAAAAGAAAAAGCTATAAATGAACAAAAATGTAAATATTAATGTTGTTATCAATATATACTTTTGTTTTAAAAAGATTAAGCCCAATAAAACATTTCTATACATAAACAATAACCCAAATATTATTGGAAACATTTTTGCTCAAACTTTATTAGCTTATCTCTCGGCTTACCGACCGCGACCTTCCACCAACTTAAACTTGAACTCTAATAAACCCCAATCGTGAGTATCTTAAAAAAGTGTTTTTGTTTTTCTGTATTACACATTCCTATCAGTAGTGATAGTTTATTATCTAATCTTTCGGCTAAGTGACTAATGATTAGGTATATCAAATATGTCTAGTCCCAAATAAATTTTAAATTTGAAAGAAATGTCTAATTGATTCCTAGGAGTTCTAGATTTAAACACCAAAATATTGACTCGGAAAAGGCAGTAGACTGAAAAGAAAGTGACCTTCCCCACAATTGCCATGTATATTCTAATTAAAAAACTTTATTCTCCTTTTAGTCGTTATCTATCCGGACCCTTTTCCTTTTTATTTCTCTTTTTATTTTCTTTTTTTGGCCATAAACATAACCGCGCTCATTACGCATTTTACATCAATCAGCACGTGCCCAGCATGTTTTCAACTCTTTTCACAAAAAAAGACTCGAATAAAGGGCCAAGGTATTGAAAAAAGTGACTACTAGATGGAAAGAGGACATTAAAATGCGCCGGACAAGCCGAGGGAAAAAAGTGCGCACAATTGCTCTCACAATTGCTGGGTAAAATATCCCAGGGACGTGGATCCGAGAAGGTGGCCTGGTCAAAGGAACTTGGGGGTGGAACCCCTGGAAGTGTAGCCTGGGGATGGATCGGGTCTTCCTTGAGGTTGAAAAGCCGCATTGAATCCATTGAAGCGTAAAGCCAGTGTCGGTCCATCGATAGCCAAGGTAACGAACGTTTCCCGCATGAAAACAGTCCCAGCTACAGTGATTTCTCTATAAAGGGTATGGAGGACAACGAAAACAAATAAACAAGCGTTGACTGATTGTAAAAAAGGGGGGTTCATTGATTATATAGTGTAATTGAATCGTGTTCATATCAAGGTTTACCTTACTTTTTGCGATAAATGACTTTGGTTTAAAAGTATGGACCTTTACATTCTCTGTAAAATAATAATAATTATACGTATCGAAGGATGTCTGTTTTTCCAGCTCGTCAAATTCATTTTCATCCCTTTGAACCCTACACTAGTAATTGAAAACAAAAGTCTATGAATGCAGATTCCAACCACAAGAATGTAAAATTATTTATGCCAAAAATAAATCGAAACGAAAAATGGGAAATGTGATGTATGAGAAAAATGCTGGCATGTTAATAAGTTGAAATGAAAAGACGAAGGATTCCACAAAACCAAATTGCACTCAACGTTCTGTCAATTTGATGTTTATTGCAGATTTTTATTTGATTTTATGTTTGAGCAACATTTGAATTTATGTGCCGGCCATAAACTGGCGGCGAGTCTAATCCAAAAATTCTTGTAAAATTGCCAAAGCCTCTTGCCTTTTGGGAGCTGGGGCGGGATGGGAAGTTGACCTAAGTCAGGCCATTTTTATTGGCCATTTGGCAACGGAGCCGAGGGAAACTTTGCGCCAGCATTGTGGGAGTTGAGGCTGACACTGGACTTGGCCAATACTCAAGTGGGCGGCTTTCATTGGCGCTTAACTAACTGAAATTAAGTAAACTTTTCTTTTGACTTTCATAAGCCTTTTAATAAGCCATAATCCCCGCTGGCATTATCTGGCCCCCAGTCATAAGCGCACAAAGGACAAACACACACAAACGCACGCATAATAAAATCTAATTAACATCCTCGCCGAGCTCATGAAAGCCTTCGCGCAATAAAAATCATCAATAGTAGAAAAGAAGTTTATTAAAAGTGATTTCACCACCACCACCACCAACTTCCCCAAGGATCAGGAATAGTCGGACAGGGATAACAGGAACTAATGCGGAGAACTAACATATCCAGAGATGATTACTTTTTCAACACACATGAATACACTATAAGTTAAAAATTTTATCTTTAGATATTATTTCTAAAATCTTTAATTCTTTTACATTTATATATAAGGAGCCTTTAACCTATTTCCCTGCTATATACCTTTTAGACAAAAATTTCAATTAAAGGGAATATCGGATTCGTCACAATGATAAAGTCCATGTTATTTTCATTCTTATGTGATTCCTTTTTTTCCGTTTGTCAGAAAAGTTATGCGGTAGGCTTTTAATTAGTGACTGCCAACCAGTCAGCCAGCTATCCTGGCCAAAGTCCCAAAGCGCATTACGCATACGCAGCGTTGACGCTGAGGCCGTGGCCGAGGCCGCCGCCAAAGCTGACTGGCACATTGGCTTTGGGATCGCCGCTGGCTGCTCGGGCACGATTTTAATTAATTAGACTTTTATGAGGCGTACATGCAGCAGTAGGAGCAACACCAGTGGCTAAAGCACAAGCATTGTTGGTTTAAGGCTCAGTTATTGTTTTTTTCCCTCCACAGAAAGCCCCTGTTGTTTTTGCTTCCTGCCGGTCTGTGGGCCTAATAAGCGTTTCAGAGCTTAACACCGCCAACAAAATGTGGATCAAAATTTAGCATTTATTTTTGGTGGACGGGTGAAGTGCGGTACAAGGCGTTGAGCGGAAGGGGAGATGCTGGGATAAGGGGAGGTCACACATGTTCATTGGCCGTGTCGTGTGCGGTAATGAAAATTGCGGTGGCATTATGCTCAACATTTGGCATAATTGCAGTCCAGGATATGCGTTTATGCTCAGAGATTACTTTTTGTGGCTGCTGGCCATTGACCAGGACCCAGTGCCACATCCATGTCGCCGTCGCACCCCTGCTACCATGTGCCACCAAAAACAACAGCAAATGACCAAGCGTAATAAAAGCCAGACGATGTCGCCTTTTGTATGAAGGAATAAAAATAATTCCCAGCTTCCCGATCCGCTCGGTTCATTGTTGGTTTTTTTTTTCAGCTCTCTGGTTATTGGTATCTCGTATTGCAACTCCCTGTTCCCGGTTCCTTTCTTTATTTTCATTTTTTTGGGGTAGTTTCCAGCCAAATTAATTTCCACTGCGTCAGTCTTTTTTTTGTAACGTTATGTGTCACTACCACCGAATAGGAAGTTTAAAGCTCTTCAGTTATTAAATTAATCAGAAACAATAACGTCAAGAATCAACATAATATTACAATGTTTTAAAATGTAAAAGTATGTCTTGGTTTGTTATTTGTGAAAATTATTTCATTTCGGGATGCTGAAAAAGACAAAAGAACATTAACTTATTGGGATCCATGTAGGCCTTTGGTAATTAATGAAGAACTCTTAACACAATCTATTGTGTTTAAATAGGTGTGTAGCTTTTAATTTCCAATAGTTAGTAAAAGTAAATATATAATGAGAAAAACCAACCAAACCTTTTATGAGAAAAACCAAACCAATAAACGCAAAAAAACAGTGGGGAAATAATAATAATTAAAATGCACACGCAACAATTTTCCGGCTAGGCAAATGTACACATAAAAAAGTGAATAAAAAATAAAGAATAAACCAAATTATGTTTATTATTATGCACGATGAATGGGTGCGGAAAGGAGGTGGGCGGTGGTAAAAGAGGAAAAGAGAACAAAATCGCTATGAAGGAGTGAGAGAAAGGAAAGCGAGTGACGCCAAGTAATCCGCTTGTTAAAAATAAACGAAAATAAAAGCGATGGATGGAAGATTGGAGCTAGGGGAAAGCGTCAGGATGATGATGAGGGGGTGGGGCAGGATATGGAGGAGGGAGGCCAGAGGAAGCGCACACAAAACATAATCATCATAAACCGGAAATATCCCGACGGCAAAACATCCGCACATAAATTTTTTAAATAGTCTACAATACTTCGTTTTGCCGTTCGGCATTTGCCATTTGCCGTCTCTGTTTCTGTTCAATTCCCTTTATGGTTGTTGTTGTTTCCTCAACTGTTTTGTTGTTGTTGCTGCCTCTGTTAGACTTGTTGTTGGCATATCGCGTGTAAATACGTTCAAGTGTCTGTCCTCTCCCCAAAGATGGTCCGAAAACGAACAACGAAACCCTGCGCCAAACTTGGCCAACTGCAATAAACACACAAATTAACCCGTAATACCCAAGGACAAGCCAGGACCAAAAGGACAACGTGCCACAATTCCAGTTTGGTTTTACCATTTCATTGTTGTTATTTGTTATTGTTGTTGTTGGGCTTATTCCTGTTCCTCGTAAGCAGCCCAGTAACAACTCCAGCAACAAACGCACATAAATAAAATATTACAATTTTAATTTGTCTCTAATCCCGTTGGACATTGAATGGCTTGTGGCTGCCATCGGAGTGGGTCTCGGGTACACTTTTTGCCCCTGAGCCGAGATTTTATAAATTGCTTTAATACACCCGGACCTCCCAGATTGGGCCACATTTATCTATATGGATTTGTGACCACCAGGCAATGTGGTAAATAAATCAAATGAAATGCTTTCGCTGACAGAGCTTATAAAGTGGAGGAAAAGTAAAGGTTCCATTTTGTCTCGAGCTCAAATCGAAAAATAATTTATTAACAATTATACTGTATTTACTCTTTTAGATTCCTACATATTCTCATAATCAAAGTCCTTTCCTGGACCTTTCCCTTATTCATGATAGTTTCCCAGACTCCATTCGATTCAATCTGGCACACACTGCGTATACGCATTCCGAGCCTTCACTTAATTCACTGGAGTAAAATCGCAAACGTTTCGATTGTAGTCCACTAAAAATCGCGATTTTAGCCCGGGACTCGACAATAGCCAACGGCACGACACTAACGGTAACTGTTACGGCAACAGCAATAACAACGGTATAGCCCAGTACTACCAATACCAGGGAAAGCAGCTGAAACAGTGGCAACAGCAACAACGACAAAACTCAACCAGCTTTGGGCCATTCCTTCTACTTTCTACTGTGGCTGGGTGATTGCGATTCCTACTCACTGCGAATGGTGTTGCAAATGTGGCTTTTGGTCGGGATTTTTCGTGAATTTCAATTCATAAACATAGATACAGTTAAAAAATGTACATAGTCTATATACATAAAGCCAACCGGTCTTTGCTTTTCTAAGATGTTTCTAGCAGATTAATATAAATAGTACTTTTTTTTATTATTAAAGTATCAAAAATTAACTCACGAGTCTTTCATATCAAATCCTTTTATAGGGATCAGAAATTCATAAAATATTAAAACATTAAATTAACGTTTCTACTTCTCTACTATTTGATTAAGTTTTTTTTAGCCTTTTCAACTGCCATCACTGGTTTTCATCGTCGACTATTGCTTTCAGGTCTCTTTTATTATTTCACGCCATTTCAACAGCCGTAAGCAACAAGATTATTTATGCGTTTTCCTTGCCCAGTCGCAAGCACGCTTTAAAATCATCGCCAGCCCCGAGGCCGGAGTCCACAGTTCGGACCCCGTATTCCGTCCTCAGTCTGTAGCCCATAGTCCGTAGTCCATGGTCCTTGGTCCCGGGCAAACGCATTTTGTAGACGCGCGTGTTTGGACACAAGTTAGCGAGGGAGTCTGTCCACTGACACTGCCTACTTCGCGGCGTTGTTACAACGTGGAAGTTGCGGGGCTTTCGAGGGCAAAATGGCGGGTGGTGTGAGCCCTTGAAGTGCTATAAAATCGCAACAGAGCGATGGAGGCGCTAGCACATTGCTATTGTGATTTTTGGCAATGAATACGAAATGCTGAATGTATCCGTCCTCGTTTTCGCTCGCCGCTATCCCGACAGCCTTCCCTCCACTGCTACCTAACTCCCGCTTCGCCGTGTTGTCTTTTGACAAATGGCTTCGATGATGTTTTTTATTGCCCAGACCTATCTGACGCCGCTGTGTGCCGCCCGGGCTGGCGACATTGTTATGTAGCATATCCAATATATATAGATATATGTATATAAACATATACACGCAGTGCGCATACGTAAACTTGAAATTGTTCTGGGCATATTTTGTTCATTACATTAGACACCTCATTCCCGCACTCCCCGACCTACAGATCTGTATACTTCGAGCTAGTTAAAAATGTACATTCCTTCGCCATTTCCGGGTAAGTCTATACTTATGGTTTATTAGTTTTTAAGATTTTTTTACCATCTGCAATAATTTTGCAAGAAAAGCTTGCTGATTTAAGTTTTTTGTAAAATTTCAATAAAATGTTTCATATTAGTTTCTGTAAGAATTAATAGTAAGAGTATAAAATATTTTACCACATCCTTATTGTCCTTTTTCAAGCTTATTTATTTTTGGTGTTTTTATTGTTGTCATGTTGCTTTGGTCGTAATGGCAGCTCGTAAAAATGTTTCATTTATGCTAAATTCATTTTTGTGCCTTCGAAATCTGTTGCCGCGCCAAAGTAATAAAAGGATTCTTTCCATTTGCTCCCATTTCATTCGTTCAACCGTCCATTTACTCATTCATTCATTCGTTTGTTCAGTCAGTCACTCAGTTGGTTCGTTTCCTTGTCTCGCAGCGGGTTTGCTTCTTTGTGTGTTTTGTGGCTTCCGCATGCCTGACAGAGTTTATTGGCCTACAAATTATATTTGCTTTGTTCGGCAGTTAATGAGTCTGTTAACGTTGTGTGTTAGCGCTTTTGAGTGTTCATAAAATAAGCGAGTGCATACTGAGTAGAGTTTTCAGCTATTCACGGCCCTCTTCCGCCTTTGACGCCGCATAATTACCCGATAATGTGCATTCAAATCGTAAAAATCGTTAACCCACTCGAACCATCAAAAAAGCCTTTTAATCCTGGCGCACTTTATGATGACCATGAAATTGGCTCGCTAAAGTGCTAAAATTTTCACCGGATTTCACCGGGTTCAGGTAAAGTAGTTTCGAGAATGTATACTTGGGAGTTCACGTTTCGATTTAATTGTCGAATTCACTTAGCATTCAGGCCAATCAGGAGTTCAACCTTTTACTGCCAAAAATTAAAAAAATATATTCGACCTTCTTGTTGGTGGATATGCCATTAAACTAGCTTTCAGAGTAACCTTACCCAACCGCCAGACAAATCAGAAGTCCAACAAGCTGAGCAGCAGCAATTCACACCACACCACTCAGAAACAAGGAGTCTGCAAGTCCTCTGGCCAGGACCAGCGAACAATTTCCAAAGTGACAAGCATTAAAACCGAAAGACACGGAGACGCTGCGAGAAGAGAAAACTGCGAGCCACCCAACCGCCATGTCATTAAATGCGAGAATCCATTAAAAGCCGAAAATCAAACCAACTTTATTGAATATCAAATTAACATGTTCATAAAAATGCGCACATTAAATTAAAAGCGGTTCACGGACGACGCCGAGGAAGCTACCCCACATCATCAAGGATGAGGACAGTCCAAAACCAATTTCAGAGACTGTGGTGCGAAGAGGAAATAATAAAAATTAACCAGGATAAAAAGGAAGAAAGATATAAGGAGAGGCTCTCCAAGCGGGCAGCTACGTTTATGGGTTTATGTGTTTAATTCGAATAAATTTTAAAGGATAATTAAAAAAGGAACAGGAATGACATCCAAAACCTTCAAGTTATATTATCATTGTATTATTATCACTCTTATTAGAGAAATTAAAATATCAAAGCAATTATCAATGATTTTTCACCTTTGCCTTTAAAAAATTATCTATAAAGAGAATAAATTTATTTGAATAATGGGGGTCCAATTATTGTATGTTATTGAATAATAATAAATAATTTATAATTTATTAAATAATAAATAATTTGATATTGCCACTGAGATTGTACACAATTTTGAATAGGTAGCTTTTTTAAATATGTAAATGAAAATAATTTTATTAAAATACTATAAATACATAATCATCAAAATATTTTTGGAATTGGAGGGAATGGTTTTTTGTGAAAGAATATTAAATTTCATAAGCAGATTTCTTTTTATAGGAAAAAGTGTCCAAGTCTCGGTTGATATACAATTGAGAATTCCTTGAATTGGTTATTTTTGGAAAATAAGGAAATATCAACGCATAAACTCCCGGACTTGACGTCCGAGGAGCATCGCTTTAGCTGGCCTGTGAAAATAGCAAGAACATTTTATTTATTTATTACGCTTAGGTGACAAGGACATCGGAGGAGATTTTGCCAGCTCCGCTTTCCTCTTTCCTCTTCCAGATGCTCCAGCCCCTGGATCTCTCTTTTCCGCTTTGTGTGTGTAATTAAGTGAGGCATAAATAAAATGCCTTTTTAGTATTCATCACAATTTATGCTAAGCTCTCAAAGCATCAAGTTGCCTATGACAAGGCGCCAGAATCTTTTTCGCATTCCGTTCGGGCTTCGGGTTTGGGTGGCGGTGAGTGGGTGGTTGGTCGGTTGGATGGGTTTTGTATCTTGCTACTCTGTTGCATAACTAAGTGCGCTGGGGCACCAGCAAATGGAGGGTGTCCTGGTGGGAGGATTACGAGAACCGCTAGTTCCGAGTCCCTCGCACATTCCACGATTGGCGTCGCCGGCTTCGTAGCTCATCAAATATGCAATTAAATCAGTTTCCGTTTAATTAAACCGGAAGTGCGTTGGCTGAAATTTTCCCAGCCCTCTCTATTTCTCTCTCTCTCTCGGTCTCCCTTTCATATTGGTTATGTATTGGCATCCCTTCCTCACACTCTGGTTTTTGATTTTTAAGTGCTGGGATTTTTACATTTTTATGAGGTTTTTCACTGCATTTCATTGCTCTCTCGCTCCTTGTGGCTCTTTACATCTGGCTCATTGACTATTTTGCATTTTATTGAATTGAATTGTAGGCGGAACCGGAAAAGAATGGGTAGCCACAAATGAATCAGTTCTAAGCATGCAAAGTTTCTCTCATGAAGGCTTAGCCAGCAATTAGTTAGCCATTGGCATTGCTATTCTATGAAGATGGAATGCAATTGCCTTTGCCGTGACGTTGCCATTCCTGTTGCCTTGACTGAGCTTTAAGGCCTTTTGGAGCGGACTAATTAAACCACGCGAAATGTGCGCCTTAAGTTATGCCACACTCAAAAAACAACAGCAACAATGAAATTGCTGCTTTTCTGTTTCAGGCTTCTGCACCTGGTTCTGCTTCTGCCTCTACCGCCTGGCTGCTTGTGCTTATTTCTTAATTATTAATTAAGAATGAAAACAAGGCAAAAAGTGAGTTGCATGCGCGTACTTTCGCTGGAATTGCCACCATTTCAGTGAGACGCCCGTGAGCATACTAAGGCATTCCCCACACTAACTTATATGGGCACTGAAAGTGCATTAATCGTATGGCACAATATAATACAAATTAAAAGCAATCAAAATTTTGCAGTTTTAAGATTCAAAATATAAAACTTTAATAACTAATATTATTAGCTAATTATTTATTCAGTTCATCCGTCCAAAACTGCAGTAAGAGCATCCAAGTACTCCCATTAAACACAGTCAACAATTTTGGTATTTTACTGCTTTGGCAGCCTCGTCAAGACGTTTGAATACAACAACTGTGGCACTTCAAAACCGGCCCAAACTCTCCCCCGCCCCAGGCCCCAGGACCCGTCTCTTGTATGCCTTGCGTATTATCCAGCGTTGTCAACGGCAACCAACGACAACAATGAGGATGAAAATGAAGACGAAGGCAAAGACGATGTTTCCATAAGTTAATTTGCGTCTCATGTATGCATGCTTGCATTTGCATGTGTGTCAGCCAGGATATACATGCATACATGCACACACTCACATACGTAGGTGGTTTGCATTAAAACTTGAAAATTTAAATCCCTTAAGTGATGCAACTTCAACTGTTTCACAAGTGGCTATATGAGTGTAGAATATGTATCTCTTCTTGTACCACACGGTATCTCATGCTCGTTCACTGTGGCGCTTGTAATTAGCATGAAAATAACTTTGTGTGTACCGCTCGAGGCGAAACTTTAAAGATTTTTCACTGCACACAAGTAAACGTATGTATGTATGTAGGCCTTAGTAGTACTTGACACATAATTGAAATAAATGCATATTTAATGAATTGCGCATAGTTGCTGATATGTGTCATCTATCAATGTACTGACTTTGGCCAGTAATTGATTTTACGTATTTATCACGCAAATTAATGTTAATTGTGAGCTAATACCAAAACTTATCACTCCACCCACACGGCGTATGATTGATATTTTCAAGAATTTATCCACTTAACATCACTCAACAACAACGTCATTCTTAAACTTAAATTAGCTCAAAGTTGGTTGAACTTTCAAGTGCCGCAAAATTCATACAAGTAATGTGGGGATAATTGCTGCAATTAAAAGGTAAAATTTATGAAAAGGAATCTAAGAAAAACGACTCTTGTAATTACAAGCATGTCAATAATTGGACTACTCACTATTGGAATTGAGTTACAAAGACTGAAGGCTTATTATGTGTGTCCATAAAATAAATTTCTTTAGAAGACCAAAAGAAATAAATTTTAGAAGAGTTTTTTGTAAAAATACTTTTTTTTTTCTACATATTTTGTATAGCCTACCTCATTGATCGTTAGAGGTTTTATTTTTGGAATAGAGTCCGGAGCCCGAATAACACATTCGACCATATTGGTGGGCTACCACAAAGGAGAAGCGTATCGTTCTGCCTTTCACTCCTTCTGCAATGCCTTTCTTTGCTTTCTTTTTTTCAATTTTAATTACAAAACTTTTCATTTCGCAACGCTGGGCCATTGGAGCGAGAAGGGGGAGGAGGAAGAGTTCCTGTTGGGGCGCCACGCTTGATTACAGGGCGTGCTTATGCGCTGATTGCTTGGCTATGAGTTCCATTCACTCGTTTCTGGCCATCAGCCCAGCCCCCTTTCCAAACTCCTCCTGGCCCCTTGGTTGCTGCCTCACTGATTGTTTCATGCAGCTTGACTTTGCCATCATTATTGGCTATTTGGTCGGTATTTTTACTCTGTCTCTGTATTTTCCCCAATTCTACCCATTTTTTTAGACTTTCTGTGTTTGATTTTGGTTTTTTTCTGTTTGTTTGGTTTGGTAGAAATGCCACATAGTTGTCCTTTTTATTATTAATTTTCTTTTGACTGCAAGCCGAAGCGACCAAACTCTTTATCAAACATTGTTCTGATGTTTTTATTACTTTCTAAATACTTTTGTGTGGAATCAGCGATTGTTTGGCCAATGCCAGAAGCTAAATACTTTTCATAAGTCAAAAAGCATTATAGATGCATTTAAGTCTATCCATAAGATACACTTTAATATGTTTTTCAATAATTATTTGAACAAAAACACGGAATAAAAAGCTGATTTAAGCGAAATAAATAATAATTTAATTTTCTTACTCTTAAAAGAAATTTTTACTATCTTTAGTAGGCCACTGAGTTTATATTATTTCAACTTTACTTATTTCAAATTTTCATGAAATAAAATCAAATATTTTTCAAACGAGTTTTTTTTTTCAAAATCATATATGTAGAACTTAACAACTACCTAAGGATAAATATTAAGCTTTTACAATTGAATAAATTAATTCTAGTTTGAAACAATTCTATCTTGTATACACTTAGAAAGTGTATAATGTCGACTTTTCCACCTGATTGCCCCCGGAAGTTCCTTGTACCGATACTTTTACCTTTTTCGGGGTATTATTTTCTTTTTAACCTTTTTCCAGTTGAACTTTTGTCTAAAGGCAAATGCCAAGCATTTTTCGCAAGGATTACGGCCCAGTTTCATTTAACCAAATTAATTTTACAAAATTAATGGCGGCCATGTCTACTTACCCCACTTTCCGCTATCGTTTCCTTTTCAATTCGGCCTCGTCTCCCAGCCCATTAACCATAAAAATCTCTTTTAAAGTGTGGTGTGCATATGTTTTGTTTCAGGATCGAGGTAAAATATGCTGAAAATGTTTCCATACTGCCATACTGGCAGGCGAAAGAGTTGACAGCCATCTCCTGCTGTGAAAGAGACAGCTACACTGTGATTGTGGGCTAAAGTGGGCGGGGCAGTCAAGGATATAGGAGTCTGGCATGCCGACTACAACGACGAATTACAATTATGATGACACAAATTGGTTATGTCTCTCCATGTGTGTGTGTTTTTGTTTCTGGCGCTTTTGTGTCCTGCCTTCAAGTTGATTTTGTTGCTTTTTCGGTTTTCTAACAACCCGAAATGTCAGGATACCTTGACAGGATACATGGCATGTGGAGCTTGTCATCGTTTCGTTGGCATTCGGTTGCCTCTCTATCATCTCTATACATATATATTTTTCCAGCTTAGCCCCAAAGCGAATAAAAACAAAATCGTAAAAAATCATAAAGCATAATGCTGAAAAATGTATGCAAGAAATTGCTTGCTAGCCTTCTGGCCCGGCCCGACCAGCATAGCCTAACATAAAATATGAAATTACATATAATAAAAAATCCAGTCATAAAGTTGTGTGCCACTGCGTAAGCCGCACTCTTTGATGCTGCCCCTGTTGCCGGGATCATATTCGTACTGCTTTTCCATGGATAATGCTTTAAAATCTTGGCTTTCTCCATCCTGAGTGCCTTGAAAAGCTACTAGAACAAATTACATTTGATTAGAAGGATAATTGAGTGGATGTAATGCATTATAATTCTCAAAGTCTTAGGCTAAGATAAAAAAAAATGAAAAGGAGAAGAAACTACTTTAAGAAAAAGACTGGAACACGTATACCAGTATTTTTCCCTAGTATCCCTTTCAGCGCTTAAAGTTCGAAAAGTACCCCAGTCATTGGGGGCAAAGCAGAAAATTGATTTATTAAAATCTAACGAATATGTACCAGGACCTCTCTGTCTTTGTACGAAAGTCAATTGTAGATATGCTCAATGGCTAATAACCGCTGGCTCACGGCTGTGGGTGCGTGTCCTGTTTTAGGGACGATGGGAGCGGGGAGCGAAAAACAATTTGTAGTAACAGACCTCCCGCATACAAACGACCATTTCAACCCTCTGGGCAAGGATTCCCCCAACCGACCACCAACTGTACCAACTTTCCCACCTGCTGGCCGCCACAATATCACCGACAACAACATTCACAAAAAAAACAAAGAAAGCATATAAATAACAATGTAGCCACTGAATATGGGGGAATATGCTGGGAAGCAGCATTAGGAGTGGGGGGAGGTGGAAAATGGAAACGAAAATGAAAATTGTTTACGCTGGCCGTGAAGCTCTTTTTCGCCTGCAGCAGAAGACCTTAACTTATTAAATTATTGTTTCGACCATAATTTCAACGACACTAAAATTAAAAAACCATTACCGAGAGCCAAAAAGCATTATTTGCTAAAAATGCCAAATGGAGCAAAGCACCACGGGCAAGACCAAACAGAGGCCAAAGGATCCCAGGGCGCTACAATGTGTGGGTGTGAGCCGCCGCCACCCTCAGGCCATGGCCATGGCCGGGCCATAGCGGGAAAATATATTTCCGCTTAATTTATTAACGATTTTTGTTAGCTATAAACTTTTCATGCGTATGTGTGGGTGTTATGTGAGGGCTCTCTCCTCTCCACTAAGTGATTTTTATCTAAGGATAGCGGCAGGGAGTATCCTTGCGTCGTTTGTTTTTTTTACGATTTTCACATAATTATAATTGAAATTGCGACGACGCAGCCGTGAGCCGACGACTTCCATTCGAGTGCCAATAAATAATAGAATCAAGTCATAAACTGATAAATGATGTGCCACCATCCTCAGCCGTGGGATGAGAACTCCGATGAGTTGGGGTATCGTCTTGGTGGTAGCAGTTACCTTCTGCCCTTCCTGTTTTCACCCACTTTTTCGGCAGTAATAAACAAAGTTAATCATTTAGGATAATTGAAATTTTTACGAGACACTCAAAGTTATGTTTGCCTCTTTCTTTTTCGTTTTTCTCGTCTTTTCCAGCCATTTCGGGCAGGTAGCTTAGGCCGGGTCCCTCATTAGGCTAACCCTCCGCACGGCTTCCCAGGGTTCGATGGCTAAGTGTTATGTACTTATAGATGCAAGCTGTTGATTGGAATTATGCCGTAAATCCAAGCAAACAATGTCCAATGGAAGTAGGATGGTAATGTATCTATAAGGGCACACACGTTGCCAATGAAAGTGCCAGAGTGTAGGCAAAAAAATGAAGAGTCAGACATAAAGCACGAAGCCTCGAAACAGAAAGTCTGGAATACGTGCTAGAACCTTTTCTACAATACAAAATTTTTTGAAAGTCATGCATTAAAGAGTGCCTTGGCCTTATGTCAATTCTAGCCCTGTCTGATTAGCCTTGTCAGCCTCAGTATTATTTGTACCATAGTCTGAGAAGGTACTATAAATTGTGAAATACAAATTTGAATCTTTGCAATTTTTTCAAAAATAAAAAAAGTGAAGTGAAAAGTTTTTGATTTTCAATTGAATTAAACGTTGAATTAAAATTTTTGAAACGCAATGTTCGTAAAAGTGAAAATCCAAAACGAAAATACTGGCAGGGTGAGGAATCTAAAAACAAAAAATAAATGGTCCATTATTGCATCTTGTCTTTAGGGTGAAGAAATTGTTCAGATATCGGATTCAGCCACAGTCCAAGATTTGAAAATTAAATTGCGCAGAATCTTTAATATTACCACAGATGATCTAGAAATAAAATTCCAATCTCGAGAGCTACGCAATGGAGATGTTATTAAAAGGAACCTCAGACCGTTGCAACCAAAAGAGGACCCCTCACATTCTGATCTAGCCATTGTCGTCACGCAAAGGAGAGAGTTCATTGGCTTTCTTCAATTCTTTGCTAAAAAAATGGCAAGGAACTTTTTATCCATCTCCGCTCGTCTTGTGCCAAAGCTTAATTCTCGTCTAGATAGAAAGCGTCTTAATGATGGTGCAATGTCGGGCGTTGCAGCCAAACTGTACGTAAATTAATATTTCTCAGGTTAAAAGTGTTCTAACATAAGCTTCGCATCTTCAGTCCCCGTCTATCGGATTCGACAGAATCGTCTTCAGGAAGGTCACAAGTTGCACCTTTCCGTAACGAGAGATTCTTAAGGCTTAATGCTGGTGCTATTAATACAGCCCGAGTAGCTAAGTCAGAGTTATCTTCAGCAGAGAGTCGGACAACAGAAGAGGATAATGAGGAGCAGGAAGAGGAAAGCAATGCCCGATGCACCAATATTCGAAGGGACTGCTGCTACTCCAGAAAGTGTAATCAGGTCGATCCACGCCCTCCTTATGCGGTAACGCTGCCTGAAAACCGAAGATACGGACTAGTGATAACTCACGAAGACCCCTCGGCTGATGAAGTGGATATTATGGCTGTAATGGGACATCTTTTTGTTTTACTTGAATCTTGCGCGGGGGAAAACTTAATATTCTCAGATTGTACCCCAGTAGCTACACTCGAAAATAACTTATTAATTGTTTGCGGAGATGACGATACTATGGCATGGATGAGAGACGCAATAGACGGTGTCTGCCCGCCGCACTCATGTAATCCGTTCATCAAGTTTTTTGACTTAGTTAGGGCAACATTCGTTCTCCCATTAGTTGCACCCGAGAAATTACTCTGTGAAATTTTCTCGCAACTGGAGGCGCAAAACTGTGGGTTAAAGACACACAAGTGGAGCGTGGTAGGCAGATGTTCAAGGGGTACCACTAAGGAATATGTCGACAGAAATGTGACACACCTTGCCGATAATGACGAGATCCTTCTCTATATGGACGAGGAAAGTCGCGATTATATTCTAGATCACTGCATGAATTTGAAGTACTGTTTCTGGCGCCTTTATTTTGAGTTTGATTGTTCATAAATTTTTTGTACGTCTTGAACATTTTTACAAGTATTCTGATCCAAATTTTTGTTGATTTAATTGTTATTTTCACAACTTTTCGATCAAAATTTTAAAACAAAACAAAACCCTCCCAAAATTTGATTTCAACATTTTTCTAACGAAATAAATTATGCTTCATTCGAATTTGGAAAATACATTTTGTTGATTTTTCTCTTATACTCTAGATCACCGCCGGAAAGTTCCTGTCGCCTTGTGCTGACTTCGAAAAAAAGTTGTATTTATTTCTGTTTTATTCTAAAACACTGCTCAAAATACAAATATTGTTTCTGATCGTTCAAATTAATTTTTTTTAAACCCAGTTTTTTTTTTGTGAATTTTAGAGGAAAATGAATTTTTTTACAGCATTTTCGTAACATATGCCGCCATCAAACCTGACGTGGACTTTCAGAAGTGGCAGAAAAGTCGCAAGAAAACTGCGGCATCCAATATGCCGCAAAAAAATCTAGTTCCTGCAACACTTTGGATTTGGAAGAGATGATGGTCGTTAAATGATGGGTTTATGAACAAACAAGTGTTTTTAAATAAAAATTTTTGTAAATAAAATTAAAATAACAAAACTGTTCATTGTCTTGTTTAATAACATTTACCTGGAACAATAGTTTCTTCAACTTGAAACATATGTGGTTGAACTTTTCGATTGAACTTTATGGTAGAGTCAAGAATACATACAAAATATACATTAAAATTAAATATTAAGTTAAAGTGCATCATAAACGCCAAACAATGAACCCCTCAGACACCAGTGGAACACGCCGGGAGAAGTTACCTGTTCGGAAAGTGTCGACGCCTCAATTTTCATCACACCACAAAAAAAAAGGGAAAAAGCCAAATGGAGAAAAATCGGAACTCACCAGAAAAAAAAGAATGAAAATGGAACATAAGCCAACTGACAATATGTTCAACTGAGATGGTGGCAGGAGGTGACGAGGTGGGATGACTTGGATTAAGCTGCACCAAAAAAAAAAATTCAAATGTGGCCAGACGAAAGTTTTGTGACTCCAATCCACTCTAAAAAAAAAAAATTTTCATAAAAGCTTAGAGTTAAACGTCATTTTTGGAATTTGAGAGATGGCCTAGTCTAAAGTCTAACAAATACCGGAAGTCCTTTTTTTTAAACACAAGTTTTTGGCCCAAAACTAATGAAGTTTGCAGTTTTGTCGCAGTGTGGCCTGCCACTGCTGCACTTATCGATATCGGCATCAAAGTCTCGTAATGCCGGCACTCGCACTTGTCAGCCTAAAAGATGACAGTGATGGCAATGTGTTATTCTTGCCACGGTGTTGCCCAGAAAAGAGATGGCTATAGCTGAAGAGAGGCACAGAAAGAGAAAGAGATATAGAGTCGTAAGGACGCGAGGTCCTGGCGGGTTAACACATATTACGGCCCTTGCGTATTGATGTCGATCAAACCAATATATGTGCATGCCTGAGTGCGGGTATCTCGCTCCTTTCGCAAGGATATTTCAGAGTGTGTGCGGATGTATCCAACGCAATTGAGGTCATGTCCATGCGGCATTCATTGTCGACATCGGCGATGGCGATGGCGACGTATATGCCAAAGCATTAACTCGGCATTTGTTTCAAGCCGCTCTGAGGCAAGTCCGAGCTGGGTGACATGGGTTGAGGGGTCTTTTGGGGGTGGACAGATAGCGCAAGTTTGGCCGAGAGTTGCGACATATTGAAAATCATTGCACACACACACACTCATATACAAACATTGCGCGCACAAAGCAAGGACATAACTGGAGAAAAAAAAAAAAACAAAATATGTATAAGGGCTGCTGAACTGAAACAACGTATTGAAAGACAAACGGCATTGGCATCAATTTTTATTTGCTTTTGTGTTTTGGCATGGGTAGAAAAAATTTTTATTACATTGAAAATTTGCATAAAATATTTAAGCCAAATGGTCGGTCGATTGTATGGCTTGGAAATGTTGGGGAAAAAAGCCTTTCCGATGTGGTGGCTAGGGGCCTACCAGGAATGGATGGGATTTGTTGGCTGAAGATTTGACAAGCCTTTCGGCAAGAATGGAAAAACATGGAACGGGTTTCGAGATGGGGGAGTCTCAAGTGAGGAAAACTGCCCATTAATGTGGGTCATAGGGTCGACTCTATGGCTTGTAAAATGTCATTATAAAGGCAATAAATAAGGAAAAAATTTCAAAATTTAAAATGAAGTTCAAAAATCTTTAACAAAAATATCTCTGTTAAGAATCTGAGAAACTGAATAGAAAACCGAGAGAAAACTTAAAAGATTCGCTGCACGTTCGCATCTTTAACGCCATATGTTGACTTTTGCTACAATTTTCATTCCAACCCACAGCCCACGTGGGTGGAGAGGGGTGGATATATCCTTTATCTTATATACGCTATTTTATGCCTGCACCATCCCCCACTCATTGACGTTGTCTTTTTTTCGCAATAGATTGTGCCACCACACTTTGGCATTTTATAGCATAAACTTTCATTTGTTTCTCTTCGTTTTTTCTTGGCCTTTTTATTTTATTTTTTTTGTGGATGTTTTCCACATTTTTGTTTGCCCCATTGTTGTTTTTGTTAGTGCTCGTAATGCGCTCATGTAGTTGTAACACTTTGTCCCGCTCTCGCCCTCTATCTCGGCCTTCTCCCTTTTTCAGATGGGACGCATATGTTAACCGAGGAATACATAGGAACGAGCCTGATGTCTTGACATCTGTCTACCAGGGCCGCCCCCTAATGCCACCCACCACCACCCATCCGTTTTTCGACTTTGACTATCGTCCAAAAATGTAGATTTGCATGCACATCAGCATTGGGCATACATTTATCTCGGCCACTGTCGTCGACTCAGGCCGCCAGTTGTTGGCCTCGTAATGGGATGTTAGGCTGACGAGGAGCGGAGGCTTTGCTGAACAACTTAAATGAGGTGGCTTTTATTTTTTGTCCAATATTTAGCTTTTAAGGTAGAAAATAAAGTAAATAAACCATTTTTTTGAATTTGACAGGTAGTAGTATTAAACAAATCAAAACCTTTAGCATTAAAGTACAAGAAATTTAAAAAATAAATATGCTTTAAAACTTTATCAAATAGTCCATCAAAAATGTTAGCGATTCGACTTTATTGGTTTTCCGGACGCACGGAACGAATGGATTCCATATTGATCTGGAAGCTACGAATATTAAAGGTAACTCGCCAAAAATGATTGATTCCAGCAAGTGCAGTTTATTTGCATATTTTGCAGGATTTTATTGTACAACGGTAAACCGAAGTGCATTACTGCAAAAAATATGAGAAATATTTAAATTGCCAAATAGCCCTTGCCCTACAAAATAAATAAGCAACCAAACAAAGGTAGTCTCTTTGTGGCTTATGAAAAATTTTATAAAGTCCAACCCACAAGTATATAGACAAAACCGAAGAAAGGATATTACACAGAAAAATTCCAATGGAGGCAGACTAAATGGAATAAGGAATAAACGAATAAATATGCTATCTTCCCTTTATTGCATTTCAATTTACTATCAAAGCATCAACCTTGGAATCACTATCCGAGGCAACAGCAGCCAACATACGCATTTGGAGCTATATTTATTGCCCAAATGGCTGCCTTGGATTTTTGGTATTTAAATGGAATTTAAAGGACATTTTTGTTTGGCCTGGTTAGCCCAAAATTCCAAAAATTTTACTTCTGATATTGACACAAATTCTTCTGTACGGTGGTACGGTTTTTGAATTTTACCTTTATTGGTAAAAAAAATTAAAGAGTTCTAGAAGTTTCATGCCATTTTTCAAAATGGATATTTAGATACCGATACATTTTTTTTTAAATGATAAACTCTACCATGACAGCGTCGACTCATCTGCAATCTGCTCCGGTTTCGGCCCTAGTGTATCCGCCAAGGGCTATATGACGTTGCGGACCATTGAAACGGTGCGATTGCCAATAGCCAATCTTATCAAAGTCCGACCAAGTGGCTAGCGGCTCTTCTGGCCCGTTAAATTCAGTCAGTGTCAGCATGTCGTCGTGGGTTGTTTCCACCATTGATCTGCACGATTGCGGTGCCAACGGGACATCATCATCGGGGCCATCATCGCGCCATAAGCATTTTATCCTGCTGGTGTGGCATCGTTTGGCGGAAAAGTGTGAAAGGTTCAGTAGTTTTCTTAAACGCGAGACCAACAAACCTCTTCCCAAAGAACTGAGACGATCGTTGAGGCTCAACAAATCGGCCAGAAGAAAAGGCTATCAAAGTTGCGAGAGCGAGGCAGATAAACGGTAGGAATATAAACCGGTGCTGTTCACAGGTGCTTTAGATAAGCCCATTGTTATTGTTTACCTCAAGTTTTGCCTATGTACATAAGCTAGCTAGAGCGAACCTTTTTATTTATTTTCAATTATTAAACTTTAATATTGGTGTCAATGGTGTCACTTAAACTAAAAACTTTCCATAGAATAACGCGTATACGCCACGTGATCCCCTACTTCTTTAAGTTAATAACCACTTTTAGCTTTTTTAAAGAGAAATATTAAATTCCTCCTTAAAAGAGAATTATAAAATGTTATAAACTTAAATTATAAAAAAAATTTAATTATTATGATTAACCTTTATATTACTTTATTATTTAAATTATACAATATCTAAGTTACTTTATTATACTTTATTATAAAGTCTTTTTTAAAAAAAGATAAAAACTACTTTTGTAAAACTATGTGAAACAGTGCGTATACGTGTTGAAATTTGGATCCGGTTTTGGCTGCATTTTGTTTCAAAAACATTTTCTTCCCAAAATTAAATAATTAAGAAAGATCGATCTTTGCATTATATATTATATATAAATATTATATTATTATTCTATATTATATAATATAGAACCCAATTATTTTTAAAGCAATATTAATTTCATAACTTTATTTCAGAATAATGAAGGAACGTTTAAACGAGCCCGCCAACTTATCCGTTCGCATGGGACCTGCCTATGACTTTAGACCTTCCAATTTCTGACAAATCTGTGAAAGGATACAAGGATATCCACTTCGAATTTCTTAGTACTGCTGTTACTTAGCATAAGATTGAAAAGCACATGTTGAGTGCATACTATTATTGTTAAATTCATGTTATAAGCTTTTATTAAAAGCTTTATTTTTTACACAGACTTATTTACACCAGTGATGCAAGCTTAAAATCAGCTGATATATCTGGGGCTTTTAGTATGAAAAGCTTTATACTCTTAAAGAGAGCTTAATTTTTTTGATGTGATCCCTTAATATAATAGTTGCTGGGGACTCTTAAGTACGCCCACACAAGAGTTTATTGCCCCGCTCACAACAAGTGGACGTGACTTTGTACCTTGCTTTTTCAGGTATTTGTGTTTTGTTGAAAGATTGGACTTGTATGGGGACTTATGTACACCCATACATACGTATATCTTCAACCATATTGCATCATTCAGTTTTCGATAAATAATGTCTAGAAACATTTTTTAATAAATTATATTTTATTAATTCCGTTATTTAATCTTTTAAGCATAATTTTGTGTTATTATTATAGTATATACATAATATTATTTTATTAATATATTTCCATGGGGCATTATATAGTCATGCAACCTCATCATTGACTCTTACTTTAGCTCGCAGCTCAGTTAGCTTTTCCTTTCTGCTGCCTTACACTAATTTGTCTCTCACTCTCACTCTCTCTGAGAACTTTCTCTTTAATTTCGCGGCGCATACCTCTCACATAGGCTACGTCACAGAAAGCGTTATCTCCTCGGTGTTTTTTTCATGGGCTGCCCGCTTAGTGTGGAAAACGTGTTCGCGGAAATGGCATTGATAGTGAAATGTTAACGAAAATTTACGAAAGGCTGGTTTTAATTATAACGACTAGAAAAGAAACCTGAATTGAAATCTCAATATTCGTGTCGAAATTAATGTTTCGTTGAGTCTCTTCTGACACACCTCAAATTTTGACTACAAAAATAAACACTCATAATTAGCATAAACAAAAGGCAGTGAACCAGTACTATTGCGTGAAAAATGAAGCTGATTTCAACAATTGTTTATTTGCTGGTTGCCTTCTACAAGTTCCTTAAGAAATTCCTGTAAGTGGCTGAAATTACCTAATATTTTGAACCGCGCCTGGTTTAGTTGGGCGTGCCTTCCTTTGTCCTTTTTTGCGTGCTTTTTTCCCCTTGAAGCTACCCTCCAAACAAATCTTGGGGGCTTATTGACAAAACAACAACACCGAAGAAGGGGGAGACTTTGGCGGCAGCAACGAAAATGTCTGCTGCTGCTCTTTATAAAATCTTTTTTTTTTCTTTGTGCAGCTTTTCTGCCTTTGGTCTTTGTTTTCAGTTTTTTATTTTGTATATTCGTTTTTATAATTTATTTTTTTGTTTATTTTTTGCTGTTTATTACGAAAAAATACAAATTTCCTTCAATCTGTCTGTAGTGTGAAGAGAGTGAGAGCTCCTCTCGAAAACTCTCACCTCTTTCCCTCTCTTCTAAGCACATATTTTGTTTGGTTTGCGACCGCTGGGAAATTGGCTGAGCTTGTCTTATATGCACTGAGAGAAATTTTTCTACGATTAGTAAAATAATTAAAAATTACAGTGAGTTTGAATTTTTTTAAAATAATTTCTATCCATTTGCATTGACCTTGATATCAAAAATACTTAAAACAGTTTTAAAGTTCATAATTTTGTTTTCTCGGTGCAAAAACTGTAACCATTTGCATTGTAATTTATTAAAGTGCCTGTTTGCAGGCTTGTGGGTAGCATATGAGCGCACGTATGTACATACGTATGAGTGTGTTATGTGGGATGGTGACAACAGAAATGGTTTTTTAATTACTATAACTGTGTGTTCTTTGTGGGTTTCGGTATTCTGAGGGCGTTGTATACACAATTTTCAACAAGCACAAAAGATCTGTTCAGATTAAAGCGAGGGCCTCTTGTTGGCGGGTAATTTAATCGCAATTTATGGGAATTCCCCGTTACAAAGATCCCACTTGTTGACAACAATGGTACCACACCGAATATTATTTGATAAAAACGATGATAAGTCCTTTGAAGTTTTACGGAAGAAGTTGTGGGCTGAGTAAAGTCTGGCCTCTACTTAATTAAATTAATAATATGATCTGGGAAATCAGAAATCTATATATATGTAATAAAGGATCTATTCATCTTAATCTTTAAGAGTCATTTCTTTAGAAATCGTTCAATAACATTGACCATAGCTATCTAACAAACTAGGTTTATGATTAGTATACCCAAATAACTGTTAGCTACTATCGCTACATAACCTGCCCCAAAGTTGAATGAAACTTTTGAAAAATCTTTAGACTTGTTTGTAATACTAGACACAGCCGGAATGAATCAGTTCTTAGTCATAAAGTCGGTGTTTTTTTGCGCTTCTTATGCATATTGACAAATACCTTATGTCATAAAAATTCCGCCATGATAACAGTAACAGATTTCATCTCCAAGCTTAAAGTCTAATATTATTTATATATAAATATTTTCATATAATGCACAAAAAATATTTCTTATTTCGCATTATCTCAATTAACGGCACGCTTATGGCGATAAGCTCAAAGAAAAAAGTCTGGCATAGCTTTCCTCTAAAAAAAACTTTTTAAAATAATATTTGAAAGATAAACCTAAGAATGAACTTTACCCCCCCAGCACTAAAACAAGGCCGAGGTGGGTCCACTCAAAGTCCTTATCTAATCTGAATGGCTAACCCACTGGCTGTGAGCAATAAAAATACTATATATTAGACGTTATATTAGAGCGAAATAGTTGTATGAAGTCGAGTGACCTTGCTAGGCTGATAGGGAGTGGGATTCGTGAGAACTACGCAAATGCAACCGCCTCAATCTAATTAAATCCAATTAGATCCAGGCATCGTCACTTTTTTCTGCATTTCCCCCATATTGTAAATCAAAATCCGTTTTGAATGTTTTACAACCGAGCGTAGGAATTATGCTGGGAGAAACGTTTTCGAGTGGCACCAGCCCCGATAAGATATCCCCACAAAAGCCCCATACCCAGACACAAGACCAGACACGAGGACCGTGTCATTGGCATTGTTATCAACGCGAATTTACAAATTGTTCACAATTGACCCACTCAGATCCCCACGAAGTAAGTGACTAATTCGATTGATGTCTTTGAGGCTTTGTTTACAGGGGAGTATAACCAATGGCACTGACTTTTTGGTAATTTTTAGTGAAACTGATAAGTTTCTGACGGTCTTCCTTTTAGGACCAATTTTGTTTAAAATTAAAGAGAAATATTATACTTTATATAAATATTTATATTGTATGGAAATTAATATTATTAGTGCGGTTTGGAAAAAGATGATCTTTTGATTTATGCTTAAAATATCGTTAATAATATAATAGCATCAACTTCCATGATTTTTTGTTACCATTACTACTATAATTTTGGTTTATTTAGTGTTATATGGACACCAGAACCTACTTTAATCAATATGTAGAATAATCCCTTCTTCGAATAACCTCTACTCCATGAAAACCTCCATATTTATAGAGAAATACCTAAACCTTTACGTAATACAAACACTACAACCCAAGAACCTATTTTATTGCTCATACGCAGTGTAGGGCAAACTAAAATTTACATTCAAAATAGTGTTACAGACCCTGAGAGAGCGAGCCATTGAACTTATTACGATAATGAGGTGACTAGCGGTTGGGAGCGGGTTTCGGTTACTCAGCAAACGTTCGATGGTGCCTCCCGCAGACGTAACAGACAAGCCGAGAGAGTGCTCTTGGCATTATCCTTATCAGCTTCCGATTTCCCAAGCAGAGAGCATGGGTATAAATGGCGCAAAGCACCTACAACCAAGTTTAGTTCTTTGCAGCTCGTCGGAGCACTTGAATCCCCAAAAACAAGATCGTTATAATTACGGAATTAGATCGAAACGGATTAGAAAAGGCCTACGCGGGCAGTTTGGATTCCTTTCGATTGGCACCTAACCATGTGTGGTGATGTCTAGTGCAGACTGCAAAATGGTGAGTCCTCGGTCTGCTGGAATATAGACTGGAGTTAACTAAACAGAGACACTTGCAAAATGCCTGACCCACAAATACCTTTTCGGGAAAAATCTAGGGAATGCCTATTTTTTTTTCTTTTTTGTTATTTTTTTGTGTCCAGCTGGAATCAGCTTTTGCCGGAGCAGAACCAGTTATTTCCAAGTCGCAGCCGTTGCGATATTGTTCATACATACGAGAATGTAGTACGGCTATGTGTCCCAATCTGTCGCTATGCTGTTGTATAAAACACAATAATCGCAAAGCTATCCCTAGAACAAAGCGTATAATATGCATCTATACCCTGTAAAATGGAGCGGATGGAAAGCTCTAGAGTATACGCAAAAAAAAGCTGTTTAACTTGTTGGGAAATATATTTATTCTCTAGAATCATTACTTTAAAAATCTTAAGAAAGAACCTCATGTAGAATTGTCCTTATACTATAGGATAGGCAATTTGGGAAAAATAAAAAAAATGATTCAAAAGAACATATCTTTTTCAAAAAATAATATGTAATACGGTCTGACATTACTGACAGATTGAAAGATCACACGTCACGTAATCTTAAAATTTGAAATTATTTATTATTTGCCCACCCACGAAAATGCAGGTCACCTGATAGTCGAGCATTAACAGCACTGCTCGCAAAAATATCTGATAAGCTTATCAAATCTCTGGCGTCTGAGGTTTTTTCTTCGTTTTTTGTTTGCTGGTAGATCGACCTTTTGATGACCTGATCTCCTCAAGCCGAAGCAGGTGTACAGCCAGTTTATTGTACAATGAATAGGCAGAAAAGTTACATCGCGTTTGAAACTTACTATGTATTATATTGTATGTTCCACCGTATCGCCCTCTCGATGTATAGGCCTGTCATAAATTGAGCGAGCTGGTTGCCAAGTTCAAGATTCTCGCCACTTGGACACTCACGTACATATAGCCATATAAATAAAACTCAATGTCGGCCGTTTCTCTTGTTGATTCCGCTCGACTTTCCGTAGTGCATTGCCAAAAAAGAAGGCAGCCACCGTTGAAGCGTTTGTAGACAAGTCAAGCCCCAGCCGCGGAAGGGGAAGTAAATATATATTTCAATTAGCATTACAGCGAAAATTAACTATAGGTATGTACGAATAAAAATATAGAATCTAGACTAGTTCTAACAACAGCTGAGCAAATAAACAAAAGCTAACAGGAAAAAGGGTGTTATTAGACTAATAGACTATTATTTTAAATTTAATTTATTATCAAAACAAAATATTTAACAAAGTTTATTATCAAAGTTAATAAAAACTTAAAAATTTAATGTTTAAAGTTTAAAGTAATGGCATTAGACTTTATTTTACATAAGTATGGTTTTTGTGAAAGATATTTTACCTTTTTAAATCTTGAGTCTGTTCTAGCCTACTTTTAGGCAGAAACTGGGAAACATATTTCAAAATATATAAAAAATGATTTTTCATTTAAGAAAATAAATAAAAGTAAAAGAATTAAATACAAAAAGTTTTAAAAATGGCTTCAATTAATATCTGAGATATTTAGGAAACTGTTTTATTTCAAATTTTAAATTTCAAACAAACAACCTACTGCACATATTGCGGAAATGTATTGAAGTCGTTCAGTTAGTTGGCAGTTTATTAGCCAAACTGAGTGCAATCAATTTGCTCTTGAATTAATGCAAATCATGAAAATGCAAATAATTTATTTGCTACAAATTAGCTGTGGAGGTTTACCGCTTCATGTCTCTCCGTTTCGATGGTACTTGGGACTGAGGCGTAAAATTAATTATGTCTGTGTGGATGTCGTCAAGTGGCAGCCGGATGACATAGAGCGTAATTAATCAATCTGATTGCTGATTGAAAATTGTTCTTTATTTATCTGTAATTGATTGTTTGCGGAATACGGAATTCCGTTGGCATTCTCAATGAAATGGCGCATGGAAGTCCGAAAATTCAAAACATTCATGTACATATGTATACAGTATACAGAATTCCAGAAATATTAGCAATTATTTATGTCTCGATTTGACCTTAAACAGGTGCAAGTTCACGTAAATCGTGTTTGTTTATCACAACAGTTTGTTGCCTCATTTCTGATACTCTGATTCATCGGGTCAAGTTTTCAAGTCAAGTCGATGAAAGCGTTCGGCTTGTAACTTTTAGGCACTATATCATAGTCTTAAATTTTGCTAATCGCAAAGTTGACATTTTGGAAAGTAATCAAACAAAATGTGGTTTACCTTTAAACGATCCAACGAATCAGCGATCGGGCTGGTGAGGCTGGCTGGGAGCGAGAGCAAAATTTCATTTTTATTATTATTATTACCCTACTACCTATGGCAGTCGGTCTGTTTGCTCATTTAATGAGAAATGAGAGCGGGAACCGAGCACTTGATTGCCTCGATCTCGGCTAGAGCCAACCGAAAAGATATAAATAAGGAAAGGCAACGCACGCGCGTATTAATTGTTGTCTGTGATCTAAACGGCCAGAATTGAATCGACTCTCGACTCTCGAATGAAAACTATTGCAAAAAATATTACGCATACGGCCCGCGGTCAATGAAAAGTGTTGTAAAGATTGAAAACAAAAATCAAGAAAAATGGATGGCAAACAGAACACAGGAGTACAGGAAAACTATGGACATAGGCGTCAGCCTGCCTTGGGCAAAGCCATGCCCGTAACAGCCCTGCTCCTTAATCTTCAGCTAAACGATGCCAACACGGATTACAGGCACAACGAGCATCTTGGCCACCAGGAAGAGGATGACAGGCCGCCGCAGTTCTTTAATGTAACCGATGAGCCACCGTCTCCCGAAGATCGAGACGCCAAGTTACCCAAATCCCACTCCGAAGACGAGGCAAAAAAAGTCAGTTCCGGAATGGATAAGCCCTGCCTGAATTGCCTGCAACTGGTACCGGATCACCTGGCTGAACGCTGCTCGGCGGTTAATGAGATGTGCCAGCGCCTGTGTGGTCCCCAGTGCAGACAGCCCCAAGGACTCACGCTTGGAGGTAGTCAGCAGCGCCAGGATTTCCTCAGGCAATACGAAATCGCGGAAGCTGTGGCCAAGACCTCGGCCATGACCTCCACCGCTCAGATGAAACAGCGACTCGCTGCTCGCAAACTGGAAATCGAGAAGGAAATGGACGCGCATGTGGATGTGGATGTTGATGGGGGCGTGGCCAGCCCAAATATCAATCTCGATCGCAGCCAGAGTTCGGCTGCAGCTGGAGACAAGTTGCCGCCGACTGCGATCGTGGAGTTTGAGCCGCCTCGCGATTTGCTGTTGTATCTGGTGAGGTGAGCTACTCGTATCTTGTATCTGGCAGAACAGGGAGAGGGGAGCTACCCGTTGGCCGCTGCCCGCTGTCGGCCGTGCTTATAAATCAAGTTCATGGCTGGCGGCGTGTCAAGTGTTCTTAGGCATTGCCAGGCATATGGCTCAAAGACACTTGGCACTTAAATGAAACTTAAATGAAAGCAACAATAACTAACCTTGCACAATTTGCGCGAAAGTGATCATGACAAAATATTGCAGGGTTGTCGTTAAGGAAAAATTAATTTAAAATATATGTATTTGAGAGATATATTTAAGCTTTAGACTTTGGGTAATAAGCAAAGGATTTCTTTTTTAGGAATAAGAAGTAATGCTCGAAACACCCGCACATCATATTATCATTTTAATTAATGACTAGTCATCCCTCTGTAACTACCATGTTTGCCTTAGCTTATCTAACAATCTACTGAATACTTCAAGCCAATTACCACCTCATCGATAAAACAATTTTAATTACAATCATATCAGAGTTAATATAGCAAAAAAAATATCCCATCAATAGGGGCATTAAATGGTTTTAGGTCACGAACGTGGCTGATAAGAGCTCAGTAACTGGGCCGACACGTGACTAATAATTAACCATTAAGGTAACACCGATTAGTGGGCATTTTGCAAGTGGCGTTTAGTAATTTATATCAATATAATTAAGCATTCTCTAACTCTTAACTAATTCTGCCATTTTAGGAAACACAGATGGGGCCGCGTCTCTTTGACATTGCCATACTGACACTAAATATAAATATAAAACGTTTCAAGTTATCCTAATACTGTATACACCATATAGTTTGGTGACAGAACTAACCGAAGAATCCCACAAAAGCCAAAAAGAAGTAAACCAAAAAGAAAGTGATCTTCAAGTAGCTGAAATAAAGTTTGAAAGAAAAAGATGGAGTTTCTAATGAAAACATCGCGTCTGATCGTAAGATCGAAAACGTTTGCGCGACGTGTGGCCGTGCCCATTCCCAGGTAACGATCCCCCCAGATGCAGATACAATATCTTTGCTTGTCTGCCGGCCAGCCGCAGAACTCATTACGCATGTAACTGCGTTGCTGTATATCAATTTGCCAGATGCAGATACAATTGTATCTTTTGTCTGGCAGATTAGCATTTGAGAACATTTGGGATTCTGCTTAGGCATACAACACGACTCGGGCATTAGCTAAGGATGCTGTTGGCAGAATTTCTTTTTTCCCCGTGTTTCGTTTGATATTTTTCCATGCATATCTCAGCAGGGCGAACACTTTTGTTTTCATTAATCTGACCCCCCAGGAGCCATTCCCCCCACTTCGCCAGCATACATAAATATTTAAGAAGCTGTCACAATCGGAATGAGAATCAGAATCAGAATCAGAATCGTTCTTTTGTTTAGCATTTCGCGAACAAACTCTCGCCGTAGCCGCTGTAGCCGCCGTCGTACGCACGTGAGCCGAACGTATTGATCTCGTTCTGGAGTATCTTGCAGATACATCTCGCATGCGAAATACCCGTTTGTGCGTGCTCTCCCTCTCGCACCCTAGCTCTTTCTCTCTTTCACTCGCAGCTCTCCTCGGCAATGATCTCTCTAATAAAACGCCGCACTTCAGTTGGCATTCAGTTTCGTCAAAGTCGCTTGCAAGCGCACCTCGTTCTCCGATACATTTTCGGCATCCCCCCCAAAAAATCCAAATATATATTTCTAGCTAAAAATCAATAAACTGTATCCTTGGATCCTTGCCAAAGCCATGGAGCAAGCCATGCAAATGAAACGAGCCAATAAGGCGCCCTGCAAGAACGACCGGAAGGCCTATCTCCAGAAGGTGATGCTGACCAGGTGAGCGTGTTGAGCTTGAGCCGAGCTCTGAGATCTTAAATCTCTGCGATGATTGATTGTGTTGACAAGCGCGCGCTGCTACGGGCTCCAGTCCCCGAAATCCAGTCCCCGATCCGATCCGATCCGTTCTCGAACCCCAGCCAGGGAACTGGTTTCCATTCTGGTGGAGCAAACCAGACCAACAGCTGCGAAGCGATTGACCGAGCGACATTTTTCACTTCTGTTTTTGTTTCGACGGATTTTTGCGTGGGCGGACATCCCCCCTTCCCCTCTCTTAGCCAATTCTCTGGGTGTCTCATCAAAATCAGAGCAGATGTGCTAATTTCCAGTTCGATAGGGCTACAGAAATAGACATCAGTAATCAAAGGCAGTACCAGTTTAATCAAATAAGTTTAGTGGCAAACTTTATTAAAACTATCAAGTAATCGCAGGGGTTAATTACCGTAATTAATTAAATAATTAACTAGTTTTTCTGACTCTTAAAATTGAGGCATGCTTTTCATTTATTTTGGCGCTTTAATTTTGAATTCTAAAAAATCTAATAACTTCCCAAATTTTCTTTCTCACCCATACACTACATTTAATCGCACAAATCAATTTTTTACAGCCAGTTAAAAATGGGAAAGTTTTATACGAGTCAGCGACATAGTCATAGTTTGTTCATTTTCAGCATAATACTGAGAAAAATTCTATATAGAAAACCAAATGAGTTGTAAGTACCAGATGAACCAAAAATTTCATTTTAGTGTTTGGCTGTTGTTCTTTTTTTTCTGTTGGTGATGTTTGCTGAAAGTTGCTTTTTTTGCGAAATGTTTTCATAATTTTTAATTCGGTTGAAATGCCAACAAAAAACATATTTTTTTATGTTTTAAAAGCAGAATAATCGAATAGATTCTGAAATTAATATGAAAGTGTTAATAAATATTTTATTTTTAATTACAGAATGGGCTCCTTCAACTCGGCGCCAAAGATCAACAACGTCGACTCCCAGGACGATGATCTGGAACTGCCTGAGGGATTGAGCACCTCCGCCCTGCTCCAGCACGTTCATAAGCTATGGGGTGGAAGAATCGAGCAGACCTCGCTTCTCACTCGCCAATTCTTGAAGCCGCTGCTGGTGGACGAGGATTTTACAGACGGGCTGAGGGGCCTCAAGCTGAACTCCATCTCCAGGGGTAGGCCACCATCTCGACATTAGCTATCGGACACATTTTAATCTGTTCTTGCAGTTTGCAGTGCTCCATCTGTAGGGGAGTCTTCTCAGAATCTTCGCTTGCTGCAGTGGAATATTCTTTCGCAGAGTAAGTGTGATACATCCCCTTTAAGTTTCAAGTTCTAAAAGAAAACTTCCTGTGCCAGCACTCGGCCAGCACAATGATGGCTTTGTGCGATGTCCTGAAGAGGCTCTTACCTGGGAGCATCGCAAGTACCTGATTGTCCAGGAGATCCTGCAAAATCAGCCGGATGTGATTTGTCTGCAAGTATATATCACCAATTCCCAATAACTTGAATCAAAATGCAGTCGCGTTTTAACCTATAACCTTTATTGACCCACTAGGAAGTAGACCATTTCAAGTTCCTGCAAACAGTACTGGGTACTCAGAACTACGAGGGTATATTCTTCCCAAAGCCGGACTCTCCATGTCTGTACATCGAGCAGAACAACGGTCCTGATGGATGCGCCATTTTCTACAAACGAGACAAGCTCCAACTCTTGGGCTATGACACCCGTATCCTGGAGGTATGGCGGGTACAGAGCAACCAAGTAGCCATCGCTGCCCGGTTGCGTATGCGGGCTAATGGGCGCGAGTTTTGCGTCTGCACCACCCATTTGAAGGCCCGTCATGGAGCCCTATTGGCCAAGTTACGCAACGAACAGGGCCGAGATCTTATCCGGTTTGTGAAACAGTTCGCTGGCGAGACACCCCTACTCTTGTGTGGCGACTTCAACGCTGAGCCAGTAGAGCCTATCTACTCCACGATTCTCGGCTGCGATCTCCTCCGACTGGGTAGTGCCTATGCCGATGTGAAGCTCGATCGTGAGAAAATTTTACAGCCCAGCGAGGATGTCGGGGAGTTTGTTTCAGAATCCATAAAGCGCGAACCGCCTTACACCACCTGGAAGATTCGGGAGGATGGTGAGGAGTGTCACACCATCGACTACGTCTTCTACACGCCTGATCGCCTCAAGGTGAGAAAAAGTTGATTGCTTTTAATGTATTTTGATATTAATGAGCTATCCCTGTTTAGATCAAGAACTGTCTCGAGTTCCCAGCCGGCGAGCAGATTGGCAAGAACCGCACACCCAGCTACCAGTATCCGTCGGATCACTTTTCCCTGGTCTGTGATTTTGAATTGCTACCATCCGTTGAAAATGGAGCGAAAAGCGACAGTGATGGTGAAGGGATATCAGAAACGGAAGGCAGCAAACATGGGTCCATCCAATAGAAGCGCCCGAATACAAAAATTCACTAGACGAGGAGTTTTAATTACATCGATTGTGATATTAGTTGTTAGATACATTTTAACCTCATACACGAACGTTGCACTACAAATTGCAGCTTTTACAAACAATAATCCAAACATTCACAATAATAAAACTTGATAAGATGGAAGAAAGTAATAAAATGAGTGTTTTTCCCAACTCAAGAATAATCCATACTTTTAGCAAGTATTTTGTTTGGGGTTCTACATTTTACGGAAACTTGTCTACGAGGCTTCAAAGGTGGTCAATAATCATATAATAAAAAATAAAAATATGTTGCATATGCTTGAGGCGCATCTGTTAACATTCTGTTATTTCTAACAGAACAAACCAGGCGTATACTTAATTCCATGATAGATAGAGTATCACCAAACAACTTCGGCAGCGCAAAATAATAATGGTTTGCCAACAATTGACTGAAATTACAGAAATCGCATGCCATTTGGTCATACGGCAAAAAAAAACGCAATCGCAAACCCTAAACAGCACTTCAAGTGGTTGCGTAACAACAAAAAATTATAAATATTTACTTTACATATATTTGCATATAACAATTTTCACACCATCTTCGTAGTACACTTTAATACGTCGACTAGTCAAAAAAGCCTAGAGTAGAGCCAAGATAGCGGTCAGAATAAATGAGGTGGCTACCATTGCATAACCAGTAGAGTACACCTCCTTGATCTTAAGGAATCGGCCGGTGTCCCACAGCAAGTGGCGGACGCCGTTGGCTGTGTGGTAGCCAACCGGGTAGGCGATGATGAACTTGAGGGCAGTCAGGGTGGCGCCGCTGAGCTGCAATCCCTCCACCATGGTCGCGTAGTGGTTAATGTCGTGCGAGGAGATCAGGGCGCCCAGTCCCAAAGCCCACACGCCAGCGCCCAGAGCCAAGCCGGTACCACGATGCATAATCGACAGCATGGAAGTCAGCTGGGGCGAGTAGATGGTCAGATGCGGCGAAAGCTTCCTTCCCAGGCGTTCATTCTTCTCAAAATACGACTCCTCCTTCTGGGTCGATGCCACAGAGACCACCTTCAGCGAAACCTGGCGGTTGGCAGCGGCCATTTGGAGGCCCTGCCTCAGCGCCGGCGACCGGATCAGCGAGCTGGATAGTGCATACCTATCGGAATTGGTTCAAACTAAGTTTTGCGGTTTTTTAATTGCATAAATTACGTACATTTTCTTGTTTTTCACCTGGAATTTGGGATGGTGGGACCGTAGACTGAGAGACAAAAAAATACCAACAGTGTGGCTGTGCTAAAACCCTAAAACAAGAAAATACCAAAAGGTTGTCTGCGCTAAAACTTAAACTAAAAGACGTCTCATTATTAGGAGAAATTAATATTAAAAACACAAATTTGAACTGCAATAATAATATATTATTCTATATTTACGTTCTATAAAACAAGCTGGTAAAAAATAGTCATGTAATTTAATGAAAATTTATCCATGTATTTAACAAATGTTAATAGTTAAATTGTCAAAATACATAGATTGAATACAAATAATATTCATGTTTCATAAATCGTATACATTTCAAAACCTGTAATATTTTTGTAGCTTTATTACGATTTCGAAAACTCTGGCAGCATTACCGATTTAGGAAGACCGTTGGCGTTCTGAGCAGAAATACCAGCGTCGCAGCTATCCCAACTATATGTGCCGCCATCTGTCAACCTTTTTCCTGTCGATTGAGCGCGTGGCAAGTCGTTTTCGGCCCGTCCCGGTGTAGATTCGCAAGTGATTTAGACGCCTATCGCCATTTTCAAACAGAAACAACGTTAGCATCATGAAGATCTACAAGGATATCATTACCGGTGACGAGATGTTCGCCGACACCTACAAAATGAAGCTGGTGGACGAAGTCATCTACGAGGTGTACGGCAAGCTGATCACTCGTCAAGGCGATGACATTGTACTGGCCGGCGCCAACGCCTCCGCCGAGGAAGCCGATGAGGGCACCGAAATCACTTCGGAGACCGGCGTTGATGTGGTGTTGAACCACCGACTGCAGGAGTGCTTCGCGTTCGGCGACAAAAAGTCCTACACCCTCTACCTGAAGGACTACATGAAGAAGGTTCTGGCCAAGCTGGAGGAGAATTCCCCCGACCAGGTCGATGTGTTCAAGACCAACATGAACAAGGCAATGAAGGACATCCTCGGCCGTTTTAAGGAGCTGCAGTTCTTCACTGGCGAGTCCATGGACTGCGACGGCATGGTGGCTCTTGTGGAGTACCGCGAGATCGATGGCGACAGCGTACCCGTGCTTATGTTCTTCAAGCACGGCCTTGAGGAGGAGAAGTGCTAGATGGATCACCCGGTAGCCGTGTGTGTTTGGGCGTGCCTTTCCGACTTCTCCCAAAAGGCGGGAGGAATCGTTCATCACCCAACAGGCCAACATACTCATGCATACCTTCTAAATATTTATCAGATACTTAGTTAAAATTTTGAAAGTCTTAAATTTATGTTTAAACAAAGCTGACAAAGATCCCTGTCCATCGATATAATTGATTTTTGGTAAAAGAAAAGTCTTACAAATTTGATTTAATGTTTATTGTTTAACTGCAGATCATGTAGCATGCAATTTTGTGGTTGTGGCGAAAGAGAAGAATACAATGGCTAAATTAATATAATGCCGATAATATTGTAATTAAAATAATATTTTGATAGCAACAACGCAACTTTGTACGCATTTTCATCTTTGTTTCACACGAATACTAAGAAAATACCTAAAATGGAAACTAGTACTGAATTAAACGGAAACCATATACTATACAACTGTAAATCCGAATGCCTGTACTTCTTTTATTTACAGTTGGGCCCAGGTAGACGCCGTTACATTGCAGCTGCCATAAGGGCATGCGAGTGTAAGCGAGAGGGGTGTAAATGAGACACTGCCGTCTGAGTCACTCCCGACTTTTTCGCTTTTTTGGCAATAGCGGAGTTATTGACCTTTGACAGTGGCGTACAAAATCACACGCACATGCATACATATGTCTCTGTTCTGGTGGGGTCATGCGCAATACAATTCCCGGTGTGGAATACTATTTTATTGGAGCTGCACGCCCTGCAGTCTTATTTGGCCCAATTTGGCACGTTGCATCCGACCTAACCTCAATCTTGGCGCTTGTCATTGCCTCAAAATGCGCTGTTCTCGCCATAAGGTGCGATTCTATACTATAATCTACTTCTATCAACCTTGGTTTTAACTTTCTGCAGGGGAGAGCGCACCAATACTAGCGTCATTATCGTTTCGGCGAAACGTGTGGACCTGTTGCCATCGTCGCGTGAGGGGCGGCCACAGTAGGTACTCGCAAATATGCGAAAATAAATAACAATTTATTTTAAATGTTTTTTTGAAAAATAACAAAATTAAAGTAGAAATCATAGATAAAAATTTTAAATATTTTTGTAAGTTTAAACTATTTTTAAAGAATGTGTTGATTTATGCCAAATCCATATTCAAAATTTTAATTTCTTTTTATATTCGAATATGAATGAAAAATAAATTTTTTCTCTTTTTTTAACAAAGGTAACTCTGTTGACAGATTACGGAAAACAGATTACGGAAATCACAAAAATCTGTTTATTTGGGTCATAAAATGCCTAAAAATACGAAAACTTTTGATAAGAAATGAATTCTAAAAAAAAAATATTTTTAGCATGAGGTCTGTGTGTGATAAAATTTCAATTTTTAGCTTATATAAACTTTAATTTATAAATTTGGCACAATATGAGTTAATGCTAATCCCAACCTCATTAAAAGACGCGGTTTCGGTTTACGTATAAAAATGCTAATAACAAAATTAAATTTTATTTCGTTCATTATTTTGATGCTTCAAACTGTGGCAAAACGGTCCGTTCAACGTACTTCCACCGCGTAGCGGAATGTCCGTGAATATGTCAGTCAGATTAGATGCTATTTGTGGGTTTGTATGCATGTTTTCGAAGTATGTTCATACTGAATTTAAAAAAACTCTAAATATATATTTACTCTTGCACAATTTTTTTTCGCTTAGCTTACAATTACACTAGTGGTTCTACATATCTCGCCTTTAGTTTGTAAAGAATGGAATGAATGCCGGTCGATGGCATTTCAACAAATACAAAATAATATAATTAACAAAATTCGCAAAAATTACTAGATCAGAAGATTACACTTTTGTTTTGCTTAGCTCTTGGAGGGGTATGTTTTTCGCATTCTGGAAGTGATGAACGTGTGTGTTGTGTGTGTGTGTGGCGTCCAATGGAACTAAAATTTCAAAAATAAACTTGACAACATCGACGTCTTCCGCTCTTAATCACACACTGATAAATATACACATGATTTTACAAGGACACCAGAGACTATTCCTCATCCGCATTACACATAATCCAGCTGAATGTAGATCTGTTTCACGCCAACCGCCTCGAATATCATTCTCGTGTGCGTGACGACGTATTTGGGGTCCACGTTTTTCGAAACCTCCAACTTTAAAGCTCCCACGTAAACGTCGGAACACAGAGTCCAGAAGTGAGGCTCCTGCACGGCGTACACTCCAGCCAGTCCCGTCACCTTCTGATAGCACTGCGGCAGCGAGCGATCCAGGTCCGTTGGCTGTCGTTGCATCAGAATCATAATCGACTCCCTGATTAGGCCCAGCACACTGAGTGCTATCAGCAGGGCGATAAAGATTGAACATATGGGATCCGCTATCATCCAGCCGAACATCTGCATCAACACGGCTGAGATAATCACGCCCACCGATCCCAGAGTATCGGCCAGGATGTGCAGGAAGACGCCGCGCATAATCTGTGAGTTGCCGCCCGACATGTCGTGGGAGTGCCCATGACTGCCGTGATCGTGGGAATGTCCATGACCTGAGAATATATATAGTATTATTAATTTTAACAGGACCTATGTTTTTATAGCACTTATAATGCTAATCTGATTATGTCGATAAAAATCTAATCAGATTTTATCAATAAAACCCTGCAAACACTTAATAGCTAAATACTTTTCATTAATCAGTATTTGATAAGCTACTTTGCATTCTTAAAGCAATTAGTTTCAGTTCGTTAGTCAGTAGTTTGAAATTAATAACTATAATCCTTTTTAATCTATGTCTATGGTTACCATTATCCAAGTTGATGGCCTGGTGGTCATGGTTGCTGACGTCGTTGTGGTTATGCGAGTGTCCGTGACTGTGGCCATGTCCTGCTAATCCTCCGCCATGCGAGTGTCCATGTCCACCGCCACCGTGCGAGTGCCCGTGTCCGCCGTGGTTAAAGGCATAGATTCCTACCAGATTCACAAGCAATCCCAGCACGGAGACTACAAATAGCCTTTCGTGCTTAACCTCTGGCGGCTCAATCAGCCGTTCAACACCCTCCGACAGGATGAAGAAGGCGATGAAGAGCAGGAACAAGCTATTAACAAAACCGGCCAACACCTCGGCACGGACATATCCGTAGGAGTACTTGTCGTTGGCCTTCCACTTGGTAATTACCGAGGCAGCTAAGCCCGCCAAGAGGCCGGTGCAGTCGAAGAACATGTGAAACGAGTCCGAGATCAGACCTGCCGATTAACGTTCAAGGGGGTGTTGTAAACTCCGGATAAGATAAACTGTAATAGTGCGGAAGAGTATTTACCCAGGCTGTTCGTCCAGATGCCATAGAAGAGCTCCACGAAGGCGAAACTTAGGTTAAGCAGCAGGAACAGGAACAGGTTGCGCGAGTTTCGGTCCGAAAAAATGAGTCGTTTCCAGCTGTTGAGCTTTTCTCGGACCCGGTAGCCGAAGCTGCTCCTGTCCTTGTGCGACAGTGGTATCATCATGCACCTGAATGGACAGACAATACGTAAGCGTACGCACTAAGATAACTGAGAATTTGTTTGCATACGTGGTCTAATCGCGGGGGTTTAACGGCGCTGCTCCAGCTGATTCCACTCCAAAATCCGATTCTAGCCAGGCCCGCAAGAATGTCACCTACTCTCTCAGCGGCACAGACTGACGGGATATACCGCACAACGTAAACAGAACAGACGCTTCCTGCTCCGGTACCCGGTCGTCTTGCTCTTGTTTGCACAGTTGCCAGCGGAGTGTAGCGTAATGTTGAATAGCTTTGGGTTAATTCATTTTTAGAAGAAGCCGAAAACTGAACCGAACCAATCTGCCGTGTTGTCATCAAAATAAACGTAACCACGTAAACATATCGGTTGCATTCAAGCCAACTTTCGCTGTGAATGGCAACTTGTCGAGCAAATGCTCAACTAAATGTTTACTGGGTATATCATTGGTAACAAATTTTAAAAATATATTCAAAAAACTAAAAGTTTTAGTTTTTTAGTTGATTTATAAATTTAAACTTAAATTTTTGTATTATAAGTTATATATTATATGTGGTTATATATGTATCAAACCATAAAACAAATTTTAAATTGGTGAATGCGGAAAGGGTGAATGCCGTTTCCGGAAGAAGAAACTTTAAGAATTGTTCCTTCTTTAAGAATCCAAATATAATAAAATTCCTACGTATTTTTATGTTAGGATTTTTTTTAAAACACATTTAAAGGTTATTATTTAAAGGGCTTTTAAAAATTTTTAAAAAGGGCTTTTCCCTTTTAAAAATTTTTATCAAAAAGAATATCAATTTTCTCCTTTTTAGAATATAAATTTTCCAAAAAGCTTGTTATTCTTGCATCTTTAAGACACATATTCCTTTTCTTTGTCCTTTCTTTTAAGGGATAAAATCCTCATTATAATAACCTTTTTATTTTTTTGTACAAATCAGCTGTTGAATTATAGCAATCTGCTGTTTTGGCACTTTTCCTCAATTAAAAAATCACGCAAATATCCCTTACAATAAGAAAGCGAGTTTATTCAACATTTTACACACGACGGCGTCCTAGTTGCTCCCGATACAATCAACGTTTAATTGTAAAATGAATGCGACTAAAAATGCGTTTTGTAGTAAAACATTTACGCCTCATCACCCTTGGTGGCACGTGTGTAGATGACCTGGGAATGATGCTGCACGACCTGCTTGATCAGACCTAAAAGAAAAACAATACAATAATTAGCATTAGGATTCTATGGAAAGGAATCAGAGCACTTACCCTTTTCACGCAGCTCAATCAGAGCACGCTTAGCCAGGGAGCCACGGATCTTGAGACGCTCAGAAACCACCGAGGGGGTAATGAGCTTGTAGGCGGGCACTTCCTTGTACAACTTCTCGTAGGTAGCCTTGTCGAACAGCACCTGGTTGTTCAGCTTGTCCCTGACTTTTCCCTTGGACCACTTCTTCTTCTTGGCCTTGCCGCCGCCGGATCCCTCCTTCTTCTTTTGTGTCTTTTGCGGCTGCTTGGCCGACGACTTGGCGTCCTTCTTAGGCGGCTGTTTGTTGAGGAAAAAGTAAGCAAAGAATTTACATGAGAAACTGGCTACTAAAAACCCAAAAACTCCATTTGGAGCCAGCTGCTTTCGAGGTTAAGGCATGGTTTTGTTTTTAACACGGGTTTTCACGGTTTCCAGCCGAAGTGACGGCATGTCTTCATATCACACGCCGTGAAACACATATCGGCGGTAGTTTGCTTCCTTTTTGAAGGCACTTTCACATGAAAAATTGTTTATTTTTGTAAAAATTTGTCGCGGACGAACTCACCATCGTGAAAAGTCAATGCAGAAAGATGGAGGACGGAAATTGCCAGGGTTACCAGCAGGTCAAGAAGAGTTGCACACCTGCCTATCGATAGTTTATGGATCTGGTATTTTTTGGTCTAAAGTGACCAAACACCGACAAGTTGAAAATAAAAACAGCCCATGGGAAGTAACACAAAATATGGAAAAAGAACGTGAAAAATTTAAATAAATTCCTCAAATTAAGACATTTGAGCCATGAACAAATTCTGCCGAACTTGCGGTAAACAGATTGTGCCGGAGCACTGTCTGCAGATGTTCTCAACAGAGGGCCGCCAGCTGTTGCGCTGCGTCAGAACCATAACAAACTGCTGGGCAAGTTTAAAAATTAGTCTTAGCAATGGAACCCTTTAGTAATATTTAACATCTTACAGATTCAAAGTGCTCCTGACTTCCCCTGCTATATGTGTATCGACTGTCAGAATCTCCTAAGACAAGTGCAACGCTTCCAAAGGAGATGTGCAAAGATTGAAAAGTACCTCTCTAGAAAGGAACTAAAAACTAGCTTGGCGGAGGATCCTGCAACAGTGGCGCTACAGCCTCCTATTCAACAGGTGCCCGTTGCAGATCCTCTGGGTATCGACGAGCTAATGGCACCCAGTGAGGTCAAGCAGGAACCCGAGTCCGTAGCCGAAGAGATTGTAGAAAAAATAGAAGATACCTTTGAAGAGACCAATATGGAAGAGGGGCAGTCACCTCTTCCTGAGGACTATGGTGAATCGCAGCCCGAGATCTCGACTAATGACACTAATCCGCGGAAGATTAAGGTAAAGAACAAGTCCAATAAAAAGACGATGCGTCTGGGGCGAAAGCTGATTCACGTTAAAGTCATTGACGACAAACAACCCAAGCGCATTGTGGACCGGAATAGCACCACAGCGAAGCCCTGCATCTGCGAGCACTGTGGTCGGCAATTCAAGGATACCAGCAACCTCAACGTCCACCTGCTGCGTCACACGGGCACCAAGCCCTTCGAATGCGAACAATGTCACCAGAAGTGCTACACCTTGCACCTGCTGCGGCGGCACCAACTGAAGCACACAGAGGGTCCTTACGCCTGCACCTTCTGTGGCTTGGAATACAGCACAAACAGCTCAAGAGTGAGGCATGAAAGGTGAGGTGCACACTCCATATTCCTTAGATTTTGTTTAAAATCCTCTCCATCTTTTCAGAGAGGCCTGCAAAAAGGGTCGAGCGCCGCAATCCAAGTGGGAAATCATCAAAAAGGGCGAGCGTACTTTCCAGTGAGTTTCCTTAAGTTCCCATTTGTTTTTTATCATTGATTTACTTTCATTATTTTCACAGTTGCGAGGTTTGCGATCTGTGGTTCCTACGCGCTGGAAACTTCACTCAGCACATCAACTCCTCCAGTCACGTAGAAAATGAGAAACGAAAAATGCGAAAATCAAAATCAATTCAATCCTTGGACACAAATACATAAAAAACAGTCAACCACATTTTTATTCAACGACTAATTCACTAATAGACTTCTTTTTATGCAGATTGTCCTGGTGCATTTTGGTATTGGCATGGGTTTTCATGTTGTATTTGTACCGAAAGTTTACATTGCAGATCTCGCACCTAAAAAGGGAATTATTGTCATAATCAGAGATAATGAAGAGATATGCCTACCAGTAGGGACGCTCGCCGGTGTGTATTAGTTCGTGCTCCTTCAGCCGCGTTCGCTGGTAGAATCCCTTCAGGCAGACATCGCACTGCAGCGGCCTCTTCTCGTGACTCATCTCATGGCGTTTCAGCTTCGCAGGATCATTAAAGCTCTTCTCGCACCGCCCGCATTTGTAGATTAGGCCGTCCGTGTGGGTTTTCAAGTGCCAACGGAGGGAATATTGGGAGGCGTAGCTTTTGTGACAAAACTGGCAGTAGTGGCGCGCATCGTTACGTGGCATAGGTTTCGGATTAATGCGCTGGACAATCATCCGTGGTGGAGCTCCGTGGACTTCGCTTTCGTGCTTTTGACGAGCTCCCGCATAGGCGAAAGTTTCAGTGCAGTGGCGGCATGAATAGGGAGTCTCTCCGCGATGGCGTACCCGGACATGGATATTGCGCATGTAGGCGTCATAGAATGCCATCGGACACTCGGGGCACTGAAAGTTCTTCGTGCGGGTGTGGCGCAGTTGATGGATTCGAAGATTGTGCGCCATGCGGAAGGCCTGGCCGCACTGATCACACACAAAATTGGGCGGCTTGGCGCGAAGTTGGGCACGCCGTATGAGATTCCTCTCCTCCTTGGTCTTTGGATTGGCCCTTCTTCTTGGTTTCGGTTCACGGACTAACGTTTTCCGTGGTTTGGTCGGAGGTTTTGTCGTTTTCTGAGACGGATCTCCCGTTTTTGTTCTGTTTCTCGTTTTCTCCTGACCCGTGTATTGGTCGATTAGTTCCTTGAAAATCCTGGATCCCAGATTTACACTAAGTGGGTCTTGGGACGCAGATTCTGTAGGTTCTTCTTTGGGCTTTCCCTTTAGCGGAGGCTCTGCTGTGACTTCCGGGCTAAGAGGCTCTTGCTGATCATTCACTTGATCGTCCAAGCTTGTGATAAGGTCGGGCTCTGGGGGAATGGATTCTTCTTCCACATCTTCAGATGCGATAGCAGTTACTTCAATTTCGGGCACTGCTTGGGAGATCCTCAGCTCCGTGTTTACGCACATTTCTCGGAATTCAATGGCATTATGCAGTGACGATTGGCACGTTTGGCAAATAATATGAGGTTCTCCTTCCAGTTGGCTAATCTGAGAAAAATTCTAGTTAGAAATTTTTCTTGTGAAAGAAAGGTAAAGATTCCTATCCTACCCACCCAGACACCGCTGATGACTTCTATGTGAAAAAGCAGGATGCTGTTGGCCTCATCGAAGAGATCTTTGGCAGAAGAGTCATTGATCAGATCCTGGTAGCAGATGCGACACCTAATCTTTGCCTCATGGATCAGGGGATCATAATCCGGAAAGGCATCCTCAAAAAGGTCATCTTCTTCCTGTGGAGGTGTTGGCTCAACATCGCCGGCTATAAAGCCCTTGGTCTCGTCCTCCGCCAGGAGCTCGTCCACCAGTCGCTTGTTCTCGCGCCGTTGAATGCCTTCTAGGTGTGCTCTTTCAGAGGCACTTTTATTAACATTTTTAATGCAAGGCACAGCACCAGGCCGCAAGGTTCGTTTTTTGGCAAGTCCTAGGGATATATACAGATTTATATTTAAAGATATTAGTATTAATAAGCTGTCCTCACCCATTTCGAATTTGAGAGATCCCTCTATATCTTCCTGCTTGAAGTGCTCGATACAAATGTAGGGATTCTTTATTTTGGGAGCATTTTCGTAACCGCAAAAAGCAGCCCAAAGTTTGAAAGTTTCCGGGCACTTGGGGAAACTGAAGAAACCAATAGGCTGCTGCTGTTCTGAATCCCGCTTGGCCCTACCTACAAAAGCGTTTCTGCAGTTGGGCACAACACATTTCATTTTTTTCAGTCAAAATAAATGCGATGTTTCAATAAATGTTTATATTTAGCGCAAATCCGTGTGGCCGTATGTTGCAACAATATTTCCGACATGGTGGCAGCTCTATAGGGACGTCGTAGACATTCCCGAATAGTAACGAAAGCGATGCGAGTTCGATTAAGTTTCAAAGAATATCTTTTTGTTTTTTGTTAATTAAAACAAATAGTATTTATTGTGCAAATTATAATTATATATATTATTACGCAACTATAACAAAAAGGTTCATCTATTGTTTTAACATTCTTCACATATTGGCTATAAAAGTCAAATAAAATAAAATCCAAATAAAATCCTACCAAAAACAAGAAAAGAAAGCTAATTTTGGGCGGAGCTGAAGTTGATATATGTACCCTTGGAGTTAAAATCGGATATATATCGCAAAAATCGGATAAAGGTGGCCGATCCTTATGAAAATATCATATTTGCAATTTATTACAATACTATATCTAAAAAAAGTCCCAAACATCTATATTAAAGTACACCAAAGTTGGTATTTTTACCAAATACCATTTCCAATCTTTCAGTTAGGATAGGATATATTCGACCGATCTCGGCCGTTCCGACTTATAAACTCCGTGCAAAGAAAAGAAGGGTTTGTGCAAAGTTTCAAGTTCGCATAAAAACAAACTGACAGACGGAAATGCTGATATCAACTCAGGAGGTGATCCTGATCAACAATATATAAACTCTATAGGGTTTATTGCTATAAATATGCAATTTTCATGAATTTAACATTTCAAAGTGAAAGAAAACTTTTAATGCGTAGTGTATAACTTTTATTATTAAAAAATCTAAATATGAATATATATTCTTTTTTTTTATGTTTTGAATGCGAAATTCAAAAAGTCCAATGGGAAAAAAATCCAATTTTACATCAGCTCTATTATTTTAAATATTACCCATAACTCTTAAGAAACAAAAATATAACTTACAAGTAAAATAGTTAAATACATTATAAATATTTGATTGACCATAATTATCTATTTTATAAAGACAGTATGATTTATAAAACACTGATACGTAAATGGATAAATACATTCGGGCGGTTATGACTAAGACTATAGTAGGAGAAACGAGAGAACTATTTTAGTTGGGATGGCCGACCGGTGCTTAGTTCTTCCCTTTCTCGACCCGGCCATTCTTGACCCCGTGTAACTTTTTTGCAGGCGACTTATGGGCGGGTTTCTTAGCCGACTTCTTCTTTTTACAATTTTTTCCCAAAGCGCTGAAGTCCACCTCATCGTCGTCGTCTACTCCGGCATACTTCTCCATGAGGCGATCCATCATGGAGGTGAAGTTGGACTCGCGCTTGTTGCGGCGCGCCAGGATCATCTGTTGCAGATCGCCACCGCTAGCTTCGAGGTCTTGCTCGTCCTTTTCCTTCTTCCGCCGGTCAATGCGTTCCTTGATGACCTTCGCCTCCTTACTCTCACGGGCATACTTTTGATGGCGCTTCTTGCGCTTGGCGGCCGGCTCCTCGGTGAAGATTTTATGCTCTGGTACCTCGCCTGCTGCAATCCAGCCTTGTACAAGCTTTTGAATGCGTGGCTCATCCTCCACCTTCATGAATGGCACATGGTTCATCATATAGTTGATGCAACCCTTGCCTCCCAAGTAGGCCTTCTTGATGTCGGAGCATTCCAGCTCGGAGCCAATGTACTCCTTCTCGTAGGTGTTGATTTCCTCCTCGGTGATGGGCTTAAATATCTTGCTCCACAAATCCAGCCAGGAGGAGAGTTTAGACTCGGCATCGTCGTCGTCGTCGATAATGCCCTGCTCGTCGTATAGGGCCCTCTTCTGTGTATCAGTCAACACTTGGTACAATTTCGAGAGAACCTTAAACTTCTCCGTGGACTCCTCTTTTTGTTCGTCGGGCACCCGATCTGGATGAACAAGCAGCGATAGCTTGTGGTACGCTTTTTTCACTTCTTTCTCGCTGGCGCTCTTCTTCAGGCTCATCAATTTGTACACATCTCGTGTCCCAAAATACTTTTCGCATAGTTCAAGAGTAGACATTGCGAATTTTAAGATTTTTGCCTTTTAACAATTTTAGCACAAACACAAGCACTAAAATGCGCCAAAACGACGAAGTAGTGTGGCCGTAGACGGGTGGTTAACAAATTTTTGGAATATTTGCAAAAAATACAAAAGTAACAATTCACAAACAATTTGTTATACTATGGGAAAGGCTAACTCTTATTGAAGTAAACATTTTGACAGAATAATATGATTTTTTATTTAAAAACATGTATACAAATAGTGTTTAGAGTTCCCATGATATGCTAAACATTCAAAAAACATCAGCAACCCGCCTCTTTTATCGATAGTGTATTCGATTTACGACCACTGTCTCCAAAAAAATTAAAAACTGAAAGAACTAAATTGAAAATAAAAGCAGCAAAAGAATCTAATAAATATAAAAAAATGAAATAACGTTAAAAAAATGTATTCACCAATAAAGACAAATAATATTTTCAGTAAGTAAAAAATATATCTGCATAGGGAATTTCTTTATCATTCTCCATATTACATTTTATTAATGGAATACTTATATTATTACTTTATTATTTTTTTTATGTGTTATGACATTTTAAAAAATATTTGTAAGTTAAAAAGCTGAAATTCTAGCTAGTAGCTATAAAATAGCTAACTTTAGCATTAAATGGGAACCCTGGATTTGACAGCTCTCTGCCGCAGCCAAGTTAACTCCAGTGCCGTCCGTTTCCGTTCTTTTTGTTTCATCGTCTGAAGTGAACAGACGTCATGGTAAGTTTTCTCCTCCGGATAAAATCAATATTAGTAGTTGAGATAGTTGAATTTTCTTTCATAAAGTAAATAATGAGTAAAGAATAAGTAATCGTGACTTCTCCTGTACCTATCACTTGCACGTAACGTAATGCAACGCGGCTGTTTTTACCCAAAAGTGAAAATCACGTGGCGCAAGAGTTTGTCAAAATATGCTGAAATTCAGTCGAATCGTGACGTTACTTTTTTTCCTATTGATTTATTTAGCATTTTCCTCGAGTTGTACTAGTTTTTCACGTAAATTTGACGCGTTTTAAGTCATGGCTTCACCTTAACCTCAATGTGTCCATGTGCACTAACCAAGAAAATGTATTTCTCTTTCAGTCTCATCGCAAGTTCTCTGCGCCTCGTCATGGCTCCATGGCCTTCTACCCCAAGAAGCGCTCAGCTCGCCACCGTGGTAAGGTTAAGGCCTTCCCCAAGGATGACCCCAAGAAGCCCGTCCATTTGACCAGCTTCATCGGCTACAAGGCCGGCATGACGCACATTGTGCGCGAGGCAGATCGTCCCGGTTCCAGTAAGTACCTTTATCATTTCCCTCCCTAATATCAGTATTTTCATGATGAGTTAACTAGAAAAAATATGGTTAGAACACAATGATTAACCGTGATTTCATTTACTAGGGCGGACTGATTAAATCCATGCCCTATACATTGTTTAAGTTGAATTCGAGGAGCGTTTCTAATGAATCTTTCTCTATTTCAGAGGTGAACAAGAAGGAGGTCGTCGAGGCTGTCACCGTTTTGGAGACCCCTCCCATGATTGTGGTCGGTGCCGTCGGCTACATCGAGACTCCATTCGGTCTGCGCGCCCTGGTGAATGTCTGGGCCCAGCATCTGTCCGAGGAGTGCCGTCGTCGCTTCTACAAGAACTGGTATGTATCTGATGGTCCACGTGCGGCACTAAATGTAGTTTCTTTCAACCCGCCGCCATTTTGCTTGAAAGGGTGCAGCAGTTCCACAGTCTCACAAGTCCAACCACGTGTTTTCTACTCGAGTTTGAATGATGATACGATGGTATCTGAATGAGCAAATTCCTGTTGAAAAGCCTTCTACCATCTGCTGCCTTCCTTCTGATCAGCCTTGTAGATAACTCTTGGTTTTTGATTTAGAATTATTTAAGTTAATTGATTTGTTAGTTAATCTAGTATTGACCTGTGAACTGCTACACCTTATTATTATTATTTATTTAATTTAAAAAGAACGCTTAACTTAACGTAAAATCCAAACCATAAAGTTCTTCGATCAGCTTGCTGAGAGAGCTTTTAAAATCGCTGAAAGTTGTGTGAGCTAACAAGTATTTGGTTGTTTGACGACTGAAACACACTTGTCCGAGTGAGCACGACATGGAAGATGCCATCTCCGCTCGCCTTGGTTGCGATGAGGTGCTCTTCCTGTTCTATCTCGCCCCCCACATAAACAGAGACAGCTACAGCTAAGAAGTTGGAGTTGTTGAGACACCCCAATGGATGGCAGGGCATCCTCTCGTTCGATTCTGACCACGTGCCTCTTCAAATTGATCTACCAGGTACAAGAGCAAGAAGAAGGCCTTCACCAAGGCCAGCAAGAAGTGGACCGATGATCTCGGCAAGAAGAGCATCGAGAACGACTTCCGCAAGATGCTCCGTTACTGCAAGGTCATCCGCGTGATTGCCCACTCTCAGGTAAATTTTAATTTTAAAAATATAATTAAAAATGCGATGTCCTTGGTCTTGTTGCGCCATTGGTGTTGGGTCCTTGGACTCGGCGCCTTTGGTGCGCCTGGCCTAAAAAGCATTCGTGCTGGGCCCTTCAATGTCCGGTTAAGGAGTGCAACGTCGCAGATAAAACTGCCCCTCGGGTGGCGGAGCTTGATATATTCCAGTAACGGTGCGAAGCCGCTCAGGCGATGATCGCTCGGTTAAACCATATTACGCACAGCCCCTCCAATAACTACCATTTCCAGTGATGAAATCTAACCCAGCTCCTTTCTCCATTGCGTAGATTCGTCTGATCAAGCAGCGCCAAAAGAAGGCCCATGTCATGGAGATCCAGATAAACGGTGGCTCCATCGAAGATAAGGTCAACTGGGCCCGCCAGCATCTGGAGAAGCCCATCCCGGTCAGCAACGTGTTCGGCCAGGACGAGATGATCGACTGCGTCGGTGTGACCAAGGGTAAGGGTTTCAAGGGTGTCACCTCGCGTTGGCACACCAAGAAGCTGCCCCGCAAGACCCACAAGGGTCTGCGCAAGGTCGCCTGTATTGGAGCCTGGCATCCGTCTCGCGTGTCCACCACCGTGGCACGTGCTGGTCAGAAGGGTTACCACCACCGTACCGAGATCAACAAGAAGATCTACCGCATCGGTGCTGGCATCCACACCAAGGACGGCAAGGTAAATATTTCTCTCCCAGACTCCATGAAGACTCTACTCTCTTTGGCTGCTTGTGTTCTGAGATTCTGATGATAAAAAACCAAAAATAACGACATCGAAACTAAAAATCTTGATAAACCGTGATATTTCACAAATGATAGGACTGAACTCAGACCTCAGCCAGAGTAGATTGATTCCCAATCCCACTCCCCCCTAATCCCTTTAAGTGGAAGTGTAGCTAACTGGAATCTATTCCCTTGCAGGTCATCAAGAACAACGCCTCCACTGAGTACGATCTGACCGACAAGAGCATCACCCCCATGGGTGGCTTCCCCCACTACGGTGAGGTCAACAACGACTTTGTCATGATCAAGGGCTGCTGCATCGGCTCCAAGAAGCGCATCATCACCCTGCGCAAGTCCCTGCTGAAGCACACCAAGCGCTCCGCTCTCGAGCAGATCAAGCTCAAGTTCATCGACACCTCGTCCAAGATGGGTCACGGTCGCTTCCAGACCCCTGCCGACAAGCTGGCCTTCATGGGTCCCCTCAAGAAGGATCGTCTCAAGGAGGAGGCTGCTGCCACCACCAGTGCTGCTGCCGCCGCCGCCACCACCGCTTAAGCTCTTTAAAATGGTGTCTGCTTCTACCCCGCAACGTGGTAGAGCGGTCAATAAAATTTTCGGCATAAGCTACATAAATCTGTAAAGATCTCACTTTATTTTTGGGCAGGTGGCACTGGGAACACTGAGTGCTTAACACTGACTACCCATAGTTTATAAACTTGATATCTTAGGAGTTACTTGGTAATAAATAATTAGATAATTTTAATTCCATTCTATGAGAATTATTAATTATATTTAATTCGAAGGATATATATCCGAAATATACGAAGAAATCTACCTCTTTTAAAAGGAAGAATTCGCGATTGATATAGATTTCTAGTAGAATGTATTTCAGGATTGCACTTTGGTTCAGACGACGTTTTTTGTTTAAAAAATTAAAATTAATTTTAAACTTTTCAAATTTTAAGGCTATGGGCTAAGAAATTTTTAAAGATTAGTGTTGTGTAACTTTGTAAATTTGTATAGAGGGCGCCACTGTTGAGCTACAGCCCTGTAAAGTTCATCATTTTAAAACACTTTAAATCAAATCAGATTTTGAAGCCTTTTTATTAAATGAAACAACCATTCTTTGCATTGGAGTCCAAGAAGAGTGGTATATAGTAGGTGATCGTGCCCTTTTATCTTCAAAATCGAATATTAAATGCCTACAACTTGTATGTAAATATCAGGTTTAGATAAGTGTCGATTTCTTATGTTTAAGAAAGTTATAAGACGAGTCCAACCATTAGGTGTGGTTTCTTTTATAGGGTTTTTAATTCTCGTTAAAATACCTACTGTCCAAAAGTGAACTTTTCCGCGAATTTCTCAATTTTTAACATTAAAAAAACGTACTTCTAGATAAAATTTTCTCGTTTTTTGACATTCTCTAGATATGGAGCCATGACACAAATTTAAGTTTTACAAATAATGCTTTTTATTTTTTTTTTATCAATCAATCAATAGTTATATTTAAAATCTGTCCGAAGTTATGGACAATAATTAAATTGTATAATGGGACCTTAACTTAATGAAATATTGAGTAGTACAATGTGCTTATCCTAGGAAACTAATTTTAACAGTAGACCTTAGCGATAGAATTCAAGTTAATTATTGTCGGGCCCTTTAGTGGTAGAGCTGCAAACGATTCTACTTTTAGTGAATCGAGTAAATTCGATTCGATTCTGAAAAAGATCGATTTAAATCGATTTAGATCGAAAAAATAAATATATAAATATATATGCTCAAAAATTGTAGAGGAAAACATAAGCCTTTAAACAATAATATAGCCTTTAAACAGCTATTTTTTTGAGAGATTCCATCCTAATATCTTGCACCTGTAAGAAATATTTAGAATTGCAAATTAGACTAGATTTATCACAAAATGAAATCTAAACAACAAACCTTCCAATAGTCTAACGGGCTTATATTTGGCGTCGCGTGGTTGGCTTCTAAATATTGTCGGAGCACAATAATGGCATCCGACATTGGGGTTTTAATTTTATTTGCAATTTTGGATTGCATAAACGAAAAGTATGCGTTGTTTTCTTTGTTAAAGTGACAGATTGCTCGATGCATCGATTCCCTAAAATAGGAATCGATGTTCTCGCTCAACTCAAAAACATCGATGTAATCGACTTAAGATCGAATCGTTTGCAGCTCTATTTAGTGGGCCTTGTTAGTTTTACAACTGCAGCTCAGTCCCGTTCGCCCGAGTGGCAGAGGTCCAGTGGGTGGGTCCGTTTCAGCCTCCTTGTGGTGTAGCTGTTGTCCAGAAGATTGATGGCCTCAGGGTTAGGATGTCGGTCCAGCCTTACGATGTACCTATTGGCGAATCGCTGAACTTCTTCGCTCACATATGGGACTCTCAGTTGGGCGTGGATTGTCGCATTGTCGTGGAACGGATGAGCTCCAGTTAAAGTTCTTAGGGCCTTGTTTTGGGCGATCTGAATGATCCTTCGGTTGCTTTGACACGCCGTCCCCCATAGCTGGATACCATAGGTCCAGATTGGCTTTACAATGGCCTTATATATAAGGAGCTTGATTCTTGGCTTCAGCCTGGACCTCCTTCCAATGAGCCAGTTGAGCTGACGCAGCTTGATCCCGATTTGCGTCCGTTTGCGCTGCAGGTGGGTTCTCCAGGTGAGCCTTCTATCCAGGGTCATACCCAGATATTTGGGTGTAGGGCTGGCTGGAATTGGGGTGCTTCCGAGACTGACTCCAGGACAGTCGCCTCTCCTCATTGTAAACGTCGTTTGGCCTGACTTCTCATGGTTGACGGCGATGTTCCACCTTCGAAGCCACGGGTCAAGGATGTAACAAATAATGCTGATAAAGAAAGTTTAGACGACAAGGATAAGGAAATATTATAAAATAAACATTCCTATATTAAAATACGTATTTTCAATCATATTTCGTATCTCAATATTGATTTGTTCACGGTCGTTGTTTTACTAATATTTATAAAAAAAAAACATTTTTAGCCTTACCAAAAGTTTGTTTTTAAAAATTAAAAAAAAAAAGAAACGTAACTTTTTCTATACTTAACTGTAGAAAGACATTACAACTCTTTTAAAATTATTATCTTTGCTTAATACAGGAAGAATTGTAAAATACTGTCCCGTTTTCGAGTTATAATTTTTGGCCATAAAAAAAGGTCGTCTGATCTACAGTAGATTGTCTCAAAAATACATTTTTAGGTTTTAGCACTTTATATCTGCCCAAGCTCTTTATTACAAACGTGAATACCTCATGCATTATTGGTCACAAATCACAATGTTCCTAGAACACCTTGACGCCTTGGACGATCTTCTCGTTGTCGTAGATCTCCTTGGCGTAGCACAAGTTGGGGTAGTCGAAGGCAGCTCCGTAGCGGTTCTTGCAGCCGGAGGTGGCCTTATCGCCGGGAGTGTAGACGGGCTGTCCAACGATGTTGGCGGTGGCAAAGTTGCAGGTGAGAACGAAGTGGTTGTAGAAGTCCTTGGTGAAGCGGATGGCAGCACAGCCGACGTGGGTGTTCTTCTCGGCCACCGAGATGGTGAACTGGGCCACTTTCTTGTTGGGCAGTTCCTCGGGGAAGCTGGCCAGGATGTCGGGAGAGGCGTTGGAACGCTCGTTGAACCAGTTCTCAATCTGCTCCTTGAGGATCTCAGCATCAGTGTACTCGGACTCGGCTCCGCTGTAGTGGAAGATGGCGTTGTTCTGGCCAGCATAGGCGAATCTCTCGGTGCTGCGGCACTTGTCTGGCAGGGATTCGCAGGTTTTTACGTTCAACATGGCAAGGTGAGCTAGCTCCTCGCACCAGGACATCTTGGCCATGCGGATGGCTTTGGGAAGGCCCTCAACCCCACCTCCAGCTACTTTGTTGCGAAGGTCGTTGAAGAGCGTGAGGATCAGCTTGTGGTGTGCCTCGATTTTAACTTCACGGGCATCTTTTGGACAGTTTTCACTAAAGTTCTGGGGGGGAACTGGTTAGATGGATAGAGTAGGGACTAGCAATACTTACTCCTTTGTTGTTGCAGCCAATGTGCTTGTCCAGGCAAGTGGGCAGGGCACAGTAATCCACTGCTAGGGAGGAACTACAGAGAACTACTACCACGACCAGGATAGAGAAGGCAGTTGCTTTGAAGGAAGCCATTGCTTTGTATGATCTTCAGTTGAGACTGACGGAATCGGATCGGGCCTTAGGCTTTTATAGCAAATTGGAGTACATAATAGACTACGGTTGGAATATGATTTCTATGTCCAGTGCGATAGGGGTATAGTTTCCATTTCCAACTGAAAGCTGTAACAATATGTACCTGGATTCCTGGAAAGCAGCTGTCCATTCCCGCAGGTGTCTTTATGAAATTCGAGGAGCATATCCATAGAGCCCCTATAAATAGAGACGCCTTCGACTACCAGAAGTCAGTTGAAAGCCAGCATCAGTATGAAGACATTCATTGTTCTAGTTGCCTTCGTTGGAGCTACCATTGCAGTGGATTACTGTGCCTTGCCCACTTGCCTGGACAAGCACATTGGCTGCAACAACAAGGGAGTAAGTATTACTAATCCATAATCTATCCAGCTAACCAATTCTCCCCCAGAACTTCAGTGAGAACTGTCCCAAGGATTCCCGTGAAGTTAAAATCGAGGCACACCACAAACTGATCCTCACCCTCTTTAATGACCTACGCAACAAGGTAGCAGGAGGTGGTGTTGAGGGCCTTCCCAAGGCTATCCGCATGGCCAAGATGTCCTGGTGCGAGGAGCTAGCTCACCTAGCCATGTTGAACGTAAAGACCTGCGAATCCCTGCCAGACAAGTGCCGCAGCACCGAGAGATTCGCCTATGCCGGCCAGAACAACGCCATCTTCCACTACAGCGGAGCCGAGTCCGAGTACACTGATGCTGAGATCCTCAAGGAGCAGATTGAGAACTGGTTCAACGAGCGTTCCAACGCCTCTCCCGACATCCTGGCCAGCTTCCCCGAGGAACTGCCCAACAAGAAAGTGGCCCAGTTCACCATCTCGGTGGCCGAGAAGAACACCCACGTCGGCTGCGCTGCCATCCGCTTCACCAGAGACTTCTACAACCACTTCGTCCTCACCTGCAACTTTGCCACCGCCAACATCGTTGGACAGCCCGTCTACACTCCCGGCGATAAGGCCACCTCCGGCTGCAAGAACCGCTACGGTGCCGCCTTCGACTATCCCAACCTTTGCTACGCCAAGGAGATCTACGACAACGAGAAGATCGTGGAAGGAATCAAGGTGGTCTAAAAATGTTCCTTAAATAATTTTAAATTTAATTTTTTTATACAAATGAATGTGGAATAAATTCCAGAAATTGAAATAACGGTTTTATTTTTAATTCCTTTTGATTTGAAACAAGTTGGCAGCTCTTGTTTGCTTAAGAAAGTTGATGGTTTTATTTTGTTTATAGAAACCTTTCTTTTTATGGCGTTAAAATGATATTATATTAAAACATTAAAGCTATTCAAATACAAGTTAATTAATTAAGAATCATATACATTTTTGAATGTTTTTAAAGGGTATCATGTAGTCGATTCCCTTCCCATCACATGCCATATGGGTTTGTAGGAAATTTGTTGCCGGTTGAAAATGTTACGCCAGGCGCTGAGGGTCGCCAGCAGGCGTTGCTACAGCTATAAATCCGTTCGCCGCCCTAATCTGGCTACCACCAGTGTATCTCAGGCGGAAAAGGCTAAGGAACAGTCCTCCAAGGAGCAAGGTACAGAATCCGCCACAGAAAATGGCAAAGCCAGCTTAGCGAAACAGCTGAGGGCCAAGATTTTGGCTACAGGTCCCATTTCGGTGGCCGAATACATGCGGGAGGTGCTGACCAATCCACAAGGTGGCTACTATATGGCCCGCGATGTCTTTGGCCGCGAGGGAGACTTCATAACCTCGCCAGAAATATCTCAGATATTTGGAGAAGTAAGATAGCTCGATGTCCATACTAGAATTCTCGTTATAATCAGCTCTCCTTGCAGCTCGTGGGGGTGTGGCTGGTGAGCGAGTGGCGTAAGATGGGCAGCCCATCGCCCTTTCAACTTGTGGAACTGGGACCTGGCCGTGGCACTCTTGCCAGAGACGTCTTGAAAGTGCTCACGAAGTTTAAACAGGGGGCCGAGTTATCCATACACATGGTGGAAGTGAGTCCTTTTTTGAGCAAGATCCAGGCTCAAAGGTTTTGCTACACACACCAGACACTTCCGGAAGATACCCAGCTGCCCCATTACCAAACAGGCACCACCGCTTCTGGAACCAAAGCGTTCTGGCACCGTCGACTGGAGGATGTGCCGCAAGGGTTCTCGCTGGTTCTGGCCCACGAATTCTTCGATGCCCTGCCTGTGCACAAGCTGCAGTGGCTTGATGGCCAATGGCAGGAGGTGCTTATAGACGTGGCTTCTAAGGAGGAGGATCAGCCCGGCTTTCGCTATGTTCTCTCGAGATCGCAAACCCCGGTGTCCAGAGTATTTCAGCCCCTTCCTGGGGAAAAGCGTTCCTGCTTGGAGTACTCCATTGAGACAGAGAGACAGGTGGGTCTTCTGTCGGAGCGCATCGAAAGGGATGGTGGCATTGCTCTGATCATGGACTACGGGCACTCTGGCGAGAAAACCGACACCTTCAGGGCTTTTAAGAACCATGCACTCCACGACCCATTGGTGGAGCCTGGCAGTGCCGATCTCACAGCAGATGTGGATTTCAAGTTGATTCGGCATGCGGCCGAGAAGCGGGGCAGCATACACTGCTGTGGACCAGTGGAGCAGGGACTCTTTCTGCAGCGCATGCAGGGCGAGGCACGACTGGAGCAGCTTCTAGCTAACGCGCTGCCCGAGAACCAGGAAATTATCCGCTCCGGCTACAAAATGCTAATTGATACCGCCCAAATGGGAACGCGCTTTAAATTCCTGGCCATGTTTCCCGGCGTGGTGGCTCCCCACCTGGAAAAATTCCCTGTGGTCGGGTTTAGCTAGTAAACGATAATGTTTTGATTTTATTTAAATAATTTGAATATGTTGCACATAAATGTTAAACAAAAAAAACGAATGTTATTTCTTCTGGAATGCAGTATTGATTGCCTGCATCTCGGCGGCGGTGAATTGAAGTACCGCCGAGATGGCATTCAGCATGTGCCGCTTGCCGTCCGCATCCCGCGTAACAATATAACTGATGATGACATTTTTCAGATACTCTAGGTTGGCTCCTTCGCGGGTCTTGCAGCGTTCCAGTCTAAAATCAAGGGAGAACTTTTAAAAGATGTCCAAAGATAAGGGCCCAACTACCTACCTGTCGACCTGCTCCTCCAGGCACTCGATCTTCTCGTGCATCTCCTGCTGCGAAGTTACTTTGTCCTGGATGGCTTTTCGCAGGGTGGATTCGGCAGCGTACTTGGCTTTTCGCAGAGCGGTTATCTCGATGTCCTTGCGGGCCAGCTCGTTGGCATAGTGCAACATGTGGCAGTTATCCCCCAGGGACATTTTCTTCGAGCGTACCTTTAGATTTTTTTCGCGCTGATCCCGTTGTTCTCCCTCTACTTCCACGCTATCCGCGTCGGAGGAATAGGCGAAGGATTCGCCTCCGGCAGCTTCCATGCCAGGCGTTGCCAGGGAAGTGCCCACATTGGTGGCGGAGTGAAAGACCTCGAAGGAGGTCTGTAACGTTTTGATCTCCTGCTCTTTTTCGTCGAGAAGCTGCAGTGATCTCTGGCGCTGCTTTTGCAGCAGCTGCTCCAGCTCGTTAAGCTTACAGCGTGTTTCGTTTTCAAGCTCTGCCTTGGCCTCCTGCCACTTGGTTCTCTCACCCTTCAAGGCCAGTCGTAGTTTTTCGCCCTGCTGCTTCAGCTCTACTTCTGCCTCGTCGATGTTTCGGTTAAGAACTTGCACCTTCTCCTGAAGCGTCTGGATGTGTGACTGCTGTAGTTGGACCTTCTGTTCGAGAAGTTGTCGCTGTTGTTTGGCAGCTTCCAGCAGTTTCTGGACGCCCTGGAGCTGTTGTTCGCAATGTGTATGATCAGCGGTGCTGGAAGTACGGCCGCCAAATGAGAGAATCTCCCCGAGATCCAGAGGATTGGCGGAACGATTATTGGCACTTGTTAGGAGCTTCTTCAGGCGCACCATCTCATCCACAAGCGTAGCTACATCCACATCATCGCTTACCGATTTGAAACCTGTGGTCGGGCGCTCCTGTAGATCCTGCAACTGTTCTTTTAAGGCATGGATGCTGTCCTGATCCTGTTGCCGCAGGCGATCGTAGCTGCCGACAGTGGTGCTGAGCTCGGCCAGACGTGCCTCCAAACTGGCAACACGATCCTCGTGGAGTGCAGCTTGTTTGCGGCTCTGCTCCTCCGCTCGCAGTACACGCCGTTGCTCCTGGCGTATGGCCACAGCGTGCTGTTCCTTAAGCTGCTGCATCTCTTGGCGCACCTGCTGCAGTAGAGCCCCACTGTCCACACTGGCGGCATTGGCCGCTGGTTGTTCCGCCTTGGCCTGGAATTGCTTTAGCTGGGACCGAGCCTCTTTTAATTGCAATTGGAGATCTCTGAGGCGACTGTTCTCAGCCTCGTTGCTGGCGAACTGGGTCTTGAAGTTGTTCAGCTGCATTTCGATGTTGTCTTTCAGGTGGCGCTCGTCGGCATACAGCTTTTGCAGCTCGCGGATCATTAACATTTGATTGCTCGTCTCCTTCTCACGCTCTTGTCGCTCAATGATCCACTTGGCCTTCACTTCATCTACATCGTTCTTGGCACGAGCTGCTTGTTCTTTGGCCCGTGTGTGAAGGTCCTGAATCGCCTGCTCTTTCTGAGATATTTGGCTTCTCAGTTGCTTTTTGTCGGCCTGGAAGGAGGCCTCCATCCGGGACTTTTCAGCCGAGAGTGTAGCCAGCGAATTCATCAGCGTAATTATTTGGGTCTGTAGCTGTCCCTCGACAGGAAGCGCAGCGGCACCATCTACACCACCATCGATGGCATCGGAGCTATTGTGGGATTCCAATTCCTTCGCCGGAGATCCGGGCTCTCCGGCGGCTGTAGCCTCGGCGTGGGCGGCCAAACTAGTCTCCAGGGCCTCCTTCTCCTTTAATAGACCCTTGTAGGCAGTAACCACATCTAAAAGTGGGTTAATTTACATTCTGCAATAACTTAATTTTTTTGTTTACCTTTCAGTCGTTTCTCATAGCGGCTTAGTTGCTCCTTTTGGGAGGAAACTAACGCCTCTAGCTCCCGCTGTCGCTTCTCCATATCGTTATGAGTTTTGATATTGCGGAGTTTATTCCTGAAGCTTTACTTTATTTTTCTCTCGTGGCATTTTCGCATTTCCTCAATTAACAATAATTTTGTCAGCTGGCAAGCTCAACTGGCGGGCCTGCCAACTTACTGCGTTTTCTCTGATACTAGAATTTGCCATCTTTTATTAATTTTAAAAATATATAATTAATAATTTTTGAAGATATCATTGAAAATAATTATCCGATTCCTAATCGATTCTGCATAAATCTGTAACAAAATCCGGGAACGAAATATTTTTTATATTTTTTGTAAAAATTTCTGGGGGATCCCCTTCAAAATGCGGAAAATGCATGGGTGCTCAATATGGCTTACCTCGAAGGCTATATCTCTGCCAATAATTATCGGATTCTTGAGCTAAATATAGTAAACAATTTGTGGATCGATTCTGCATCAAAATCCACAAAATCTTCCTAGCCTATACGACCTACCTAAAGTTAATTCAATGGAACTGTCTATCCTCTTAGGAGAAATTTGATTTGCGCAGAATAAGTTTTTACTTTGTGTTTAAAACCTTATTGTTTTCATTAAAATAAAATTTATTCAATTTATTTAATTAAGCTTAGTTAGGTTTATTTAATCGCTACAAATATTTGTATATTCCGAAATTCCGTTTACTATAAATATATACATTATGACCTAAGTAGTACATTTATTTAGCGCTCTCTTCGTCCTTCATCATCTGCTCAATAATCCGTTTGCGCTCTTCAGCCTGTCGCATCTTGCGCATCACCAGATCTTCGTAGTCTCTAGAGGAAGAGGATCCGCAAACGGATCCATTAGGTTTTACCTCTGAAGCAGGAGGCGTTAGCCATTCAAAGGACAATGGCTTGGCAGCATCGCCCTTCTCGTAGGCTAGTACCATGTCGCAGGCCTCGCGGCTGGCCAGTTCCACCATGGCACGTCCTCGACCCTTTTTGTTCATCACCAAGGCAACAACATCACCGTATTTCTTAAGATACTTCAACAGTTGCTCCTCTGTGTAGTCCTGGTCAGGACCGGCCTTCCACTTAATCTTAATGCGATGCTGAGCTGAATCGAATTGAGTGCGTTGTTGTTGGAGTTTAAGTTTCTCGTCATGGCTGCGTTTTAGCTGCTCCCGCATAGCCCTTTGCTCCTCCTCTAGCAGCTGGGATCCCTCCTTCCTTAAACGATCGATCTGTTCCTGCAGAAGTTCTTCGTCGCTTTTGGTAACCGTGCTATACGGCTGACTTCTTTCCAGTTTATGATACGCAGATCGCTCCCGTTCCTCCAACTCCTCCTTTAGTTTCTGTCGCTTGCTGTCCCGTTGACGATTTCTCAACTCCGCTGCCTTCTTTGCCTTTAATATTTTGTCATAAGCCGACCTAGCAGATTCATCTGTTAGGATCTCGAGTGCCTTGGATAGTTCATGGAACCGCTCGGCCGCTTGGGGATTATCTGGATTCTTGTCAGGATGGCAGTCGAGGGCGCGTTTTCGGTATGCCTTGCGAATTTCATTTTGCTCTGCATCAATGTCAATGCCCAAAAGTTCATAAAGATTTATGTCGGAAAACTTTTTACTGGCCATTTTTCGTCTTTCTTTGGATTCTTTGGATTAACCGGCACAATAAAATGAAACTACTAGATTTGTTTACCCCCAAGAGGCCCTATCAGCTGATTAACAAAAAAGTAAGTTGGCAGTTCTACAGACACACTACTCGCAGTGCCGTCCGTAGCAATTAATAAATGGGGATACTGAAATATATTATTATGATGTTGGGATAATATTATTTTAAATATTAGCTAGACTTATAAAAAAAACTTGTTAAATCTCCTAATAACATAAAATTTATTGCGATACTAATAATTTTGGCGCAAAAACGTTATTTTTAATCTGGTGCGCGATCAGCTGTTCTGTGAAACGCGCTGGCAGCACCACAATTCAACGTGCCTAGCGTGGTTGTTTTATTCGCTGTAGTAAATACGGATTATAATGAAATTAAACCCTTGATGCAACAATGAGCATATATCACGACGAAGTGGAAATCGAAGACTTTGAGTACGACGAAGAGGAGGAAATGTACTACTACCCTTGCCCTTGTGGTGATCGATTTCAGATCTCCAAGGTAACAACATCGCGTATACGCAACATTTTCGGGACATTCTTTAGTTATTTATGTTTACTTTTTTAGGAAGAGCTCATTGAAGGCGAGGAGGTGGCCACATGTCCCAGTTGTTCGCTAATCATTAAGGTCATTTACGATCCGGTAAGAGAATAAAATGAATCATCCTGAAAATTTTCTCTAACAAAGGGAGTTACTTTTTCTAGGAAATGTTCAAAGCTGAGGAAGACGAAGAAACGGCTCTGAACGAAAAGTTGGGGGACTTGAAGCTGGAAAAGAACTAAAAACAAGTTCTTTGGTGTAATTAAATAGTTTTATTTATATATTTTTATATATAGACTTCGTTTTAGTGTAAATAATACGTTGACTAGTAAACAATGAAAATATTCAAGCTCGGCGAAACAATTCAATTATGGATATCGTTGGGGTGAATTACAAATAATTTATATTTTACAATATCTAGAACTGAAACCCACGTTAATACATAAAGTGGACTAAACACTTTTCGGTTGATGTTTTTAAGCGCCATAAGTTCTCTAAAGGATATGACAATTTAGAAACATAAGTAAAAGGAACTGTGGCTGACAGAGCGGCTGGAAATGTGAGTAATACATTACATGTCATACAGGGCGAAAAGTACTAATAAAAAAATATGCATAATAGACAGTTACCACCTTTCTGCTTACGATTTAGGAATTAGACTTAAACTTAGCACGTAAATGTGGTTACGATTCGTCCAATGGATTGGATATACAATTCGGCTTGGGTTTTCTCTGATTAGAATTCTTTTAGAGAGCGTGCTCGTTCAGCAAGTGGTAGAGGAAAGTGACTTCTCCCTGTTGAATGCGCATAAATGCCGTCTGAAACTCGAGGGCTAAAGGCGGACACTACTGTTCCAGCCAGGATCCGCTAACGTTATTCGGCGATTTAAGCTAAAGTACAAAAATAATCCATTTAGATAATTATTCCTCATTCAGAGAGTGGATTATCACCTTGATATTGAACTGCTTCAAGGTGCTTTCCAGTGCCATGGCATTTCCTGAGAAATACGCAGCAATAGCATTGTGGAGCAGAATCAGTTGCTTGTGCATCACTTTGATCTATATTGGGAAATAGAGGGTTTATTTTGGCCGCCCGGTAAATATTTTATTTATGAATTACTTACGCGATTCTCATCTAAGAATTGCATTTTTACGGCCACGTCTGAACGCAGTTTCTCATACTGCTCTTTATGCTGCGCATAACTTCGTTGAGTCTCCTCCAAAGCGGCAGCCGAGGGCGTCAGCTCGGGCTTAGTATTCTCCAAGTCCATACGGTAGGCATCGAATTCGATTCTGAAAGTTAGGTAAAGTTAGTTTTATAGCTTGGCTTGGCAAACACTGCAATCTGGAGTTTGAACTTACCTGGCGGTCTCGTACTGTCGTATCGTCAGCAGGGTGTCGTCGATTGTCTTATTGCACAGTGTATTCACCGACGATATGAAGAAATTAAGCGCATTGAGAAGCAGCTCGCCATTTTTGGTCAGGTTTCGCTGCGTCTCCGAGTTGCAGGTGAATTCCTTTTGCAACTCTGGATTCTTCTGTGCCAGATCCGCGAATGAATCGGCCAGGGCGTGCTGGGTGACGACCACGTGTTGAAAGTGGGAGCTAAAAGCTCGAGTTAGTCGTAAAATGGACAGATACTTGCGCTGCGTCTCGCGCAGCTGTTCGATTTGCGCCTCCAGCTCCGAGTCAACGGTGCGCTGTGACTTTCCCAGCTTCTCAAGCATTATTTGTCGGGTGCACTTGTACGTGGATATGCTCCAGTTTTTAATACTGTCGATCTTGGAGGCGCTCGTGCGTATGAGGCTACCGCTGTCCGTAGGGCTCAGAATCCCATTACCAGAAGGCGATGGACTTGTGGGCGACATCGGTGTGGTGGGTGCTATCGATCGATTGAATGAGTCAGCTTGATTACAGATTGTTATGGATAGTAAACAACTAACCTGAATGGTTCCTTAATGGCAAACTGTTGGGTGGACTGAAGGGACCGCCTCCAACGCCAATAACACCGGCTCCTCCAGCAATACTGTGGCTACTAGCGCTTCCGATGACCATGCTCCCACCTTCGGTGCCCGTGTGGACTGGCCCGCAACTGTCGTTCAGCGAGGGCGCATCTTTCAGCATCTCATGTATGCTGCGTTCGCGTTCTGCCATTGCAATTGGTCGCTATCGCCGTCCGATTCAATATAATTACCTTCGGAAAATTGTTTTCCGTGGGTGTGCGTGTATGCGTTGGTCTGCGAGTCTCTTTTACGGAGCGGCGTTGAAATTGCCTCGCAGAAATCAATATGGCACGCTACGCGAAGCAGTTGGCCGATGTTCCTCGCCAATTTTTTACGCCACCGCTTTTCACTCTTACAAATTCTTAAAGTTTTGGACAAACTTAAAAAAAACTGTGTTCCTTGCTACTGAAAATAAGTGTGGCCGAGCCATGAAAATTTATTATGCCAACAACCCTTGAAATCTTTTGCCGGCAATAAACCTGGTTATTTACTTTAGAAATTGGTATTTTTAAAGATTATTTATCAAGATACCTTTATATAAATATTGTTTTATCATATTGTCGTTTGAATTGGATATAATTAATATTTTAATATTATTGTGTACAGTATTTTTTTACGTGTGCAGTATTTTCTTGTGATTGTCCTTAAAAGTCTGGTCTCATCAAAGGCGATCGCTCTTTTTTTATTTCGGGGATTTTACGTATGCGTCTAAGTTTTGCCTCTTGTCGGCTTTTGATTATTTAATCCTATGAGTTTCTATGTCCCGTGATTAGAAGCCCCCAAAATGGTGTATATGAACATAGTGCTTGGCTTGGGCGTCGTGGTGGCGGCGGCGGCAGCGGCTATTTGGTTCAACTGGCCCAATTACCAGCAAACTGCGCCGCACCACAACCATCGCAGGAATCGTCGTGAGGAGGAGGACGAGGGGGACAGCCATGATCCGGATAGCAAGTTGCGAAGCCACTTCGGTCAGCAGCAGATGCGCCGCAGGTGAGTGTGAAAATTAAATCGAATATACGTATGAGTGTCTTATCTTTGAATCATTTTTATCGCGTCACTAGCCGTCCGGGCGACAAGTGTCCAGTTTGCCTGGATGAGATGTTGCAGGGAGATCTACATATGATGCAGTGCAGCCATGCGATGCATCCAACTTGTTTCAATGAGTTTCGGTACTTGCGACGAAGCTGCCCGTTGTGCCGAAAGATAGTAAATCCGAGTCTACCGGGTGACGACTGCCCCATCTGTCTGGACCCACTTACCAAGAATGATATGAGGTTCCTGTCCTGCAAGCACGCTCAACATAATCAGTGTCTGGCTCAGTATCGGTATAGTGGCGGTAAAGCTTGTCCAATATGCCGGGAGCCAGATGTATAGATTAAAAGCTATAGCTTTATAGTACAACCCAAAATGGATCTACAAGCGAAGAAAAGAAACGAAAATATCAGCGCCAAGCGACTGACTTGGCCGTTAAAAATCACAATAAGCACAAAAAAACGCGATAAGCAATTGAAATAAGTCTGTCTTAGCGTGTAATTGTCATAACTTTTGTTAAATAAACAACATGAAATGCCTTAGAGAAATGCCTCTAGAATGGGCGCCACGGTGTGGCTCCAGCTTTCCCGCCAGCGAAGTTCCTGGAACTGCTGCAGACTTCGTTGAAAGCCGGTTCGGGTCTCTAGAATGCTTGGGTTTTTTGGAAAATGCTCGAACCAGATACGCAGTTGCTCTGCCAGCTGAATGTGGTCCCCAAATACAAAGCCATTCTCTCCGTGCTTCACCAGCTCGTTCAAACTGAAATTAAGGACAACCATTTTAGGGATGAATTATAATTATTGAAAGATTTATTTTTTTTTTGTACTCACCACTTGAAATCATAAGCACAGACAGGCAAACCACTGCCAAACATGTCTACCACTTTCATGGGAAGATCAAGGCCGCTAGTGCTCCAATGCAAGCAGACGCCAAGATCGGCGCTTGCCAGAACGCTGGGATAATCTTCAATCTCCAGCCAGGGCGTGATCACCGAAACCATCTGCCACTTCAGCCTGGCGATCTCCTCCGCATAATGTTCCTTTTGCGGCCCTTTTCCTGTGATTATACACAGTAGCTGCGGATATACAAGAGGCTCCGCCACAGCAGTTTCCTCGTACGCCTGCAACGCCTTTAGCAGGATACCAAAATCCTCGTCCGGTGTCCAACTGGTGCTCGAAACCAGGATAGCCGGTCGCTGGGGCTTGTATTGCACCGTTCCGTTTGTAAGCTTTTGGGTGATGGAAGTGGCCTCCAGCACATCCGACTGACTGCTATCCTTTGACTGAAATTGCGGGTAATCGTTGGCCAGCTTTAAGAAGAGCTCGTGCTTCTGGACCAGATCTATGGGATGGAACTGCGTTGGGGCTCGATCGTACAGCACAGTTACAGGGCTAAATGGGATTTATAAGCTCGTTAATCATTTCTTATGCATTGCACCACTAGTATTTACCCGATCTTCCAATTCTCCTGTAAATCATCCTTCATAGCTCGCGTGACGCAGAAATGTGTATGCGCCTTGGAGCCAAAGTAACGTTCCAGCCGCCGTACTAGACGAATAAGGAAACTGTTTTCTCCACCGGACATGCCCAAGGCCAAAACAGTGTACGTATAGTTGTGCCAATCAATAACAAACTTCGTTCGTGTCAGGGTGCAATACAGGTAACAAACGATTAGCGTGGGAATGCCGGGCGGATTTTGGACAAGCAGAAAACTGGGCCTCCGTATAGAGATGAGAGCTATCAAGAGGCTGAGGGTTTGCCAGAAGGCCTTGAACAGCAATCGCAATTTGGGGGTGAGGTTGGTCACCGGCACCGGAGTGAGTTCCTGGATTTTGCAGCAAGGATGCTGCGTGAGAGTCTCCAATGGACGTGTTTCCAAATACCCGATGACGTCCACGTGGTAGTTGTCCTCCAGCAGGCTTTGTGCATGATACTGCATACGGGGACTTCGCCCGATATCGCCCAGTACGATGACGCAGGCATGGCGCTTTTTGGGCGGCACTTCCGTCATCGCAATGCAGTTAGATTTTATTGCTTATCAACAATCAGGTAGAATTGCGCGTTTGTTTGTGGACGAAAGAACAGTGTGGCCAGATGGCAGATGAAAAAGATTTTTCTACCAAATTTGAATTCATATTTTTATTCTTCATTAATTTTAATAATAAATTTTAACAAGGTAATTATGATTATTTTGTTGTATTATGAAAAGTGAAGATAAACATATTTTGCCTAAGATTACTTTGCAATTATTTAGCAGGTAACACGAAACAGTTCACAATGGCGAAAATGCTTCTACATCTACATTTACTCTGTAGAATACTATGTAAAGTAGATGTAAGATGTAGATGTAATAACTTGTGGTTATTATTAGGTATTTTAATATTACATTTTTATTAATTTACGGGTTAAAATAAGGTAGGTTTTTAAAAATAGCCTTCATTGCATTTATAAAAAGACATATGAAGGGAGATTTTTAACATTGCCTGAATTTGCTAGTGAGGGGGTTGAAATAAATCAGTGTGACCATTACCCTTTTCAGTGGAAATACAAGAATACGTTTTTTGGGGGGGCTCCAACTAACCAAATTACGCCGCGCGGCTTTGAAACTTCTGTTTCAACGGTCGACGGCAACGGACGTGTGCAGCGCGTGTCTGGCCAAGAGACAAAAGCCATAGGATTCTTTACGTACTGAATAAAAAGTTCTTTTGAACCAAAATCACTAAAATAAAAACAAACAAGTTTTGTTTTAAAAATACAAAAAAATAGTTTTGAAATAATTGTGGGTTTTCCCTGTATAGCGGTACACCATATCCCCATCTGTTTGTGTGTCTGTGCTAGTGCGCGTGTGCATCAGTGTGTGTGATTACCCACAAATATTGGATACAATATTTCAAGCCACTAATTTCTGGTAAAGGAATAAAATAAATTAATTAAAAGGTGTTTACAAATAAAAATAAAAAACCAAGAAAAAACTGTGTCTCAAGGATTTTGTCTCTATTGTAAATCGGAAAGCCGCAAGTTTGCCGGTAAGTTGCACTCCGACTGGCGTTATTTTACGCATTTTCGCCGGCAAAACAAGCCGGGTTTCCACCCCCCAATTGGCGCCTGTCTGTTATCCTGGGTGTTAGTGAGTACTTGTAGGTGTGTGTGTGTGCGTTTCGGTGTTTGTCTGTGTGTGGGGTTATTTCGAGCCATCGAATTTCGATGAAGTGGAAATGCAAATTTTTGTACACATCGTACGTTTCCTGCTGGTTTTGTTGTCTATTTATGCATTTTTATTTTCCTAATAATTCTCGTTTTGTAATAAAATTTGTCATGCGACTGTCTGGCCCAATAGGTAATGTCTGGGACCCCAAAAAAAAAGAGGTCCATGGTTCTAAAACCATTTAACATAATAAATCAAAATATAATGTAAATTACATACTTTTTATCTCTTTCAAAAAATATTAAACATATTAAAATTTAATAAAATTTATGTTAAAAATTCAAAATTATCGATTGATATCCTATTTTATTGATTTGTTTCTCTGCATGTACCATGTAGTTTATCCCATTAGGCGCGTCTGCAATTTCTGATCCAGACACGATGATGCCTCGCCAGTCGTCCTTTTGCTTCCTGTACTGTGTCCTTCGCAAAAGGCAAATAGCCAAACTGGCGTCTACTAGAGTCAGCCACCCTCGAGCCATATTTCGCGGGGGGTTGATGGTTGCACTGCTTTCCGGCTGTGTGGGTGGGTGGTTGGATGGGTCGGTTCGTTGTTGGGTGGTTTTCGGTGGGTGGATGGTTTCGTATTGCTGCTGCTGCTGCTGTGTTTTCTGCGACCGTCTCGTGGGGTTGGACAGCAAGTTCCCACTGTTGATTTTTGATTTCTGTGCGGCTTTTTATTGCGCTGCAGAAGTTGCTCTTCTAGTCTGCTCTCTCGTTTTTGTCCTTTTGTTGTCCTTCCTTATGGGTAGCATTTGGCATAGAAAAGTTGTGACATCGTCGGTCCAGAGTCTAGACACGAAATCCGCATGCCATTCTCTACACAGGTTTATGCGGAAGAAATTCCTTTCTATCTTAATTTATTTTAAAGAAAATCAGAATGATGAAAGTTTATTTATTAAAAATATTAATCCTTTTGAATTAGTTTATTCTACTTAAAATTTAATTTCTTATCCAGTCACTCCATGAAATAGATTTGGCTTCTTTCTTTATGATTTTTCTTTGTGGGATTAATATTAATTTCATAAATTATAAATCACAAAAAGAAAAACTAAAATCCTCATCTGAAAAATTGTTCTTTTCCAGCTACACAGACAACATATCAAAGAAGGGATTATTTTGCTCTGAAAAATTCACTTTAAGAACGCTCAGGACGAAAACTTTGAAAGGTAAGTTTCCTTTGCAGGTGCGTGTGTGTCTTTTGGGTGGTTAGTGCGGTGCGGTGTGCGGTCCTATAGATAGATAGATAGGTGGGTGGGTGAGTCAGGGAGTTGAAGCAGTCAACCTGAATAGTCGATTATCGCTGCATCTAATTTGTATGCCAACGGCGTATGGTAGACGGCTCTGCAGCCCGCATTCAGCCAGATCCAAAGGCAGGCGCGAGCTATTTGAATAATTCGCATCATGGACTCTCGCAAGCCATCCATGGATGTAGACATTAGGGATGGGGAGGGGGGAGAAAAAAGACTGTGCCACATGCAGGCAGCTGCATGAGCTTGTAAAATGCCAGCACACAATGCCAAATATCCTAAACAAACTTCCGCTTGGCGGGCGCCTCGACGTAGAGGTGGCTATAATTAAGGCAGATTCGGATTTGAGGCAGAGGGAAAGGGAAAGGGAAGGGCCTAAGGGAGGGCAGCAAGTACATAGCATCTCGGCCCCTTTTGCTATTTTTGTTTAATTTACGATGGAACACTGAGCACTAAGCATGTCTAGAGATACAAACAGTATTTTAAGAAAATGGTTTATTAAATAAATGATTAAGAACTTTCTTTTATAACTATCTTCTAGTATTTTAATATTTTTTACTATTTCTATATTTTTAACTATTCAGTTTTAAAAAATTTTCCAAGTGTAGCTCAAGATCTGTGTCTGGGCAATGATCGACATCAAGTGTCTTTGACACTTTCCAAATAAAGACACCGAGAACATGGGCTTCGACAAATGTTCTTTTGAGAAAAACGGGGAAAATATCAGCGGAAGTGGTTGCCCTCTCTCTCTATCTTTCTCTATTTCTCTATTTCTCTGTCGGCACTTCAATTTGTTAAGTACTTGCCCCAGAGGGCGGAGAAATGGGAGGGTGAGTGAGTTCAGTCGCCATACACGTGACAAACATGTGGATCAACTGGCGACGGGATGGTGGACTTGAGGCTATCAAAAAGGCAAATTACGGAGGCCAATTCAGGTAGAAGACGGTAAAGAAAGCGAGCCGGAGCGAAAAGTCACCGCAGGTCAATGACTAGACGGCTCTAAAGAAAGAAATGGGAATAAAATAACACGCGAATTGCTTTCGTCTTGAATACCAGATTCGCTTGACTAAGTTTAGATTTTGTAATGTGGGTCTTTAAAAGAATAACTCTCAAAATATTAAATACTTTTAAGAAAAAGTACTGCAAAAAGCTTTAAATCCTAGCCACAAGCCAGATGCCAAATTCGGGTTGGCAGCTGGTAATTTGCGATGACGGTTTTATCCCAGCACATGGACACGCGAATGACTGACTGACTGACCGAATGACTGGCAGAGTGACTGGCTGACCGGGGGCTAGCAGAGAAGAAAGGTGAGGTGAAAGGACGTGATCAAGTTTTTTCTTTCCTGGTTCCTGGTTCCTGGTTCTGCTTTCCAAATTTATGCAGTCGGGTCCCTATAAATGGTGGCAGGAAGGGCGACGGGAAAGCTGGGGCCAGTGCCTGGGGCGGCGACAATGGTAAAGTGTTATTAAGTTTAGTTGTTGTTGCCACCGTAGTCGTTGTTGTAGTTGCTCTCTTACGTGAGTACAGTAAGGTCTATGTCGTAATGAACAGTCTATAAACTTTTTAATCAAAAGTGCTGCACTGCCTCTTGAAGCCAATTAATGGTCGAAGGCAAAAGTTTCTTTTCTTTTTTTAAGTTTAGTTTTTTTTTTAGTTCAAGCTTGGAAGTTGGACTGTAAAGTTTCGTTGCCGTTGGGAACCTTCTGGGTTCCCTGTGTCACTTCCTCTCATTGTTGGCACTTGCTTTTGCTTGTTGCCTTTGGGCCATATTTTGCACCTTTTACGTTTATTGTGACATTATGCTTTGAATAATGGACACAACACACAAAAACAAGAGCAAGACCAAGAGCAACAAGGCAAACACTTTTTGAGGGATGAGGACTTTGTTGGGCTGGTGACTGCCACTTTCCTTGTGTATTTAGCATCCTTTTTACATTATGTTTTGATTAAAAACTGAGCCACAGCATCGCCGCAGCAAAAAAAGTGAACCTAAAAAAACAACTGAGCACACAGAGAGTAAAAAAATCAGTAGAAGGAAAAACAAAAGGACTCTGAGCCAAAACGAAGAGCAAAGCAAATGCAAACAAAACATAACAAAGTGCGGTGTGTACAAAGCTCGACCAACCAAAGTGGGCGGTGGGTGGATAAATAGCTTCCATCAGGGGGCGGTCAGCTTCAGGACATCAGAGCAAAGTGGAAAAAATTTGCGGCTAAGTGAAAAATTCTGATTAAAATGGCCAAGACCACAGCTAGCTCGGGCTTAAAAAGAAAATCCCAGGAAGATGACATAGCTTGGATTAAAAAATAATCGGAATATCATTTTGAATAGCTTCATAGCTGGACTGAATAGCTCTTCTTAGTTATCAGTCATTGCTTCTTTGGAATTTAATTTGAAACTTAATAGCTTTAAAACTAATTTAAATGCGACTTGTATCTTCATTTTCTAAACAAATATCCTTTCTCGGCCACAAAATTTCCCATTATTCATTTTATGCTTTGAAAACCAATTAAAATTATATCCCCAACAAAAAAGGGGTCCAAGAACAGCAGGATACATGTGTTCACATGAGGGACTGCCGCCAGGACACGTTATCTGGCACCCAGGACACGCTTCCATCAGCTGAGCCTGTGGCTGTCACACCT